AAATGATGACTCATGTGGACAGTTTTTTGAGTGTATATTAAAACTATATAAATCATTATTTATGACACCATAAAAATCATGCCACTATTATATAAATTATAAAGTGGTGTCATTATGTTATTTTATGACTATATCTAACTATATAAACCAGAATATCTCATGTATCATAGTCATAATCACCATGAAAGCCATCTCCTCTGCTCAAAGAGATAATATCCTCTCTCTGTCTTATGCTGGCCTCTCTGCTCGCCAAATTTCCTCTAGAACTGGAATATGCAAGTCCACTGTGGCCAAGTTCATCAAAGAAAGCCACCCAGACAAGGAAAACTCTTGTGGAGGACGTCCATCCAAGCTTACCTCTACTGACAAAAGGGCTATTATCCAACATATCACTACAGGAAAGGCTGATAATGCTGTCCAAGCCACCCATTATATCAATTCCACCATCACTACCCCCTGTCTCTTCACAAACTGTGAGGAATGTTCTCAAGGCAGCTCATCTCAAGGCAGTAACAAAGAAGAAAAAGCCTCTTCTCTCCATCAAACATAGGCAGAGAAGACTAGCCTTGCCTTAGCTCATCAACACTGGACTGTAGAGGACTGGAAGCATGTTATATGGTCAGATGAGACCAAAATCAATAGGATTGGGTCAGATGGGAAGGTGTATGTATGGAAAAAGAAGGGAGATGGCCTAACAGACAGAGAGGTTAATGGGACTGTCAAGTTTGGAGGAGGTTCTTTAATGGTATGGGGCTGTATGGGATGGAATGGTGTGGGAATGCTTGCTGAAGTTGAGGGGAAGATGAATGCTGAGCAGTATGTGGACATTTTAAATGACCACTTGCTGCCTAGCTTGGCAGAATCAGGGATTGATGAAGAAGATATCATTTTCCAACAGGATAATGATCCCAAGCACACATCCAGAAGAGCTAGGGAATGGTTTGAAGAACATAACATCAATGTTCTTGACTGGCCAGCACAGTCTCCTGATGTCAATGTCATTGAACATCTCTGGGGAACACTCAAGAAAAAGCTTCAAGCCTATGAAAACCCCCCTAAAGGAGTATGGGAGCTTTGGGAGAGAGTAGCAGTGGAATGGGGGAAGATCACAGCTGAGGATTGCCAGAAATTAATTGAGAGTATGCCTAGAAGGATAGAGGCAGTAATTAAAGCCAAGGGAGGTCATACAAAATACTAGAATACCTGGTTATTACTGTAAAATACTTGAGTCAAAAAAACTGTCCGCATGAGTCACCATTTTGTGAGCCTTGTATCTCCACCATATCTCCACCGATTCCCACGGTGTAGGGCTCAAATGAAAGCCCTGAAGCCATACTACAATGTGGTATAAGCATGTTTTTGAGGCATTTGTTTGTTCTCACACAATATTATAGATAGTGAAAAATGCCAAAAACATACGGACGGGGTTTTTTGAGCCACTGTATTGTGTCATGAAGTCATCCTTGGCATATTAACTGCGGTGTAGAGATTCACATTTCTCCAGGCTCATATGGGCCAAATTCACGGCTTTTCACAACGCACTTGATATCCTTACAACGCGCTTCTAATAAGACTTCCGCGCAACGCACACTTTGGTGCGTACCAGCAGCGTTCAAGTGCGTTCGAGCGCGTTACGGTGCACTTCATCGCATTTCCTTAGGATCCGTCGCCTGTCCTCCACATGTCCCGTCCTAGTCCTCCAAGGTCCATTGGTGCGTTTTCCCTTCTTCAGAACTCATACTCCGTCACGCAGGCACTGGTACTTATCATCATATCTCGTTATGGACCCTGACTTACCTCACCATTTACCTTAGTACTTCCTATTTGGCTCCGAGCCATGGGAACTCGCGTAGCATACCTACACGTCACCATGTTTGTTTTCCTGTCACTTACTTCCGCTCCACTACCATCGAAGTGTATAGCTTGAGTTTCTATCTGAATACACCGGTTTTCCTTCCAATTGGTGCTTTGACACCTTTAAGTGTCTATTTCTACATCTATCAAAGTCCTGATTCCCCCATTTGATTATCATCTCTACTCGAAGCACTCAGTTGTGATCACACGAAGTGCGCTTATTAGGCTTGCACTTTCCGCCTTATTAGTGCAGTTTAGGCGTCTTTAGCTAGCGCACTTCGCTTTTGGGTGCACTATTTGCCTCAGAGTCCCATTCAGGCTTCGAGACTGAACCGCTGGTTATAGATCCCCCTCACCTTTCACTAGAGGAATCTTTCTCAGTAGCAATCCCCTTGGGACGACTTTCCACTCGTATCCAGAGGAGCACTTGAGAGCCCACTTCCCACTCTTCCCCCTAGCACGCAGCTATCATTCCTCACCCTCAGCGGCAATGCAATCTTGTAAGGTTTCCCTGATGCAAATGTCAGATCCTTTGATATGATGTGACAATATAGTTTTCCCTGGGCTGATATTACCCCCTTTTTACTTACCTTCACTTACCCACTTTCCTTAGTTTATGTTCGCATTTTTACTGCATAATCATGTCTCCCTTTCACCAGTGTCAGTACCAGTCTGAATCACAGTCTTTTGCTTGATGATATTTCTACTCTCTGAGCTCTGAGTCTAGTACAGAAACCCTTTAGGGTCGAATAGCAGCTAGGCATAGCAATTTTGACCCAACATTTGAAGAGTACTTTACAGAGTTCTCTTCTTGTTGTGTTTCCCACAAGTAAGTTCACACAGTACGCACATTGGTTCGTCTTCATCGTCCGAAGGTTCATTGTCTTGACAGGATTTTTTTCTTTGCGCAACTGACGCCGCTTGGCTAGGATAACCTCTCAAAACCTGGTGTTTGGTCAACTTGATTCCTAGATACCGTCACTTCATCGCTTACTTTTGATAATGCCAACGGCGCTTTTCTCTTGCAGCTTGTACTCTAGCTTGATGAGTTTTGTATATTGTTGGGCGTACCATAGTGAAAAAATGGGGTGACTATGCAGTAATATCATATCGTGAGGAGCAACAATGAAGCATTTAACTAGGATCTTACACTGTTTGGACCCAAACAATGAGTCTTCAATTGATGAAGGAAGCACTTATGCAGATGGTCGGACCATAAAACATATGGTAAGATGGTAAGTCGGGGTGGGACTTGCATACTCAGAAGGAACAGACTAGAGATACCTGGGAGTAGTATATATATCATGATGACATACTTTCATCGATAAACATCATTGTCGACTTACCTAGGAAGCACTTATTATGCAGATGGTCGGACCATAAAACATAACAGTAAGATAGTAAGTCCAAGAGAGTGTTGCTAACTCTGAGGGATGGACTGATACCTGTCTGGGAGCAGTGTACATCAGACAACCGATGATGATGGCATACTTTCATGATAAATATCATCATAGACTCACCTGGTATGAATGCTGAACCTGTGTTAGGCCATGACCTGTTAGTATTCGTGCGAGCAAAGTGATGCCACCCAGCCGTTGGATGCAAAACTAGGCTGTTGTCCACACATGGTGACTTGTATAGGTTAACATGTCTGTGTTCACTGTTTCATAGATCATGGATGTCCTCAGCTGCGAAGTGCAGGAGAATACATTCAACTGTAACTGATACTTACATCTATGAATTGTCAATGGTTGGACCGAAATAAGCAGTCGGACCATAATTAATTTAGTCACACAGTTAGATACTCTTTGATACATCATCCAAATTAATTATGGTCCAACCATTGATATCATGTGGTAGGACCATAATGAAGATGTAGTAGGACCAATATCCACGTGGGCTTAACTATTATGTAATTCAAGAATGACTTGCCATGAACAACAGCAAATTTGCAAATTTGCAAACCACTTGACTCCAATCCTCCCACTTCCAGCAAGTCGAATGCAAGTTCGGGCTTGCTTGCCAGCACAATGCCCTCTCTTTTTTAGTAAGTCAAATACGTGTTTTCATGCAAGTTTCAATTCTTTGGGGCTGGCCAGCACAGTGCCCCCTTTTTTAGCAAGTCAAATACCTGATTTTCGAGTTTCTGGCTGGCGCGATGTTTCATTTAAGTAAATCAAGTGCACTATATAACTTCATGGAGTCTTTCCCTTTTCCTCGTGTTGTCTGAATCTTACAGTTTCCACAGACACATCGCTTGCAGGTGTATATAGAGGTATAGAGGAAACATGTATGTAGCACACTTTCCCTCTCTATTCCTACACTAACGACCATGCCATTCGAGGTACCATTCATCATCGAAAGCATGTACACTTTGACGTCCATCGACGTCAACCATGCAGTCTCCACAGTGTCACCAGAGCTTGCCACCATCCATGCAGGCAGCTCAAATTTCCAGAATGTAGTCCGATTGCTGGCAGATGTCTTCTTCATTGCTACAAGGGCATCTATTACAATATACCAGGTGTGCCAACAACAGCACTTTGATTTTGCCTTATCGCTAACACTATTTTAGCGCAACTGAAAGCCAGTCAATTACTCTTCTATGTCATTCACGGTTCCCACATTGGTGTCATGGCAGGCTGGTAAGTAATATTTTAAATATTGTCACATTTATTTATCAATGCAACTAGGGAGAACGCATTGAACTGTGTTCTGGGCATTCCAAATCCCAATTATCATGAAGTTGAATCTGTCGCACTTGGGGAGCAACTGCTTAGGGAGGCAATTGATCAAGGCAAGGCTGAGATGGTGGAACCGTGGGCATCGTCTTAGTCTAGTCGTTCTGTAGACTGTAGGGTTCTATCAATGCTGTATGGTCTTGTGTACTCTAATTTCAAACGTGTCGGACAGAAGTTGCTGGTTGGTCGAAAGTTGTTCCTGCCTCAGTGCCTGTGCGAGGACTCAGAGCCTCACCTCAGCTTGAAGCCAACTAGCTACTGCGTGAGTCTGTCAATTGGAATGCAGCCCAGCACTAGTGGCAACAATGAATCATTGGATCCTTCTTTTCAAACCATTCAGGCTTTGCCTCCTACATGGACCTTCCGCCAGATCAACAGCCGTGGCCGTGGGCAGTCGAACGCAAACATACCAAGCCGAAAGCGAGCTTGTCTAAACCACTATACACCACCCAACCTGCATCCCCAGGTACCAATCCACGCATCTGTCACATTTTCGTCTCATTGAGATGGCATTTTGAAGGTTTCTAATCAGTAAATCCAGGGAACCATGTCTACATCACCATCTGATAAACCTGACAGCCAGTCTACTGTTCTAGGAGAGGATTTCTCCAATCTTTCCTATGATTGTGGAGAATTAGATTTGTTTGTACTACCAGATGAGAATACACAGAGGCGCAAGCAAATGGCTGCGGTATGTTTAATTTAGTGATAAGTGATTGTTTCCATTAAATGAGACATTAGGACAACCCCCTTCTTATCTGGATGGATGAACGTGATCTGTTTCTGGCAGAACTGCTGCGGCACGAGGGACATGCAGGTCACACTTCTGATACGTGTCCTGGGTGTCCATGTCCAACATCAACTCCCCCTCAATATCGGTGTCAAGACTGTTTCGATTCGCAATTATACTGCGGCTCCTGCATTGTCCAGAATCACATACGGTCACCTACTCATTGTATAGAGGTCAGCTTCATTTCTCAGTTGTGAAAGTCCTGACCACTCATTAGCCTTCTAGGAATGGAACGGTCAATTTTTTCAGCATGTTTCATTGAAAAGCATGGGTCTTTGCATCCAGCTTGGACATGCAATCGGCAAATGGTGTATTCTTCCAAGGAAAGTGTTCAACAATGATTTTGTTCTAATTGACACAAATGGCATACATGAGATTGCGCTCGACTTCTGTGGCTGTACAACCTCCCAGACACATACCAAACAACTCCTGCATGCAAATTGGTTTCCATCAACTTCTACTGATCCACGAACGGCCGCAACATTTCACCTTCTTCATCACTATTGACATATCCTGTCCTTTGAGTCAAAGGCCTCTGCATATGAGTTTTATCACTCACTGGTTCGTTTAACGGACAACATGGGCTTGACCAGACGAAAGGTAAGTTTTAATCTCACTAAGTGTGATTCTTTCAGTTCACACTGTCATTTCAGGATCAATACGAATCTTTCATGTGCATGGTCCGTGAATGGCGTCACTTGGTAATGTTAAAACGCTCAGGGCATGGCCATGATCCAACTGGTGTAGCAGGTACCTCAGAGGGTCAGTGTGCTGTATTGTGCCCTGCATGTCCACAACCTGGGAAAAATCTGCCAGACAATTGGCAAGATGCTCCAAAGTCCAAAGGGTGAGTCCATCTGATGTATAATAGGATAGTTGAGAGCGCTGACCATGTCTCAGTTGGCTATATGGTCTTTTTCTGGTGATTGATGCCAATTTTCGTCTGAAAAGACATGCAGTGTCATCCAACAAGACTGATCCCAGCCTTTCACGAGGCTGGGCCTATTTCATAGAGGAGACATCTTACAAGTCTTACATTTTGGACAGAGCTGGAGACGTACCAGAGGTGTGTTTCTTTACTGCTTGCATCCAGGCGCCATCTGACCATCCTAACTTACAGAAAAGCACATGCTCAAATCATAATGCCGTGAATATGGCAGAAACCAAGTTATCTCAAGGACTTGCGGCAATGGGCATGGGTACTGTTGATTGTGCACATCATAATATGAAGCATCCTAACGGAGTCGGCGACCTTCAAAAGGGAGAAAAGTGCATTTTTTCCCCACTAATTTTACGATCTGATCTGACAAACACAATAAGGTATCTGAACATGGATTATCTCTTTTTCTCTACACTACAACACTTGACAGTAGATGTTTTAAACGTGTCATATGACATTGCTTGTCAGTGGCACAAGCATCTTTGGTCACGCATGCTATCTTTGCCGCCTTCACACCACTTCAATTATCTGGCGAGGACAATCCACTTCTTTGTGCCCAAGTTTCATCTTCCTGCGCACGTCTCTAAGTGCTAAATGATTTTTCATTTAACTTTACTCACTTTGTGGGGCACACAGATGGCGAGGCACCAGAGTGAGGCTGGTCTAATATCAATCCCATAGCTTCAAGCACGAAGGGTATGGGTCCAGGATGCCATCAAGACACGCTAGATGATCATTTTGGTGACTGGAACTGGAAGAAAGTTGTCGGGTGAGCTCTAGTTGGACAGTGTTACAGGCTTGAAAACTAATAGAGTTGGTCTTAGGATCGTCACTCTTGCTCAAGATGAAAGAAGCTCAAACACAAAAGATCGAACACAGTACTGCATTTGAGGAGTTTGATAGTGTCATTATTTCTGAAAACCGCATGGCCACGACATTTACTAACCCATTAGAGCTGAAAGGCATCGGTAAGTTTGGTTTAATCTCTTTGGTGTACCTACTTAACACATCTACCAGCAATTACACAAGCCAGTGCACGCTTGAGCTTGGCCCAGCTCGAGGCCAAGGAGCTCGAGCGTGGTGTAGATCTTTCGCTTCACCCTGATGTATCGCCAAGTGTACTTATCACATCAGGCATGGACCTTGAAGAAGAACAGTAAGTGATTAGCATGTGTCTCCCTCACCACGCTAAAAAGCTCTATAAGGCGGTGCTTGAAGGTTATTGTCGACAACATGGGCATTCATGCCACAGACTCACAGAAGTTGAGCGTCCTCCGCATGAGGATGTCTCTTTGTCGAAAGATCGACTCTTGGAGGCAGACCCAACTTCTATATATCCCGTCAGTACGATTGCTCATCACCGCGTCAGCAACCGGTGGTCTCAACAATGCTGAACTTACGAAGCTGTGGCTCCCATCCGCATTGAATACCAATACTTGTGATCCTCACCTCCAGCGTATCAAGTGGGAGTTGTGATTTGCACAAGCCCATGATGCTCTAGAAGAGCTGAGGCAGTGCCTCCGTGTACATTGCTCCCGCTTGAATTTCAAGAGAGAGTGGATTCAAGGCCAAGGGGCCAATACTCATGCCCAGAACATGCTCGCACGTGTACATGCAAGGCAGGCGACCTGCATGAAGTGCTACAGGACCGCATGGGGGGCTCTCAAATCTCTTGCAGCAAGTCTGAAGAAAGTAGATTGGCATGGGCGGCTGCAGGACCTCTCCGATGATGATGTGAAGCCACTTATCGATCCATGTGCCACTCAGGGAGAGGGAAGGCGAAAGCTAACATGGATTTGGATGATGGACGGTGTGGACAGCCATGCAGATGGAGGAGATGTCGATGGTGAGGTTTTAATTCTTTTTTTCCATTTCAGCGAGATTAAGCTTGCTGTTTGCCAGGTGTTCGTGTGGAATGGTGCAAATCTCGGGCCCGAGCACTTCGTTGGGGTGAAGAGGTCGACCTTCTCCAGGAGGAGATGCACCGGGTCCTGCAATTTTCAATTGGCAGGCAAACTGGTGGGAAGGACAAGGAGTCCTCCAGGTCAACAAGTTGGCACCATGCAATGCAGAAGCAGGAACTGCTGCCCACCGCGAGGCCGCTGCCCGGATGAAAGTTTGTGTGCCTATGCTTCTCGGCAAGCTAACATCCACCATCGCCTCGCTGCCCATTTCCACAGCATATGGGCACCAGTCATGTCTCCTCAAGACGCACTGGGTAATCCGGCTACCGCACTACCATTACCCAACTTGATGATCCCTGATATGCCCTGACACTTCTACCTATGTAGTGTACCTCGTATTACCGTATTGATGAATGAAGTTGCCAGTCTTGAAACTTAAAGTAACCGTCTCCTAAGGTAACCGGGGACTACAATTGTCTGGGGGAGGATCAGGCCAGTACTAGGGTGCTATGCGCACTCGAGTCTGATAGTTAGCATGTCTTAATGCATCAATAATGCATTGCAAAGATAGTAATGTACATAGTTGATGCATTGCCTACCACTGGTACCCAGCAGACTTAATGCATCAACCCTACAGGGACTTGTGTGCCATTGTGTGGAAATTGAAACGACATGCATTGTTAGTACAATACATGTTTAAATGCCATTCCATGTCGACATTGTGGAAAGTGCGAGTTACTGAGTTGGTCATGTCCCAATCAACAGAGTGACGAAGCCGTTTGTCGCTTGTGTGGTGCCATAATGTAGGACATTGATTGCCACAGGCGTTGTTGAGAAATGCAGTATCTTTTTCAACTCTCAGCTCATCATGAAACTCTCCCGCACAACCCAACTTATTATCCCATGGCACAAGGTCGCCCGTATGGCTGAGTATTGAAATGCTCTGGCGCATCCATTGCGGATAAAAGCATGTGACACCTCCAGTCATCATGTACACCATATCTGCAGTTGATGGCATATTGAGAATGAGATGGAGGACATGCACATCTTGCTTAGGACAAGCAAGTGTGATGAAATGATGGTTTTGTGTGTATTTGCCGAAACGTTCGATAACTTGAACTATTGCTGGATGGCAACAATCTGAAACTTGCCTGTAACCTAAGTTTCCGTCACAAAGTCGTGAAGAACATTAAACTTGACATGCGGAACTAGAATGTTAAGGTCTCGCATGTCCTGAGATATGTCCCCAGTTATCATTGCGCGAGCAGCAGAACCAGTGACTAGGCTTTCAGACTGACGAAGAGCTGATACCAAAAAGTCAAATGCGTCGAAAGCGAACGGCGATATAATGCGTCTGAAACAACGGTGCACAACGCCCTGTCCTATTCGGTGCATTGCATGGCAAGTACGAGAAATCATGATGACATCTGCTATTGTCGACATTGCCAGGATCATAGTGGCAATGTCTTCTTCTTGTACCATACCTGTTTATAAGTGGTGAGTTACAAACTTGAGAGAATCCGCACAGCGCGTAACTGAAGCCTCCTCCAGAGCTGCACTTCACCATGGTAGCAAGGATTGTGTTTAATATCTGCAGGCTTCAACGATGATGACGTTCAACAACAAAGAAACTGACGATTTATTGATGTTTATTGATGTTTATTATTGGCAGTTAGTCCGTCAGATTTTGTCGCATACCATATGACCTTGCAAGCAAGGTGATGTTGTCTTTGGCTATCTCTCTCAACTCCTTCACAGCAGCGACCGCGACCCCCTCTCTCTGCTCTAGTAAACCTGGCTTTCCTAGACTTTCCATAAGATCATCCATGTCGTTGATGAGCTGTTCAAGATCAGGCCTTGAAGCGATACGCATGTACTTCTTTGTTCCTTCCACAAGAACGGGAAGGAATTCGACGCAGTGTGGGTTGCCGATTGTGAGAAAAGCACAACACCATGCCTTTCTCATCATGTCCCACCACTGCTGGTCTGCGATAGAACTGAGTGATGTAACGGACACCTGTTCAGATGGCATTCGGAGGAAGATACCAGCTAGGTAAAAGACATGTGGCCGGGGGAACATTGAGACGCTTTGAAAAATCATAGATCTGTAAATGACAGGACTTGGAAACAATGCTACTGCACCGATCTATATGGCTATCTCGAAACAAACGGGGGTGCCAGTAGGAATTCCTTGCCAGGGCAAAGATTAATTCGAGATAGCACAAGTCACGGTCACGATGGAAGAAGCAGTCAGGATCGCCATCGGTGGGTGTTGCACCTGGTTGTGGACAGACTGCAGTAAGGATAGCAGGGGAGAGTTTGGTCAAAACCATGTCCGCATCATCAACAACGTTGATGGAAGCGAAGACTTCCCGGGAACTATGAGCAGCGTGAAGGGCAGCATGACGTAAACGGGGAGGCATGCTGCCGCCCATGCAGGCGGTGAGCTTCTCGATGTATAGATGTTGTTTAGCGGAGCTGCAGCTCACGCTCGTACTACTTAGTAGTACAAGAATGTCACCTGCTGTCTTGTGGTCGTTGGAACAAACATCACCGAGGTAGTCCACTAGCCAGTCGAAGTCTTCTGGCGAGTGGGAATTACCTTGCCACGAGATTTCATGATCCCACAACCAGGCAGGATCTGCAGGGTCTGCAATGACCGTTCGATCAGGATCGGGATTGGCGGTGAACCTGAAGCGCTGTACTTCTCGCAGCGCTGCCGATAAATCCCGATCATTATGTTGAGATGACCTCGCCCGTGAAAAAATCTTCCAACACACGCCCAGGTTCCACATCTTCGGAGGAGGTGGAACTAGATCACGGTCAAGCACTAGACAGATGATGTCAAAGTGCCATGCTCGGCGGACAGCACTGTCGGGATCGGCTCCATCCGGCGCCCAGATTACTTTCTGGAACTGCGCCCAAAGAAACTCAGCAAGTTGAGGCAGAGCAGAACTACACGATCTCGTTAAGCATAGAAGAACGATCAAATGGGTCAATAGCACCTTTTATCAACCCGAACAACATCTTTCTTGTCAAACTGAACCCCAACCATAATGCAAGCAAGAAGAGTGCAATTAGCTATGATTTGAGGCGATGGAGAGGAGCATAGGAGTTTTGATATCACTGTAATGGCGAGATGATCTACATTTGCATCCACTTGCTCTGTAGCAAAGTGGAAAGGAAGAACATGAGACAGCCACTCGAGGACAGAGTCAGGACAAGCCTCAAATTTCGGTGAAGGCCACCAGATCAATGGTTTATATTTCACAAGAAACAGTTGGGTTGTCGCAATAACCACATTGTCATTGAATGTTGTCCTCTCCAACATGCAGCAAAACACATTGTAGTCTGAGCTTCCTTCGCCGCCAATAAATCCATAGGCAGGACGCCCCTGAAGAATACGGTGGCAGTATAGGTGACAGAGAGCCATTGTACATGCCGATGCTTTCTCCTCCAACGACGGTATGATTCGCCCCTGGATGTCCCAGCAGGTTGTGTAAACATCGTACAGCTGACACAGCGTGTCTGAGACATCAAGATCCAGAGGCCATGATACGAGTAACGAGAGACGGAGACCTGCAAAGGCAAACGAGAGGCTCAGTCTTATGGGAATAGACTCTGTATTATTGCAAGTACCTGCAAAGGCAAACGAGAGGCTACGGTAAGTGTTAGTGAGTGTTAAGTACGACGACGAACGAAGGGATCTCACCTCAGTCTTATGGGAATAGACTGAGGTGGAACAACGCGGGTGCGAGGACTATATACGAGTCCGCGTTAGCGATGATGTAAGTAGTAAGCATGTTATAGTACGTGTGCGCAGCAAGATAAGAAAATGAACATTACTAACGAGACTTGCAGATTACGTCGAAATATCCAACACTCCCCTTCAAGTCTAGCATAGTCCGAGCATATCAACAAACTTCTGAACCTTCGAACGAGCGAGTGCCTTGGTGAAAACGTCTGCGACGTTTGCGCTTGTTGGGCAGTATACAAGCACGACCTTTCCATCACTGACAGCTTTTCGAATAAAGTGATAGCGGATATCAATGTGTTTCGTGCGCGGATGGAATTTGTTGTTCTGGGTGAGGGTGATAGCGCCTTGATTGTCGCACAGAACGATGGTGGGACCGACAATGGGCGCACGAATTTCGCCGATGAGGCTACGAAGCCAAATGACATCCTTAAGCGAGTTCGTCGCGGCAACATACTCAGCTTCCGTTGAGGACAATGCAACTATATTCTGCTTCCTCGATCCCCAAGCTATTGGCATTCCCGCGAGCGATACGACGTGGCCCGAAATTGAATGGCGATGAGGTTGCGAGCCCCAGTCAGCGTCAGTGTAAGCCAACATGCCTTCATTAGGGTCCGTGAGGTTGAGACGAAGGTCTCGCGTGCCTTTGAGATAGCGCAAAACTCGTTTTGCAGCTTGCCAATGGGTTCTACCAGGGTTTTGGGTGAATTGAGCGAGAGTCGAGGTTGCAAATGCAATGTCAGGGGCGCGAGCCGAGTGCAGCCCATGCTAAGGACCCAACGAGTTCTTGGTAAGGAACACTTTGCATCTCGTTGGCATGCTGTGCCGTTGTTGGTGACTGGTCAGTTGAGAGCATGATACCAGGTTCGAGAGGTGTGGAGACGGTGTTGGCATGTTGGAGTCCAAAACGATCAACGAGAGTGTCGATGTAAGCACGTTGGGATAATGATAATGTTCGCGCCGTTTTGTCATACTTGACTTCGAAACCGAGCAACCATTTGATCTCTCCAAGGTCAGAAATCTCGAACCTCTTCCTAAGCTCGTCTTTCAACCATTCTATTGCCTCGATAGAGTTTGCCGTGGCGGCCATGTCATCAGTAGACACGGAGACAACAGTGGATGACTTCTCGTCATGTTTGAAGAAGACCGCATGGTCAACAGCTGATCGCGTGAACCCAATCTCGCGGAAAAATTCACATAGTGTCTCGTACCATTCAAAGCCAGCCTGCTTGAGTCCGTAAAGACTTTTCTTGAGTTTGCAGACCTTGCCTTCTTGACCGGGCTTGAGATATCCAGGAGGTGGTCTCATATAGACATCCTCGGTCAATTCAGCATTGAGGTACGCATTTTTCATGTCGATCTGGTGGATCTCCCATCCTTGGCTAGCGGCATTGGCGAGAACGGCTCTGACAGAAGGAAGTTTCGCGACGGCAGCAAAGGTTTCGTTGTAGTCAATGCCTTCTCGTTGACTGTTGCCATTGGCGACGAGGCGTGCCTTGTACCGTGTGATGTCGCCATTTTCGTCTCGCTTGGCTTTGAGAATGAAATGAGAGTTGATTATGTTCGCGTCAGCAGGTGGATCAACGAGGTCCCAGGTGTCGAGCTTCTCGATTGCGACAATTTCATCATCCATTGCTTTCTGCCACTTTTCTGCATCTGGACCACGAAGTGCTTCTCTGATGGTTGGTTCATCGCCAGGGGAAGATGCTAGAGCATAGTGCGCGAGCATAGCAAATTCGTTGTGCGGGAATTCATCTTCCAAGTCTGGTGATTCTTCCATCCATGTTGCATTGATTTGTTCGGCTCAATCAAAAACATCTCGGCTATAGTAGCCTAGAGGGAATTGGACATGGCGAGTTGTGCGAGGTTCGACAGCTGGTTCGGGTTCGGGAAGTGACGTTGTAGGCGAAGCAGGAGGTTGATGATTGATGGTTGCTGGTGGAGTTGATTGGCTAGTTGTGACGGAAGATGGTGTTGGTGTCGCGGGAGTTTTCGGTGCTTCACTAGTGGGTTTCGAGGTGTTGTGAAGGACGATACTCTCATTCTCCCCTTCGAACTGCACATCACCTGTAGTAGCTTCATCAGGAGCAAACCTCACATCTCGTTCAACTGATACTCAACAAGTGTCAGGCCAGAAGACTTGATACCCTTTACTCTCGTTATCATACCCTAAGAACTTCCCAGCCTTTGCACGTTCATCGAGCTTTCCCGCATCTAAGATCTTGACATAGATGGTGCAACCAAATCTCCGGATTCCCGAAAGATCAGGTTTTTCGCCATGAACGACTTCGAATGGTGTCTTGTTGGTGAGAGCTCGTGTGGGTGATCTATTTTTGAGGTAGACAGCGTGATTTACGGCCTCAGCCCAAAGAGCTTTAGGAAAATCTGCACCAATAAGAAGAGCTCGAGCATGCTCGACGACGGTTCGATTAACTCGCTCGGCAACACCATTTTGTTCAGGAGAGTCATGGACAGTGTATTCATGATGGATTCCGCGTTTCGATAGGTATTTCTTCATCTCGTCACTGGAATATTCACCACCACGATCAGATCTAATGAATTTGACCTTGGCATTGTGCTGGGTTACGAGGCGTGCAATGTGCTCAGTGAGTGCTCCAAAGACTCCGCTCTTCTTCCGAAGAAAAACAACAGTCGTCTCACGGGAATAGTCATCCGTGAACGTGACATAATAACGCTTCTTGCCAAGTGATTGAATTTTAGCGGGACCCCACACATCAGTGTGGATGCGTTCACCATACTGGCTGGCTCGTGAATTCGACTGGTCAGGGAATGGTTGCCGTGTTATTTTGGCTTTGACACACGTTTCGCAAAATGTGTTATCAGGAGATGAGGTAATCTCGATACCTTCAACCATGCCCTTGGTTACCATGGCCTTTGTGGCTGCGAACGACATGTGTCCCATGCACTGATGGAGTTGAGTCAATGACATCTTCGTTTTCGGTTTTGCGGGGGCTACTGCAGCTGCATGCTCCAATCCTGCAATCCGATAGAGACCGTCGACCTCAGGAATCCTCGCAATGAGCTTCTTCGGCTTCTGCGACCAGATTTCGCACCATCCCAGCTCCATATGGATCGATAATCCCGCGCGAACGATTCGGCTTGTGGAAATGAGGGTAAAGGCTATGTTCGGCGTGTATAATACGTCCTTTAGTGTGACTCGGGAACGTGCCTGACCATTTGGTAGCTCTATTTCAACATCTCCTCGTCCAACAGCATGAAGAGTTCGTCCGTCAGCGACATTAATAGGCCTCGGATCAATGGTAGCAAAAGTCTTGAACTTCGCGCGGTCAGGACAAAAGTGGGAGGTGGCGCCAGAATCAACAATGGCTCCTCGCTTTTCAGCAGGAACTCGAAGTACATTAGCTTCGTCAACGCAATCAGAGGTCAGAAATGCGTAATCTGTGTCTGATGATGCAGTTACGTTTGCTGATTCCGACTTTTTCTGGTTAGGACCTTGACCTTCCTTGCCACCACCTTTTCGCCAGCAGTCAGCTGACATATGACCAATTCGTCTGCAGTTATAGCACTTCTTGTCTGACTTTCCATTCGGCTTCTTCCCACATCGACGGCCCTTGTTCGATGAAACATTGAGTGCCGAGTCATCTTTGTCTGACGACTTTCCGAGATTGCGATGGTCGGCTTCTTCGAAAGCAACAGCAATGATCTTGTCAGAGGTGACTAACTGGCTAGTAGCACGAATGGCAACTGTCGTGGATCGCATAATGTTTCGGAAGGATTCGGGAAGGGAATTAATGATCATTGCGGTGAAGTCTCGGTCGTCGACAGGTGCTCCCATGCCCGCGAGTTCTTCACGTAGTACCATCATCGAAGTAAGGTGCACTTTGACATCATCATTCTCGTTGCACTTCATACTTTGCAGACGAGCACGAGTGTCTACTTGAACCATGTCACTCTTGCCTTCGTAGATGAGGCAAATGGCCCTCCAAATCGCAGAAACGGAGTGTTTGTTCTGTACCTGAATCATCACAGTATTCGGAACAGTTGCATAGAGTTGCTGTATAGCAAGAGCTTCCTTCTGCGCGTGCGCGTCGAGAAGGGCTAGGTTCATTTCGATGTCGGTTTCGGTGGCCTCTGCTGATTTGTCGTGAAGCAGGATCTTTTTGCCGTCAGGCGTTCTAGGAAGTGGCTGAGGGGCTTTGACGGTACCATCGAGGTGACGGTTCAAGCCGCGCGCTGTCAATGACATGACGGTTTTCATCTTGAATTCAACCCAGTTCTTCTCAGTGAGTTTCGGGACGGCATAGATGCCTGAAGTCGACATGGTTTGATTGGAAGGGACGACAGGGCTCATAACCTGATACGAGTAACGAGAGACGGAGACCTGCAAAGGCAAACGAGAGGCTCAGTCTTATGGGAATAGACTCTGTATTATTGCAAGTACCTGCAAAGGCAAACGAGAGGCTACGGTAAGTGTTAGTGAGTGTTAAGTACGACGACGAACGAAGGGATCTCACCTCAGTCTTATGGGAATAGACTGAGGTGGAACAACGCGGGTGCGAGGACTATATACGAGTCCGCGTTAGCGATGATGTAAGTAGTAAGCATGTTATAGTACGTGTGCGCAGCAAGATAAGAAAATGAACATTACTAACGAGACTTGCAGATTACGTCGAAATATCCAACAGGCCAGTCGACATGAGGAACAAGGCTAGCAGCTGCGAGAAATACTTCAGGATCCGTGGACGTCTCGAGCAGCCACTTGATGCTAGGTGTTTCGAGAGAGCTAGTGAGTATGCCCGGCAGTTCGAGTTCAAGGGGGTATTTATTTGTGGCTACAACGTGCAGGTTCTGGTCAGGATGTTGTGTTTCAGGGTCCACGACCCTTGTCGGAGAGCGCCGCCAGGATAAAAGGTGCTGAAATAACGACTGAAGACGGCGCCATGCGAATGAGCAGGCCGCAAACACAGAGGCTGAAGTGACATGAGCGCTGGGTATGCTATGAAATAATACCAAAGAACGTTACTTGCTAGTCCTGATAATAGGGTCCGACATGTATCATACGGGTCATATTGATATGATAGACGTTGCAGTGCACGTAACATCCGTTTCAGCACGCGTAGCAAGAAACGGTCAAAAATTTTGTATGCTTGAGAAAACGGAACTTACCGTGCACCGACGTCGTCAGCTGCTTAAGATATAGGACCTCTGCAATTTGACTCAGGCTGGAAATGAGCAGAACTTGAAAATGATCTTACTGTCAACGCGTAACATGCGCAATATCGTCGATATCGGGGTCTGAAATGGACACGCGGAAGATACCAAAGCTGCCATCACCGTCAGCGAATAAAACAAAAACCCGAAGACCGTGGTTGCAATGATGACCCAGGCAATCGTGTACTGCTGGGACCACATATTGGCGCTGAGGGCAATTCCAAAGAGAAGAAGAGAGAACTGCAGTAGGATCGGGAACGATTGCACGACAGCATCAAAATACCATGTAACGATGCCATCGAACCTCTCTTGTCTGCGTTTCGCTCGTTCCTCCTCCGAGCCACGGCCGTATCTATGCGACTTGTAATACCCGAGCCACTGCTTGCCTAGCACGGCCCCGAAGGCAGCGAGTAAGCTGAAGGACAAGCTTGCGTAGGCGATGCATTGGATCCTTATAATGGCTGTAGGCGGTGACCAGGTTGACGCTGGCGCTGCCGGCGTAGACCCCGCTGCAGTGAAATTGCCGAGTCCGATTTGGACGAGCTGGGTGAGAAAGGCATGCGTGGTATCGTTGGGGTCTGGACTGAGATTCGACTCCATGGCCACAATAAAAGCCGTGCTGACGGCAGAGAACAGACCAGACTAATCAAACGTCAATCCCAACATGAGGTAAAGGTGAGTGTGCGAAACTTACGAAAATTAACACGATGTCCATGTCGCCGTTGTATCGCTCAAGGAACTCGTCGTCGTGTTCCTCAGCAACTCTTTTGTATAATGCCCAGAAACGAGAGCGGTCATCCTTGCCGGTCTTCGAGACAATCGTTGAGTCCTTGAGAATCTCCAACACTTCCTTCATGACTTTCGTTCTGCAGGAATAGTATCGTCAGTTGTGATCGTTTGGCTTACTTGGCCACTCACATTTCACCTGGATTCGGCTGGTCATCCTGCCCTGCGACCTCCTGCGCCTTACTGAGACGATATGAGTATGTTCAAGATTGCGACTGAGTGGAACTCACGCAGTTGAGGCGCCTTTTGATTAATCATTCGAAATACTTTCCCGTTCGCGATGTTCTTGTGGCCTGAAAAGATTCAGAGTTCGAGCTGCAATTCGTGTAAGGAGGGCACCAAAGCATCGGGGAAGAAACGCTCACATTACTAGTGAAGTCGCCACCAAAGGTCCACCATTTTCCTCCTCACTGTGTCACTGTCAAATGGGGAACTGAAATTCCAGGAAAGTTGCAACTCACTCATCGGCGGGTCGTATGGTATCCCTTTCCGGAGGAGGCTGCTCGTCAAGGTGGGCGCTCTGCGCACAGGCGCCGTCTGTGCTACCATCTTTTGATAGCCTTCTGCTAAGTTTTGAAGTGATTGATGCTCTCGACATGAATATGATGAAGAGTTTCAGAGATGGAGCAAAGGATTAGGAAGAGTCTGAGGTGAGAGGGCAGAGTGGTAGTACACAACCAACCAGTCAGGCGGCTATAGAACATCATGGACCCTCCTCGGCTCGGCTCGGCCCGATCCAGGCCTTAAAGCCGGGCTTTGCACATTATAACATGTGTTGAAACTGAAGGTATTCGTGAAGCTCCCCGGGCTGTAGTGGACATGAATAGCCACACTTATGTCCCGACATAGTCTGTGTGGCCTGGCAATCGTGATAAACACTGGAACTCAACGTATCGCAGGGAGCTGCGGGGCACAAATAGTACAAGTTGATGAAGTCCTGCGAGTGACTAGTTGAGCTGTATGGCCACTGGCCATGCACTACTACAATCGGTTGGAACGGTCCAAGTTTCTGCGAGAGCATCGTCCGTGTATGTTCTACACGGACGATGATCTCGCAGAAACTTGCACTGTGGATGATGGAATGAGCAACGGATGTGCTGGTACCGGAGGGCTCTAGTGCTTGCGTATGTAGCAGTACAGGGAGCCTTCGTGATGGTGTGCATAGGGATGGAGGCAGCTGCGGTAATATGATTCTGTTGGTGGAAGAACTGCGGGTTATATGGTGATAGGCCGGAGTAACGGGAGTGGAGACAGACATACGAGAATTCCAGGAGTTTGTGAGGTAGGGAGTAGTATAGATACGGGGCGTACTGGGATGGTGCATGAGATATCGACGCTGGCGAAAGTGCGAAAGGCGTGGATGGAGACGTACAAGCTGAATTTTGTCGGAGGTTCATTACGTCAGTTGAACACCTTAACTCATACTTAAGAGTGGATGCGGCATGGATGAGATGGGCTATTGATTTAGTTGCGACATGTACAGACTGGGTATATAGTGTAGGGCGGAAAAATAGGGACGGGATGGTAGCAAAGGCGCTGATCATTGAATATGTATCAGAGTGGCTCGGTGACAGCGGGCGCGGGATGCACGAAAAAGGCAGGCGAAGGTGTTGATGCCGTCACGGTGTATGAAAGAGGCGCTCCGGATCCATGACCAGGACGGGACGAGAATGTATGGCGCTGGATCAGTTCAACTATTCTACACACAAAATAGGCTCATACACACAACATTTTCACACATACACAATCGCGTACCGTTGCCGAGACGTGCGGGACTTCCTGTTTTGGTAATATAGCGCGACGGCACAACGCTTGAGCCTTGAGCTCGCTGTCGAAAACAGCGAGCTCAAATACTCGCCCAATTCCTCTCCCTTTTCCCTAATTCTTTTTAGTACATAAATTTATGATAAACGCGTTAACTATGCTTACTTTGACAACCCTCCTTCCCCTCCTCCCCCACCCTGACCGCTTTTTTGGATTCTAATTGGATATCTGTGTTTCCGTAGAAGTTCTGATGTATTTATACAATGAATACATCATCATTTAAGCCCATAATAAGCCCTTCAGAGTGCCCAGAATGAATGCATGACAGGAAGTAGTGAATATTGTGAGTATGGAAGAATTATGGTCAATATGGCATAATTGATGTGCCACAAGTAACGCATTTATCATAAATTTATGTACTAAAAAGAATTAGAGAAAAGGGAGAGGAATTGGGCGAGTATTTGAGCTCGCTGTCGAAGACAGCGAGCTCAAGGCTCAAGCGTTGTGTCGTCGCGCTATATTACCAAAACAGGAAGTCCCGCACGTCTCGGCAACGGTACGCGATTGTGTATGTGTGAAAATGTTGTGTGTATGAGCCTATTTTGTGTGTAGAATAGTTGAACTGATCCAGCGCCATAAGAATGCATCATACAATATTTGTCGAAACCCGTGATAGTGGAACGCCGCGCACAGACAGTTTCGCGCGCACCGACGCAGACGGGAGGCACACCGACACCGAAGTGGGAGAGGAGTCAAGGACACTATATCAATAGGTGGGAGGGATGGCTCGGGTGCCAACCTGTCAAGCACAAGTTTGCCAGTGACTGTATCTAGTTAGTACGTGGAGTCCCTGACGACAATCAATCTATGCTCGTGTCGTGAGCCTTTGCATCGCATGCCCAACAGGTGACCGTCAAGTCGAATTGATTGAAGTGTCGTTCCTCTTCTCGTCCATTTTCAAGCTTCCTCACTTGTACTGCCTACTATCCCTTCCTCCGATCCCATGATATACAAGCGCTTGTGATGATAGGGGAACTACATGTACTGCAGTGAACTATAAATTGAAATTGACAAGCATGTCTTTGGCACTATCTCTCAACTCCTTCAAAGCAACGGCATCCTCCTCTCTATGCTCTAGAAAACCTTGCCCTTCTAGACTTTCGATAAGATTGTCCATGTATCCGACGAACCACTGGAGATCAGACTCTAAAGCGACACCCATGCACTTCTTTGTTCTTTCCACAAGAACGGGAAGGAATTCAACATCGTGCGTGTCGGGGATTCCAAAATAAACACAAGCACAATAGCGCCATGCCTCTCTCGTCATGTCCCACCACTGCTGCTTTGTGATAGAACTGAGTGATGTGGCGGACACCTGTTCAGATGTCATTCGGAGGAAGATACCAACGAGGTAAAAGACATGCGGCTTGTATGATTCACAGCACACTGCGATCATACTAATGGCCCGATCTATTTGGCAATGCAAATGGGGGCGCCAGTAGGAATTCCTTGCCAGGGCAAAGATCAATTCCAGATAGTACAAGTCGGGGTCATGATGGGCCCAGAGGCGGTCAGGACGATCATCGATGGGTGTTTCACCTGGTTGCGGACAAACCACAGTAAGGATAGCGGGGGAGAAATTGGTCAAAACCATGTCCGCATCATCAACGACATCCATGGAAGCAAAGACTTCCCGGGAACTGTGAGCAGCGCGAAGGGCAGCACGGCGTAAACGGGGGGGCATGCTGCTGTCCATGCAGGCGACGAGCTTCTCGATGTATAGACTTTGTTTAGCGGGGCTGCAGCTCACGCTCATGCTACTTAGTAGTATAAGGATGTCACCTGCTGTCTTGTGGTCGTTGGAACAAACATCGCCGAGGTAGTCCACTAGCCAGTCGAAGTCTTCTGACGAGTGGCCAGTACCTTCCCACGAAATGTGATTCGACCACAACCAGGTCGAGCCCGATGCGTCCCCTGGGACATCGACAACGAACTTGAAGCGCTGCACCTTTAACAGCAATGCTGCTAGATCCCGATCATTGCGTAGAGATGACCTTGCTCGTAAATAAATCTTGCAGCACATGCCCAGGTTCCACATCGTCGGAGGTGGAAGTAGATCACGATGATCAAGTACTGGACAGATGAGGTCCAAGTGGCATACTTGGCGGAAAGTCTCGCTGTCGACTTCGCCTCCATCCAATGCCCAGATTACTTTTCGGAACCACGCCCAAAGAGACTCAGCAAGTTGAGGCAGAGCAGAACTACGCGATCTCTTCGTTAAGTATAGTAGAAAAACCATAAATGAGTCAACAGTACCTTTTATCAACCCGAACAATGTCTTTCTTGTCAAATTGAACACCGACCATGATGCAAGCGAGAAGAGTGCAATTAGCTACGATTTGAGGCGATGGAGAGGAGAATGGTAATTTTGATATCACTGTGATGGCGAGGTTTTCTACGTCTTGATCCTCTCGCCCTGTGACAAGGTGGAAAGGAAGAGTGTGAGACAGCCACTCGAGGTCAGGGTCAGAACAAGCCCCAAACCTCGGTGAAGGCCACAAGAAAAAAGGTGGTTCATATTTCGCAACAAATAGCTTGATTGTCGCAACAAGCACATCGTCGATGGCTTTTATCCTCCCCAACATCTCGTGAAACATGTAGCCATCTGCAATCCCCTTTCCAATATATCCTTCAACTTCATGTCCCTGAAATCCATAGGCAGGATGTCCCTGAAGGATATAGTTGCAGTATAGGTGACAAAGAGCCATTGTACACGCCGATGCCTTTTCCTCCAATGATGGTACAATTTGCCTCTGGACATCCAAGCAGCTTGTATAAACATTATACAACTGTTGCAGCATGTTTGAGACGTCAAAATCCAGAGGCCAGTCGACACGAGGAACAAGCTTAGCAGCGGCAAGGAATACTCCAGGATCCGTGGATGTCTCGAGAAGCCATCTAATACTAGGTGCCTCGAGAGAGTTGGTAGGTGTGTCTGGCAGCTCGAGCTTAAGGAGGCATTGATTCGTGGCCACAACGTCCAAGCCCTGGTCAGGAGATTGTGCTTCAGAATCCACGACCCTTGTCGGAGAGCGCTGCCAGTGTAGAAGGCGCCGAAATGCGCCGAATAATGGCTGAAGACAGCGCCATGCGAATGAGCGGATTGCAAACACAGAGCCTGGAGTGATATGAGCGCTGGGTATGCTATGCAATAGTACCAAAGAACGTCACCTGTTAGTTCTGATAATTGGATACGACATATAACATAGTGGCCATAAGGGTCTCGATAGAACAGATAATGCAGCACATCTAACCACGGTTGCAGCATACCTAACAAGAAACAGTCAAAATTTATGCATAGGCAAGAAAACGGAACTTACCGTGTACCAGTGTCACCAGGTGTTGAAGATACCGGGAGGCCAAAATAACCATTGAACACAGAACTTCTGCAATTCTGACTCAGGCTGGAAATGGGTAGAACTTGAAAATGATCTTACTGTCAACGCGTAACATGCGCAATATCGTCGATATCGGGGTCTGAAATGGACACGCGGGAGATACCAAAGCTGCTATCACCGTCAGCGAATAAAACAAAAAACCGAAGACTGTCGTTGCAATGATGACCCAGGCAATCGTGTATTGCTGGGACCACATATTGGCGCTGAGGGCAATTCCAAAGAGAAGAAGAGAGAACTGCAGTAGGATCGGGAATGATTGCACGACAGCATCAAAATACCACGTGACAATGCCGTCGAGCTTCTCTTGTCTGCGCTTCGCTCGTCCATCCTCTGATCCGCGGCCATATCGCTGGGACTTGTAGTACCCGAGCCACTGCTTGCCTAGCACGGCCCCGAAAGCAGCGAGTAAGCTGAAGGACAAGCTTGCATACGCGATGCATTGGATCCTTATAATGGCTGTAGGCGGTGACCAGGTTGGCGCTGGCGCTGCCGGCGTAGACCCCGCTGCAGTGAAATTGCCGAGTCCGATTTGGACGAGCTGGGTGAGAAGGGCATGCGTGGTATCGTTGGGGTCTGGACTGAGATTCGACTCCATGGCCACAATAAAAGCCGTGCTGACGGCGGAGAACAGACCAGACTGATCGAACGTCAATTCCAACAAAAGGAAAAGACGAGCAGGCGAAACTTACAAAAATTAACACGATGTCCATGTCGCCGTTGTATCGCTCAAGGAACTCGTCGTCGTGTTCCTCGCCGACTCTTTTGTATGCCGCCCAGAAACGAGAGCGGTCATCCTTGCCGGTCTTCGAGGCGATTGTCGAGTCCTTGAGAATCTCCAACACTTCCCTCACGATGTTCGCTCTGCGGGTACAGTATCGTCAATTGTGACTCCTTGGTTTATTTGGCTGCTCACATTTCACTTGGACTTGACTGGCCCTCCTGCCCTACGACCTTTTGCCCCTCGCTGAGACGATATGAGTAGGTTCAAGATTGCAACCGAGTGGAACTTACACAACTAAGGAGCCTTTGGGTGAATCATTCGAAGTACTTTCTTGTACGTGAGGTTCTTGTGGCTGAGGAGATTCAGAGTTCGAGCTGCAATTCGTGTAATGAGGGCGCCAAAGCATTGGAGTAGAAACGCTCACATTCCCAGTGAAGTCACCACCCGAGGTTCATAACTCTTCTCCAAACTGTATCGCAATCAGATGGGGCACTGATATTCCAGGAAAGTTGCAACTCACTCATTGACAAGTAGTATGGGATCCGGAGGAGGCTGCTCGGCCCCGTCAAAAAGGTAGATGTACTGCGCAGGGGCGCTGTCTGCACTACCCTGTTTCGATAACCTTCGGCTACGTTTTGAAGTGATTGATGATCTCGACATGAGTATGATGAAGTGTTTCAGGGATGGAGCAAAGGATTGGGAAGAATCTGATGTGAGAGAACAGAAATGAGTGGTAGTATATAACCAACCAGTCAAGCGGCACAGCCATGACAAACATCATGCCAGGCTGTCGGCCGCTGTCCTTGGCAGGGCTCGGTTCGGCCCAGGGCTTGAAGCGGGGCTTTGCACATTACTACATGTGTTAAAAATGAAGGTATTCAGGGCGAAGTTCCCTGGGTTGTAGCGGACATGAATAGCCACAAATAGTCTGCATGCCCTGACTCGTAATGTATCGATAAGGGCTAGAGCTCAATGTGTCGCAGGGAACTGTGGGACACAAATAGTACATGGCGATGAAGTCCTGCGAGCGACAGGTTGAGATGTATGGCCGCTGGCCGTGCACCACTACAACAGGTCGAATTTTCTATGAGGACATTGTCGGTGTACACTGTAGATGGTGGAATGAGCAACGGATGTGCTGGTACCGGAGGGGTCTAGTGCTTGCGTATATAGCGGTACATGGAGCCTTCGTGATGGTGTGCGTGTCATAGGGATGGAAACATCCGCGACAATATGACTCTGTTGGTAGAAGAACTGGAGCAGAAACGGACCTACGAGAGTTCCTGAGAGTGGTATAGATACAGCAATAAGGGATGTACTGGGAGATATCTATGGCGAAAGTGCAAGAACAGGCGTGGATGTAGGCTAAGGGGACGACATAGAATTTGGGTCCGTGTCAGCCGCTGGACTGAATCATTGATTGATCGGAGGTTCATTATTACTGGTTATTACGTCAGGCGTAGCGCCTTCAAGTTAGCTCATATGGATGCGACATGAATGAGATGGGCTATTTATTTAATTGTATGTCGCTTACTATTACAATATTAATGAAACTGGGTAGTGACATATAGATGGTAGGAGCGGGACGGCAGTTATTTAGGCGCTGATCATTCATGATGTATTAGAGTGGATGCACGTTTAAAGAGGCAGGCGAAGGTGATGAAAGACGCGGCCAAACTCGAGGATAGGCGCGCACCGAATGCGATCTAGGTAAGACGCGTCATCGAAAGGTGCTGCGTCATAGCCTGCGTCACTGATGTGGTAAGCCCATCAGGCGGATGGCATGAAACACTCCCCATACACACACCCAGAAGTACTGTCCATCGACTAGCCTTTCTAGACCGGATTCAAGCCATTAAGCTATTACCAGATCGTATCTACCAGTACCACAGCTACATCGAGCAGCCACTAGCCGTACCATACGTCTCGAGTCTCGTGCCATTAAAATTATCAAAAAAAGAAGCCAATCGTCAAAAGAAAAAAAGAAAACGAACGAAAGAGCGACCACAAAAAAAGCTATAAACAGCAGATAAATTAAAGCGAACGGTAACATATCCCAAAGTCAGTTAAAAGTATCTTCCTACCAGGGGCGGTAATGCGGGCGGGAACGTATCTCCGTCATCATCCATACCCCGGCCATTTTCCACCAGGTACATCGTACGCCTACCAGCCGTCTGCTCATCTGAGGGATAGAACGATGCATCATCGTCACCCTCGTCGTCAGCCTGTGCGCCCTTGGGATCATTTCCTCCCTCCTCGTTGTACGTGCTCGAACGCTCATCATAGACGCTGGCACTGAAGTCGCTCCGGGTATCGAGCATAGACGAATGTGAGTGTGCCAGAGGGATGCTGGCCGTAATTTGCTTCCCGTAACTGGACCCTGACCGTGAGGAAGTTCTTGTTTCTGGGCGCGTATCTACAACCCCTCCCGAATGACGACTCGAGTGTCCGTGACTGTCAGAAGTAGATACTGACGGCGCATTGGAGGAGCGTATAGAGCGAACAGACGGGTCAGACGAGGAGCCAGACCCACTTGTACTGCGCAGAGCAGGCGAAGGATATCCCATTGACGACACCGACGAAAAGTGTTCGTGGAATTTCGAGGGGAACACTGGAGCATGCATAGACCGCGTATTCGGAACCTGTGGGAGAGGTGAATCTGGGGGTGGGTGCCGCGGGGATCCCTGCATCCCATGCATGCGCCGCTGTAGAAATGGTGGTGGCTGCATCTCCGAATGCTGTCTCCCTACCATACCACCATGCTTCGGAGGGTGGCTCTCAGGGTTGTCATCACTAGGAACAGCGCTGTAGCTCTGGTACCTCCTCGGTGACGCCTCACCATTGTCATGCGTGTATTGCGGCACAACTGAATCAGATGCGCTATGTGACGGCTGTGGACGAGGAGAAAACAGAACCCGCGGCTGAGCTTGCGGATGTCGGCGAGGAACTAATGGAGCTGTAGGCGCAGGTATTGCAACCGGTCGGAAAGGTGGCAGTCTCCGCGAGGGCGTCGTCGGCGTAGACGGTGGGACGGGGAGCGGACGCGCTGGCACTGGAGGCAGTGCTTGCGTGGGTGGTGGTCCAGGGGCCTTTCGTGACGGCGTGGATGGTATGGGAGACGGAGGCGGCTGTGGCAATGGCTGCGTAGGTGGAGGAGCCGCGGGTCGAATAGGGATATGCCGGGGAGAGGCGATTGGAGTTGGAGATGAACGGACGGGAGTTGCAGGAGCCTGTGAGATAGGAGGTGATACCACACTAAGGGGTGCACTGGAAGTCGGTGCGTGAGATACCAGCATAGACGGAAGAGCGACAGCAGGTGTAGACGAAGGCACAGGCGAAGGTGAAGGCGACGGCGTGGAATTTACCGTCTGTTCGAATGGTCGAGGAGTTGCAGAGGAAGGCGTTGCTACTCGAGCAACTGGGGGACTAGCGCGGTCTTTTCTTGAGTGCAAGACAGGACTTGACGATCGAGTTGAGGTATTAAAGTTCAGCGTCAGAGGAGTGAAGCCAGATCGCGTAGGGGATGCAGGTGCTGCGATAAGATGCTTCAAAGGTCTTGGACTCGAAGGAACTGCCATTGGAGGCATCGCGGGGACTGGTGGTATGTAGTTATCATCCTCTTCATCGCTGGCTCGCTGCTTCTTTGGCTTCCTTCGAAAGAAAGCCATTGCCCGAGATTTGCCCTTACTAGCCTTCCCTTGCGACTTGCTTGATGACGCAGAGAGATATCCTCCATCCGAAGAATAACCGGGCGCTTCATCAGGTCCGGGGCGCAAGTCCAAGGCTGGTGGCTTTCCTTTCTTGCCTTTTCCTTTCAGTTTGCCAGACTTTTTGAAACCAGCGCTGTCAGAAAGATATTGACCATCGCTCACATAGCCCGCTTCAGACTTTGCGGAACTCGGCGTGGCACATTTGCGGTCGGTTTTGACGTGCGATATCCTCACTCGATCGGTTGTCCTACATCATCTGACGGCTTCCTAGACGAATTGGACATACTTCCGGCCCGCTCCCTCTCATTGACTGGCGCGTTCAGCGGAGGCAATGATAGCATCAGCTGCGCGGAAGCAAAATCATCGAAATGCACGTGGGGAGGTTCGAACACGCTCGGCTTGTGCATGTGATTCTGCCTTGCGGATGCAACGTTGTTTTGCGGGGAGGACGTCGTTGACGAATCATCACTCGCAGTATGCGAGCCAAAAGTGAGGGCAGGAGTCAAGATCTGTGGGGGTGAACGCAGCAATAATGAAGTAAACGAAAGAGCTTTGTTAAGCGTCGAGTCAAATCTGAGATGGTGACAGCGTACCTCTTCTGCCTCCGTTTCAGGAGGGATATCCTCCAATTCTTCTACCTCCTCAGGCAAGGGACTATTGAATATCCAATTCGCGACAGTGGAATTGTGGATCCCAAGCTCAAGGGCAGTCTCGAAAACCGACGCGCGAACGACATTAGAATCTGGTCTGACTCCGGACGACCTGAGCTTCGTACGTCTGCGGACTTGGGGTATTGTGTGTGACATGTTAATGTAAATGAGAGTCCGAAATAAATGAATGGGACGGCGTGCGTCAAGGCGAAAAGGAGTAAAGATCACTGGGTTCCTGCAGTGCGTTCAAAATTCAGCCTTTGGACCAGACAAAGGCCATCCGCTGTTTGCCTGTCAACGCAACAAAAGGTGAAACTTGAATATGCGTGAGTAGGGTTTAAAAGCGGTAAGTAGTAAGAGAAAAGCGGGTACCTGGGATATGATGAAGGATGTGCTTGCAACAATCAGATTTGTTAGACAATATGGTGAAATTGAATGGACTGACTACAGTTGCAACGAGCTCAAGTCAAGACTCAACGACTTGTCAACAACCGAAATTCTCGATAAACGTCGAGCACGAAAGAAAAACACGAAGCTGAGCAACCGAAACCGCGATTTCTTGAGTCAATTGATTTCCTTTTATGGACAATTGCATTTGAAGTCTTTCAAATTCCATTGTCAAAGTATTAGGTCACATGACGTCGAATGATGTTGAACATGTCCAGGGCTTCCTCCCTAACCTCGAATCTCTACCTTTCTCTCCTACTCACAAGCAATCGATCGATACATAGGCTTTATTCCAACACTAGGGAAGGTGGAGGTTGAGTGGATTCGCAGGGTAACGTGACCCGCAGATGCCAGAAATATTATGGAACGAGCCTCGTCCCTGCAAAACAATCACATCCGTTTCCAGGGACGTGGCAGTACACTATTCGGACCATCAATGCTGTATCATTGCTGCAGTCTATTGGACATGGTTTCTCGTACGATCACCCCCTTCTGGGTAACTATATTCAGGCGCTCGATTTAAAGTCACGTTGGGCACGTTAACGCGTTTTCTAGATGCATATACATTTGACAGCGGCGATCGCTGCTTCTGGCAGGCGGCCTTGCTAAGCCGATGGTGTTTGTCCGAGCATTCGCCTTTCTAACACTTCTAGAGAAGCCAGAAACTGCGTGACGTGGTCGTTATCTTGTGCAACACTTACCCATCGTAAGCATCAACGAAAGCTTCAGAGAACCGAGGCCCAAGGTGCGTACTAGAACATCGTCGAATACTTGGTTCTCGTGCAATCAGATGTGATAAATGCCATCAGGTTGGAATTCGCACTACAGTGGGGACGTGCCTCTCGTGTAAAAAGTGATTATGCCAGAATTCAAACGTCAGTTAGACCTTTGTGTATACGTGGAAGAAATGTTGGCCCCAAATCCTGCCCAATAATATAAACTCGGCGTAATCATTCATCAACAAACACATACTGGGCCTATGAACGCACATCAACCACACCTTCACCTTCTCTTGTAGTCTCAGACGAAGTCCTTCACATGTTTCTCGAACTATTCTCTCTCCTTGCGTGACAGAACTGGTCCCCCATGAATATGTGGCACCATGGTCGGACCAACGCCTTCGAATACCATGCTATCCGGGAATTTCATGACAAAATCACCCTTGGCTACGAGCTTGAGCATGGTGACACGGCGAGGCCACCAGGAACAAAGCGTGGTACAGCGATTCAAAGGTACGCCAAGAAAGATGAAGATATTGTTCATGCAGTGCAGCAGAGATAGTCGCTGTTCACGACGGTCACTATACCACCGACTCGCTTGTGGGAAGTTTGAAGTGTCGACTCCTTGCTGGTGCACCCATCAAACTCCAGTGATTTTGAGGAGGGTAATGGCACGCCACGGATGTTCTCGACATAATCGTAATGACGAATGACAATTGTCTGACAACACATGCATGAACCGCGTCAATGATGATGTTGGTAGTCGTGAGTTCGAGAAAGGATGTTGAATGGACATTGAAAATGGCCTTTGACACGCCCATTAGCAGTGGTCAAAATTTCCGCCTCGACTGCTATAGCCGCTATGCACATAATGCAAACTTTGGCAATGAACGTTAACGCTCAAGTACTCATACTCTGAATGACGCAGCACAAATCTCGACATTGAAATCGCTCCTCATGTCTCTTCAAGTTGGTCAATATTGAATGTTCAAATTAATTCAAAGGCGCCTCCATTGCCCATGAAGCAGGGAAAATTGTCCAGACTCCAAAAACAACCACATTGACCAAGTCATCAGGAACTACGCATTGTGCCATCAGCCACAGCACCAATGCGAAAGCATAAACACGACTCACTGTCCAGATGTGCTCATGGACAGGCTGCCAGCCCATCGGTAAACAGTCTAATCAATTGCAATATTTGGCACCGGTAGGCTATTGACATTGCAAGGTGCAAGGGGTGAGCAACGGGGTTGGATCCTGGATGCAAAGCCAACTACTCATACTCACCGACTTCAGATTACAGTGAAAGCCACTGCAGCAATCACCGTCAATTTTGCACATATAACCTCGGTGACTGCATGCAGTGACAGACATGCATGCTACCAAAGCAGTAACGACGACGAGGAAGGAGAACTTGAAATGCATGATTTATGCGCGAAGTGATACAAGTTTTACAAAGTGGACACTGAATCACTCTGAGGTGGACAGGGCTTGCTTTTATATCCTGAAAATCATAGAGTTGTGGGCAAAACTTGGAAGTTCTATTAATTTGGCAGATTGGTTGCGCCTGGTTGATAGAACTTCACGGCGGGTGATATTGGAAGAACCTAGTGACCACCCGCGGAGTCGGCGCGGACACAAGTTTCAGGCATAAAGTCGCGCCGTCAAACTTCCAAGGGCACGGGTAATGGGATGTACCCTGAAAATATACTGTTCCCCGTCCGATTTTGCGGCTTCGCCTTTCAAACGCCTCCAGAGTCCAGACATAAGAAAGGTCGTTATTCTTGGTCGCATAATATGCACTACAGAGCGGTTGAGATCTAAAAATCCAAGAGGCGTTGAGTATCATTAAAGGCTAAGGATGCACTAAAAAAGGAGCTCGAGGACAACACGTATATGTAGCAAACGGAGGTGCACCATAATCTTTGGTGGGTGTTCGAGTTTAAAAAAAATGGTTGGAACGACCTGAGGCCCTACTGACGTGGGCCGGTGAGTTAGATGACTGGTGGCACTTTGGAGATTAGTACTCTGTGTCATGTGCAAATGACAATGTGTACAATCGCAAACACCCGATTGCCGGCTGCGTGGCGTGGTGAGAATAATCTTCCTAATTTGGGAATAATTTTGGAAATGGTGCGATGGTGAAAATGGCACGATTGTAATAAGCTTATAACCAGCCCGAACGTTGCCGCACGCGGTTACCCTTCTGCTCCCCCACCGGCAGTAGCACAATGAATATGGAGGGTGAACTTCTCGTCGACGACGTTTCAAACGATGAGCTCAGCTTGGATAAATCTGATCTGCTCACCATGCTCTTAAATAATCTATCAGATTCAGAAACCTCCTCATCCCAAGCATCTTCTCCACCAGACTGGTCTCAGCTTTCCTCTCTCTGGCCGCAACAGCCCTTAGACTTGAGTTCTGACCAGAACTCAAAATTTCCTGATCTTGGCGGTTCTTTCGATTTCTCTTTCCCCATGGACCTTGACCTCAATGCTGCATTGTCCATGGCTGTCGACCCAAGTACACTGCAGTATCACGGCACGTCTCCACAGACCATGTTTGACGTGAACTCTCTTCGTATCCAGCCCCAGGATCTGCTTTCCTCATTTCCGTTCACTTTCTCATCACCCACCCTCAGCTCTGCCTCAGCTTCTTCCAGTTCGGCTGATGAGAAATCACCCCGGATGAGCATCTCATCCGGTGCGTCCGTGTCTCCGGTCATGGTACCGATTAGCTCGGGTACAGGTATGTCTAGTCTATGTTTTATTTATTTTACTAGCTGTTTTATTCACGGAATATCACAGACCCCTTCTCTGGGGTGATTATGCAGGCAAAATTGCCCATACCCCGGCTCATATCCTCTATTCCGGCATTGCCTTCCTCCAAACCACCAAAACACAAGCAGGAACCTCAACCTTACCTCTCGTCTTCGGCGTCATCATCTCCTTCCCCCGGGCCAACTACTCCCACTTCCGACTCTGGATCATCCGCACCTAACACTCAGATAGCAGGCGCTGCTGTCGTTAGCCGCCCGAAGACTAGTCACACAACCATTGAGCGCCGTTACCGTACAAATCTTAACGCGCGCATCCAGAGCCTCAAGGCCTCTGTCCCTGCTCTTCGCGTTCTAGACCAAAATACTACACAAGAAGGTGATGTTGTAGATGAACGTGGATACATTGACGGTGTCAAAGTCGCGAGGAAAGGAAGCAAGGCCAATGTACTCGGAAAGGCAGTCGAGTATATCCGGTAAGATACATTTATCCCCCAATTGTACTTGCGCTGATCGTCATGATAGCGTCTTGAAAAGGCGTGAGATTAGGCTGAGGCGCGAGCAAGAAGGACTGCGTACCCTCATCCTTGGAATTCCCGGTGCTCAGCCTCTCCTTGCTGAATGGGATCATGAATGGGCCAAAAAATTTGGAGGCCCAGAACGTGATGAAATCGACAATGACGCCGAAGCCTACGAAGCAAGTGATGATGAAGATGGCGATGGCGAAGACGAGGGTGATGACTCTGAGCGCGTCCGCAAGAAGCCCAAGTTAACAAAGGCGCCTGCAGCCAAGAAGGATAAGCAGACCGCTGTTTCTGTTGCCGCTGTTGCGCCCACATCGATTCCCGATGGTATCCCCGGAGCAGTACCGGAGAAGCGCAAGCGAGGTCGACCCCGTAAGATCCAACCTGGCGCTCCGCCCCCAATTGTCGCTGCCGCACCTGTCTTGCTCAGCGACCCTGTTAGTGCGCCTGTACAGGGCGATGTTACTATGCAGGCACAGCCCCAGCAGTACCTTCTTGCTGTCTTTGCGCTGTTTTCGTTTTTTAACTCCCCTTTCACCTCAATGGGTGCTTCGCATCCTCACACACACCAAGGTTCGGTACTATCCCACGTTACTGATTCTACACCTGTTACTGCTGCTACGATGTGGTCATGGAGCAGCGCCATACAAGCCATCCACCTATTCGCATCTGTTCTGGTTCTGTTCACAATCGTCGTCCCATGGCTACCTCTTCCAGGATATGTTCAACGTGCCAAGATTATGCGCCTCATACCCTTTAGTTATCTGATCAGCAGTCGAGCACTCACAGCTCACGAGGGGGCGGAGCTTCTCTCTCCCCCTCTCTCCCCTGATATCAGCGACTCAGAGTCAGATGCGGATTCGACTACTACTGAGAGAACCACACGCCAAGAGCGAGGTCCATTGTCAAATGTACTTGCTCAGAGCGGCTCCCAGGATGAACGTGATGCTCTCATTGACGCACTAGGGTTGAGCACCGGTGCACTTGGAGCAGTCCGAAGCGTTTTCGTCAAGCGCATGGTGAACAAGGCCTCTAACTCTGAACTTGAGCGTAGGGCATGGGTTCGCCTAGCCGAGCTCGTTGCTCTTAACCCCACATCAGCTCCAGCCCTTCTACGTCTTCAAGTCTATCTGCATCTTTCGTCCTTGTTAGGCGCGTCTGGCAAAACAACACAACACGCAAGTGATCTGGCAACATTGGCACTCCTTGCCCATTCACTCCCAGTATTCTACGTAAAGGATCGTTCGCAGAGGTTATGGAACCGTGCTCGTGCCGGGTTGGTTCGCCCTTACGAGCGGTTAGTGCTAGAAACGCTATCCCTTGAGGAAGCCGCTCAGACACTTACGTCCTCACTTCCCACCACACCCCTAACGCCACTCGGTGCCCTCGCCACGACCCTCCTCCGCCAACGTCTCCATTCCCACACATCCGAACTTTTCGTGCAAACCGTCACCCGTTCCCACGGCGGTGCACACTCTCAATCGCATGACGCAGAACAAGAAGCCAAATGGAACGAGACCATCAACGCAGGCCGGAGCCTGGGCGGTACCACCAGCGCCATCTCTGACTCCTTCAGCAAAGTATGGGAGAACGGCGTGTTGAACGTCAAAGACCTAGTCGTAGACGACGATGACATCAAAACCATGCTGAGCACCATCGTTTTATTCCGGCGGATCTTCCCATCTCGGATTATGTGCTGCGATGCCACTGATAACGAGGTTTCGTTGATATTGTCTCCCCCACCTAGTCCGCCTGCGAGAGGACCGCAGAAGGAGGTGGTGATGCAGTTGCGTCGGGCGTTGGGGTCGAGCGTGTTTGAGGAGCAGAGCGAGGATCGGGATGAGTTGGAGGATTCGCGGGATCGTGCGGTGGATATGCTTGTTGAGTATGAGAGACGGGGGAGGAGTCGTGTTTGATGTATTTGTGTTTTGAGATTCGTGATAGATGGAGATCTTACAATATATTAGTATTTACCCGCTTGTTGTCGGTTGAACTTGTATCAGAGACATTGAATTTTAGTAACGTTGCATCCAGAGTGCGCTTTGTAAAGCACGCATAAGAATAATTTAAAACGCCCAAACCTGACCGCAATCCCCGACTGGCCGCAGGAGGGCTTTGTTGTCATGGGACATGGGGTGTGTCCCGGGGCCGAGGGCATGCAGGCTTGGGGCTGGCCCCAGACAGCGCACGCTCGTCATGGTCGGTGATGTGTGGAGGTCTGTGGGCAGCGAGGAACCTGGCGGAAAGGAAGATGAGGGCAGGGTTCTTAGTTTGCATAACCGAGCAATATATTAGTGTTCCGAACGCAGAAAAGGTGTGCCGTCATTGTGAAAACATCCAAAGGCGGTACGCCCGCCTACTCACCCGAACGCAGGAACGACCTAATCGTGTCTACTAAGAACGATTCAGACGAGATATGTACTTCGATGTTGAATGAGGGGTCCCGTCACTGCATAGAAAGCATCATCATGATCATTTAGGCTCACAACCAGCCACCAAAGGGCCAATAGTGCTCTGGGAGACGCATGGCCAAATCATCAGACGAAATGTATCCCAGATTCAGGGCTGTAATCGGCCAAAGGGATACCTCGATAAAGATCCAGATTCTGGATATTGATCGAGACAGAATAGAACGTCATCCTGATGAGAAGTGGCTAAGTGAGTAATGGCTGAACGAGTCAATTATAAGTACCATTCGCTATGCTTTTTCACTATCAAGGAAGAGGTATACGTCTCGCGAAGCCTGGAAAAGTCCTTCAAAGAAAAACATCAAACGGTCTCTCCACGTAGAATCATAGTGACGTTCTTGAGCGTAGGGACTCGGATATCTCAGCGCGAGAAGTTCTAGAATACTCGAGCGGCACGGCTCGACGTTATCCATGTGAAAGCCCTCGTCAGAATCCAGTGGCCCCATATCCACACCAGCGAGTGTAATACTTCCAATGCAGAGTGTTGTCAAGCGAGGGCATAGCTCGATGAATTCAATGAGACCGGGTAGTGTGACCCCTGGCGTGGGATTATGACACCCATATGGGTCGTTGAGAGAAAACTCCTCCAGACAAGGCCAGGCTTCGGCCGCTCTCTTCAAGTCATTGTTGTCAACCCAAATGGAGGATCTCGTATTGAAATAAACAACTCGAAGGTGATTGAGGTGGAAGAGCGGACGTATGGTGTTGATCGTGATAATTATGGTGGGTATGAGTTGACACAGAGAGAGTTCGCTGAAGTGTATGGACTGCAGATACTTGAAAGCCTCGCGCGTATGGAACGACTCAAGCATTATCTCCAGGAGGCCTGGATCGAAGTGGACCTTGGATCGAAGTGACAACTCGGTGAGTGTATGAGACCAAATACGTATAAAAACTTCAACATCTGCCCAGTTGTCAATGTCCCAAACAACACCTCGAAGGTTCTCGAAGGGAAGGAGGGTGCGGGATGATCTGAAGACATCTTCGAGATCACTTCCGGTGGGCAGATGTGTCTCCAGGCTGGTTGGACATGAGAGGCGGCCCAGGTGCGCCAGGGCATCTTTGGTAATAGCCGGTACAGCGACTGTACGCAGCTTCCGCAATTTTTTAATGGAATGTGAAGCTGCCCTAGCAGTGTGCGCATCCCATGTAATTACGCTGCCACGCATCTCGTCATAGGTACCAAAACGAAAATTTTCCAGGGAAGGACAGCATGAGTATAAAGTCTGTAAGGCCACGTGCAACGAAGTCCTCTCTGAAAAGTTATCCTTCCCAGATTCGACGACACGGTCAATAGAGATATCCTGCAGACGCGGGCCAAGTAGTGGGCGCAGCAGATGCAACATAAATGCACCACTAAGATATCGTAGGTTTGGCATCAGGACCTTCGAGGAGTATGCAAAGGATTGGACAAGATGCGACTCCCAGTCATGCGACATCATATCCAGAAACCGGACGCGATGAGCGTAGCGATCAATAATGGCCAGTTGGGACTCTGTTGGGACCTACGCAGTAAATATATGATGTGTAATTTTTTAGAAGCAAAAACAACCAATAATGCGGCACTATTCCGAGTCGTTGCAACTCGTCTGCATTGTGTATGGTACTACGATCCCAGCACATTCCATGACGGGATAGATGCCTGTAATAGATTCCCAGAGAGCATCCAATGCCTGCTCCGAAAATGAGCGACATGTTAGGGTAAGGGCGAGCAAACTCATTCGTGACTCGATTTTGTAGAATGTGCGAATGTTGATGTAGCTGATGTGACCTCAGAGACAATTTCGGGAACAAGGAGAGCCCGAGACATGGTAAGGTGCGTTGTCAGCGAGGCACGACAGCAAATCCGCGCGAAGTTGCTGTTGGACATGAGCTTCAAGAGTCTCGTGATCGGAACTTGTTCGCTTGCGCAACCACAAATCATCAAAAACAATACGCCGAAGGGGAGTCGAACCCCTGCCGCTTGCTTGGAAGGCAAGCATGATAACCGCTTCACCATCGGCGTGTGATCTTACGGCTCACTTAATGCAACATATCGCACCCTGGGTCGGCGACTTCCGCAGTTGTCACGTCCTTCAAAGCTTCAATTCCGTTCACAGCATCCCCCCGACCACGATTCGCTCCGCACTCACCTTTCCATTTAACTAAAGCAAAGTCTGATAATCTGTAGAACTTCTACTCTGCAAATCACAATACGGTGTAATGTCGCTCCAGCACTTTGGCAAGGGTGCCCTCCGCGTCGCCAAAAATTACACCAAGGGTTACTCAGACACGCAGGCAAAAGTCCGGGATGCAACATCTAATGATCCATGGGGGCCATCAGGAACTCAGATGAATGAGATCGCTCAGTTGTCATACAATCAGTGCGTGATCGTTGAGCAGTTTGCCTGGTGGTCGTGGTCCACCAGCAGCGCTGATGCGCCGTTGTTCACAGGAATGATTTCGTCGAAATCATGGAAATGCTTGATAAAAGGTTGAATGATAAAGGCAAGAATTGGCGACATGTATTCAAGGTTAGCTGCCTTGCTTCCGGTGGAGGACCCGATTCAAACTCCCTCTCAGTCACTCACCGTGCTGGACTACCTCCTACACGCTGGTTCTGAAAATGTTGTCCTATATTTCCGTGATAATTTATACATCATAAAAACGCTCAAGGAATTTCAATATGTGGATGAAGATGCGAAAGATTGTGGTGCCAATGTCCGGCAGAAGGCCAAAGATATCTCCAACCTTCTCAGTGATCCAGCACGTCTACAGGAGGAGCGCCGGACTAGGGCAAGCATGCGCGACCGAATGATCAGAGGGCAAAGCAATGGTTACGGAGAAGACGAGGTTGAAGATGGTGGGAGGAGGAGCTATGCACCTCCTCCTGGAACGCCCCCACGGAAGGCCAACCGTGGCGCCGATCGCGATGAAGACGAGCTCCGTAAGGCGATCGAAGCATCAAAAAAGACTCTTGCGGAGGAACAGGGCCGGAAAGCTGAGGAGCAAGATCTTGCCACAGCAATACGATTAAGTGAGGAAGAGGAGGCGAAAAGACATAAGGCCGTTGAAGACTCAAATGCTCATGCGTTATTCGATGACCAAGCGCAAATGTACGTTAGATCATACGTATGCTTGATTTCAACTGATGGCCTTGTCCATTCCAGATCCTCACCAAACGGTTCCAACAGCAACAATCCATTTCCCTTTATCGACCCTACTCCATATGCAACAGGCTTGCAACCTCAGCCCCAGATGCAACCGCAAGTACACTGTTCAGCCTCAATACACGATGCAGCCACAGTTTACATCATTTAACCCATATCAACAGCAAGCACAACAGGAAGCAATGCAGGTACGGTAACATCTGGTCTTATTATGGATTGATTCAACGTTCCATCAATAGGCAGAGTATTTGAGGCAACAACAAGAATGGCTTCATCAACAGCAGGAAGCTCAGGCTCAGGCTCAAGCTCAAGCTCAACAAGCGGCGCAAGAGGAGTGGTTCCGACAACAGCAACAACTTCAAGCTCAACAACAGCAGCAGCAGCAAGCCTTATTTGCGCAACCGACTGGATTCGGGTATGTTATTGCTTTATATGAATCGCTTGTCGCGGTGGCCTCAAATCTTTACTCCTTCAGTTCTAATAATCCCTTCGCTCCTGCTACTTCGCCTATCCCAGTATCATCAGGGACGCCAGTCAATGGCACCTCTGGACCGTCGTTTAATCTTCAAGGAACCTATTCCAACTCGAATACACCTTCTTATAACTCTTCACCTGTGCCCTCACAAGTATCATCACCTTCCCCAAGTGTCAGCACATCCACGGGTACAGGTGCGGGTCGTGGTGGTCCCAGTCGGGCAGACCAAGAGCACTCGCATCTTGCCAGTCTATTTGCCAACCGTGACGATGGTCAAGATACATTCGGAAATGTCGGCGCGCTGCGCTACGGGCACACGCAAGCGGGTCTGCTGGCAGCACAGAAGACAGGATTTGGGACCCAAAATAATCCCTTCCATTTGCAGCAGCAGCAACAGGGTCAGAATGCAGAGCAGCCGTTTTTTCTCCATCTGAGGAGATAGGCGGATGGGTAGACAGTGTAATGTTGATTTATCGCTGGATGATGACTTGGATTATGAATTTCCGTTTGTCCCTACGTGTCTCGGATTTCTGTTGTTGTATTTATTACGTCTTTTCTTTACTTCCTGTGGAATCTTCCGATACCAAATTTTACACTTCTGACTTTGTGCTCATACTTTCGCTCGCGAAATTGCAGGGATCTTGAAGCTCGAAGCATTGGATCAGCTGAGTGGACCGTCTTACATAATAACCGATGACATCACTTTCCTGAGTCCGGCCCAACTTGAATTCGCATAGCTTCAAGTGTTATTAGCACACGCCGTCCCACCCACCTCACCCAGACTGCGACACCATGGAATCCAACGGCGCTGCTGACTGCGTACTTATTTTGGTACGCCGCTCTTGCGCAAACAAGTCTACTTGACATGCTCACGCAAGGACTCCGGAATGAACAGGTCGCCGTCATCTTCCCCCCTGCCGCAGCAGCTTTCATCTCAGGCTGCGGCTGTGATCTCTTCGTGAACATCTTGTTGACTTTGTAAGTACTTCTTCCCAGCGCTGCAAACTCTGCATTTCCCTCATGCACTGTTACTCCCAGGCTCGGATACCTTCCTGGACTCCTTGTGCGGAATTGTGCTCGTCTGCGTAATTGTTGTAACTGACTCCTTTTGAACACATTGTAGCACGCGCTCTGGCTCATATTCAAGCGTACCAGTGTTCAGGAGCGACGTGCTCGGGGTAGCTATCGATGTGAGTACCTAAGAATCTTGCGTATGTCATGTGTGTAACTTGCCCATGCAGACACTGGCGCGGGAACACCTGCTCCGGCGCCCCAGCAAAGTGCCTCACAGCCGCCTGGATATGGTGCAACGAACCAGCCAAGTGCCCCTCCGCCAACTACATCCGAAACCACGAGCCAGCCCGTTGATGCTCCTCCAGCCGGCAAGAATTGAAGAATTGCATGATTCAATGCACACACGTGGTGGGACGAAGTTCGTTCACAGGCCACCTGGACTATAGTGCGAGTCGTATATGAGTAACGTTGAGAAATATCTGTCGAGTTTCGTGCCTATTATTTGTTTGAATCAATTGCTTGCTGGGTCTGGATCTCGATATATGTGTGGTGTGATGAAATTATGTGGCACACGTCATAGGAAGTCTTACAAGTGATCAGAGGTGTTGTAACACCTACCTGGAATCAAAATATACTTTATATATTGGTTTGCTAGATCAGAGTTGAGTGAGGAAAATCGCCGGCATCCCCCCTTGTCATCCTCCAACCATGCACTGTAGCACGAACTTCCTCTTCGCCTGGATCTTCCGGGAACATGGGCTGTGAAGCATCAAGCCATCAGAAAAGAGTCCATCAATGTGTGGATCAAGCAAACCGGATATTTGTGCGTTACTATCTCCTCGCAAACCCAGCCTGCACCTTGAGCTTTGCGGAAAAAATCAAGATCCCGGTCTGCCAAATGCGGTCGATGATGGGAGTAGAAAACCAGCACGCATGGTGCAATTGAAGCGTCATCGCTTGCGGAGCGAGAAGTTAAGCACATATCGCAAGATTTCAATAACGCGTCATGCTACGTGCGTTGAGACACCGATGATTGAATGGTACATAGCGATCTTACCTGCGAGTGATTAAATATTAGGTCTGATAATATGATTAAGTGAAATCCTGTTGAGGCATCCTTTGGGAGTGCTCGCATTATGTTGTCTACCGCATGGCCCCAGATATATCCCTGAAAAAATGAGCAATCAGGTAAGCCATAACCCACGAGTGCTCCCTAAAAAATACCTGAGTCTCAACATGATCCTGCTCATCAGGAGACAGGTTTTGTCTCGCGTTAAATTCTAAGTTATCGATGAGGACCGCTTCCGGGTAATCTGTCAGTACAACCTGTTCGATGAGTGAGGTAAGGCGATGAGACTGGCGTGGATGTTCAGACTTTTTTAGCGCCGTTTTGTGCTGCAACGAGTCCTGGGAGGCCTCCACCAGCTCCGAGTTCGAGTACGCAGCGATTGCGTGCTATCTCTGGATTTGAATCTATATACGATGCAAATGCTAATGCTGCATTCCATCTGAATTGAATAGAAGGAATAAGTAGCGATTTGTATACGCAGAGTCCGAATAGCAGTACAGATGATGAGCCCATAGCGGATGCGATCCTACCAGGCGGATTTTAAGATCGGGAAAGGCGTTTCGTGTACATGTTGCAAAGGTTGGCGGGGGTGTTGGTGGACGGGGAGGTTCCTATAGTTGAACGAATAAATTTTTTTTTTGAGTGGTAGCATGATCTATTAGTACAAACCGTGAAAACATCGCCGAGAGAAAGATCCTCCGAGTCTTCACCGTCTTGCATTACTTCTGATGAGTGAACCTGCAAACAGTACTTGACCGGATCACATCTTGATCGATCTCTAGTGTTTTGATCAATGACCCAAATCGAGTATATGTTTCGCATGTATGTAAGTCGATTTAATCGGGATTATCGGGTGCACGGCGCTGGTGAATATTTCAAGTAGACTCGGAGCACGAAGTTCAAGCCTCGACGCTAGTGACGGCAAGGAACGCGCATGATATGGATGGCCAGCATTTGGACGGCCAACATCATTCATCTCTCAGTCATTCGACCCAAAGTTCTTCTTCCTCTGCTATCGACTTAACTGTCACTATCACAGGCCTTGCCACTTCAGCTCCCCCGAGTCCGAGTCCGAGTCCGAGTCCGTCTCCGACACTTCATCCTTCAGTGGATGGTGGTCGTTCCGTTGCTCGCAGACGAACGAGCTGGGCAAGGTTAGACGTAGGGCAGGATCCCTTGCGCCCGAATCTTTCAGTAACTGCGACGGAGGCGGGTCCTTCAAGAACATCGTCTCGGTCATTTAGTACTCCGGATGAGAACCCACTTTATTCCCCTGACAATGGTTTCTTCTCAAACACATTAGCGTACAGTAGAAATTCGATTTACAACGACTCGCCCTACACTACTGCACAAGCTGGTCCATCCTCCGCTTCGCTAATGTCGACTCCAGAGTCTGACCTTGACTCATCCAAGGACGGAGACGGTGTCCATCTCACTGGCACCAACCCTCGATGGAAATCTGCAAATGGGAGTTGGGATAGCACTAATGATTTGACCATTGACTCCGAGCGCACGGGAGGCGCTACAGTCCCCACCAGGCGGAGGACGCTGCGTTACAATCCCTCACCTTCCCCTCTCAAGCGAACGGGTTCAGCCTTCAGGGTAATGTCAAAGCGTCTTCGACGCGCTTCTCTCCGCGTCGTCAATCTTACTGGACACGCCTTGGACAATTCCATCCGCATTCCGGACGAGGACTTCGACGATGGCGAGTACTCTCCCACACAAGATAACAAGGAACCCTTCGAAGAGCAATGGAACGAAGAACAAGTTTCCCTCACTAGAAAGCTGTCTCCCTTACGAGGGCGCACTCTCGGTTTCTTAGAGTCCTCAAGCATATTTCGTCTTCGCCTTTATCGCTTCCTTTCTCACCCGTAGGCCTTTTCTAGGCTTCTCCCGTCCGACAACATTAATCATTCCTGCAGATGGATTGAACCTCTGATACTTTGTTTGATAATTCTTAATGCTTGTGTATTGATATCTCAAGCGTCTCACTCGGTCCTTCTTCCCTCGGGGCAGTCTATGCCGACCCCACAGAAGGGTTTCTTTTTTGCTTGGGAGGATTATGTTCTTTTTGGGTTGTTCATCCTATTCACGTAGGTTTCATACTGGTCGCCATCCCCTCAGCCTGATCCCTCCTGTTAGGTTTGAAGCAGTTGCACGAATATGCGTTTCTGGATTCCTGCTAGATCCTGAAGTTCCAATATCAGCTTTATTTGCATCTTCGACATCGCCGATAACCTCTACGTCGACTTCGAGGGTAGGTTCTTCCGCGTCCAGTTCCTTGTCACGCGGCCTCTCCTTAAGGCCCTTTTATGATCGTATATCGCGGCCATTCAAACTCTCCGAGGCTACCCCTTCACGCTCGATGCCTATCGTAGTAGTTGGTCCAAGCAATTCGCCTCACGACACTTCGCGTCGAGAAAAACAGGCCGTTGTAGATGAGCCTCCTTCACACGCTCATCTCCGAAATCCTTCGCAGCCAACTTTCTTCTCCCGTGCCCTTCGGTCAGACCAAACGTCCCCGGACGTGATCTCGCTGCCGTTCCGACTAAACATCGATAGCGCACGCGATAAGGTGTATCGTAACATGCCATACTTGCGTCAAAGCTGGGGAAGAATAGATTTTATTGCCATTCTCAGCTTCTGGTTGAGCTTTGCACTCGCTATGGCAGGCGTGGAGCGCGGGTCCCATCATGTCGCTGCATTCAGAGCGATGACTGTGCTGCGAATCGCAAGACTTCTCGCCATCACTTCTGGAACCACTGTGAGTTTACGCACAGCATTTTATGTATGGGCCCTTACACTATTCTACAGACAATCATGCACTCACTGAAGATCGCTCGGCCGCTGCTTACTAATGTGGCATACTTTGTTGTCTTCGCTGCGGTGCTATTCTCGTGAGTCTATCCGGTCTCTTCCTGAATGCTTATCGAACATGAATCATCCTCGAAGGATAATTGGAATCCAATCTTTCAAGGGCTCTTTTCGAAGGAATTGCTATCTCCAGCCCACCCTAGGAGAAAATCAAACGCAAATATCTCAATCTTGCGGTGGTTACATCGATCCCAGTACCTTAAATGTCTTTCCTTATTTACAATTGGACGGTACGCGAGGCCCTGCGGTCAAGGGTTTTATCTGCCCTCTGGGCCAGGTTTGTCAGGTTCGTCGTTCGGAGTTTCCTCGACAGACAACGATCTCACAAGTTCGAGTTAGGAGGGAGACAATCCATACAGTGGCATCCAGAGCTTTGACAATATTTATTACGCCGCGCTTCAAGTTGTCGTTGTGACCTCAGCCAATGGCGTACGTGTTCTTTATCCATATTTCTGTAGCGCTAACTTCCTCTCAGTGGTCCCCTATTATGTATTCGATCATCGACGCCGAGTTTTTCGTCTCCTGCTTCTTTTTCATCGTCTGCATCCTCGTATTGAACATCTGGCTTATCAATCTATTCGTCGCTGTGATCACGAACACGTTCTATGCCATACGTGCGGATACGAATAAGAGTGCCTTTGGTGCTGCACCGTATGTTTCTTGACTTTTGCACATGCTAATGTTTATGTCGTTCCAATTTCGTAGACTAGGACCTGTCGTCGAAGAGCGAGAAGAGGGCTGGTTGGACGGGAAACACGTTTCTCAGAACAACTCGCTCAAGGAATTCTACACCAATACCCGCTGGTGCTGGGTATTTCTGGCTCTCGCGTCGCTCGTCGTACAAGCCACCGCCAGTGCTGACATGAGTGACCTGCATCAACAGATACTTGATAAGTCAGAGCTAGCGCTTACAGTGGCCTTCGACATCGAGATCATCATGCGCATCGTAGCAGAGCTCCCAGCTTGGCGAAGGTTCTTCCAGCATGGGAACAACTGTCTGGATCTTATGTTGGCTGTGGCGTCGAGCATCATTCAGATTCCGGCCATTCATAACTCGGAGGTGTACCCCTGGTTGACGATATTCCAACTAGGGAGGTTCTACAGGGTGATTCTAGAGTTCCCGAGAATGAAGCCGCTCATGGTGAGGCTAGCCACCATCTGAACATCTGACAGACAACTAAAGCATCTCAGCTCACGGTCTTTGGGAACCTGTACGGCCTAGTGAATATGACACTTTTCTTGCTACTCGTCAACCTATTTGCCGCATTGGTCTGCGTGCAGCTCATTCGCGGTGATATGCCTGGCTCGATCGCGTTGAATTTCGGACAGTTGTGGACTTCGTTCCTCGCCATGTATCAGGTCTTTTCCTCCGAGAATTGGACGAACGTCTTGTACTCAGCGGCAGCTGCAGAGATCCCCCTGGGGCAGGCGGTGATCGTGATTGTTTTCTTATGCTCATGGCTCATATTTGCGAATTGTAAGTCACCCAAAGTGCTCATGCGTATCAGTGCCTTCCTTCGTTGACGCTCATTTTTTTTCCTCCAGTCATCGTGATGCAGATGTTTATCGCTGTCATTCACGAGAACTTCAGCGTCGCGGAAGAAACGAAGAAGAATAAACAGGCATCTGACTACTGGGCTCAACAACACCCGCAAAGGGTCATGCACAACAGTTGGACTCGCAAGCTGAATCCGTATCGATGGATCAAGGCAGATCCCGTTCGCGTCAAGGTCGAAAACCTTCCTTCGAATCTGGTCTTGCCGATGCAGAAAACGCTTGTGCAAGATTACGGGGTTTTTGGAAAAGACAACCGAAACGGGCCTGTATGTGTTTTTGAGTGTCTGAGATTACAGGCTACTGATATTTTAATGCGACAGAAACCCGTTCAATTGGAGGGTGGGAGGCATTTCCCTTCGAAATCGCTGACAATGCTTCAACAACTGTTTTCTGGGACTACGAATTCTGATGACGTGCCGTTGGTGGCCCTACGACAGAGCCGTCGTGAGTCGACAGCTGTGCAAGATGAAGAGACAGAGCGTCATCTGTGAGCGTTCTGGTACCTGTAGGTGGCAGCTTTGCTCATACGGCTTGTAGCGATATTCTCGCCAATGGTGCCGATACAACTGAGAACGACCATGATGAGCACTCCGAGCGGAAGGCGCAGAAGGCGGACTTCATCATTGACCACCCGACGTATGACAAGACTTTCTGGCTTTTCTCGCAGGAAGATCGTCTCCGGAATATGTGCCAGAAGGTTGTCAAGCCTGCTGGCGGAGAGCGCCTATTCGGAACCTCACCCTCCGACGTTGCCCATACGCTGTTCCAGCTCCTAATCTTGTTGACTGTGCTTGGTGGTATCATCACGGAGGGCGTAGCCACCCCTTTGTACCGGCGCAATTACTACATGGAGCACGGTGTGGTGCGTGGTACTTGGTTCAACATCGCCGAGATAGCGTTCGGCGTTCCTTTCCTAGTCGAATTCATTATCAAGATAGTCGCCGATGGTTTCTTGTTCACTCCAAACGCCTACGTCAAGAGCATATGGAATATCCTGGACTTCATTATATTCATCGGTATCCTAGTGAACTTGTCATTCACGCTCATTTTCGTCAGCGGATTGTCTCGTTCCATCCACGCACTCAAGGCTCTTCGAGCTCTCCGCCTCGTGACCTTGATCGAGAACATGCGAAACACATTCGAATCACTCATCATTTCCGGGGCAACTCGTATCTTGGATGCTGCCATTTTGGCGATCCTGTATCTAATTCCCTTTAGCGTTTGGGGTGTCAACATCTTTGCAGGATTAATGAATGAGTGCAACGATACCAGTGTCCAAGGCATCAACGATTGCACCAACGAGTTTGTCAACACAATATACGGCACCTCTTTCGGATATTTGGCTCCTCATGCCTGGGACAATCCTTCACCTTCCACGACATTCTCCTTCGACAATTTCCGATCCTCGATGCTCATTCTTTTTGAGATTGTATCTTTGGAAGGGTGGATCGATGTCATGACGGTCGCGATGAATATTACTGGGAAGGACCAACAACCGCAGGTCGACGTTTCGCAGATCAACGCCATTTTCTTCGTCATCTACAATTTGCTTGGAGGCGTCGTGATTCTGACTCTTTTCGTCGGGTGAAACTTCTCCTTTGTGAATCACCGGTCTGTTGGCTTACGGCTTGCTTAGTATCATCATCAGCAACTTCTCATCTAAGACCGGCTCTGCATTCCTGACTCAACCTCAGCGAGAATGGATTGACCTGCAAAAACTGATCAAACGCCAGAAACCATCGAAGCATCCTCAGACTCGGCCTACTCAGCCATTTCGAGGATGGTGCTACGATCGTGCAATTCACAAGCACGGCTGGTGGACGCGAATGATGACGTGCTTCTTTGTCGTGCAAATTATTGTTCTCATGTTTGTGCCTCTTGCTTTACTGGCTAGTTATCTAGACTCATGTTTTTCAGGACTCAAACATTTACAGTCCAAGTAGCTGTTGCGAAATTTCAAGGTTAGTCATCGGTTCGATTGCATTTCCTTTCGACGCCTCTCAATGCAATTCTTTTCAGATGACTTCTCGCTCATCATTACAACGATGTATGTCGCCGATATTGCAGTCAGGTTCTACGGCGTTGGGTGGAGGAGTTTCCGAGCCAACGGGTGGAATTTGTTCGATGTTGTGGTGGCTGGTGGCAGTTTCATCACGACATTGATTGTCCGGTTCGGGTACATGGGTTTCGTCGTCGAGCAGCTACAGAAGCTGTTCCTCGTCAGCATCGCGTTCAAGCTCGTGCAGAGGACCAACAGCCTCAATCAACTCTTCAAGACTGTGATGTAAGTGGGGCGATCATGTTTTGATTAACTGCTGACTTTTTGCAGGGCGAGCTTACCCGTCATTTTAAACCTCTTGGGCCTGTGGTTCATCCTTTTTATCTTCTTTGCCATCATGTACATGGAGGTCTTTGGTTTGACAAAATGGTATTCTGCAGAAACTCACACTCAGAACTACCAAACTATGGGTTCGGCGCTCGTGATGCTCGCATTCATGAGTACGGGGTAGGTATTTTCAATACTTTCTCATGATGTTTTCTAAAATATCTACTCGTAGCGAGGGCTGGAACCAATACATGCATGACTAGTACGTGATCAAAGGGTCCTTTTTCTTATAAATTTGACGCCGGTTTAGCACTCTGGCGTATCCGCGGTGCACTATCAAAGCTGATGGACTGGTAGAAACGGATTGTGGAAGTACTGCTTGGGCGTTCTCCCTCTTCATCGCTTGGAACCTCCTGAGCATGGTGTGTGAACCTTGCTTATTTCCCATGTGCTTGCTGATGCTATCTCGAACAGTATATATTCCTGAACATGTTTACTGGAGTCATGGTGCAGAGTTTCTCCTACGTTTTTCAGTCCACCGGCGGAGCGAAGGCCATCACTCGTGAGGAAATTCGTTCGTTCAAGAAGACGTGGGCGGAGTATTCCAATCCAAAGACTGGGCTGCTCGAACGAAGCCGATTGGTTCTCTTCCTAGGCGTAAGTTCCGTGTGACGTAATGTTCACGAGATTTATTGAGTTATTTTTCAGAAATTGAATGGAATTTTCGAGGTTCGCATATACCCGACTGAGTACTCCGTTCCGTCCATTGTCTCGACGTGCAAAGACATGCAGAAGATTGTGACGAAAGAAGGGACGAAAGAAGAGATGAGATTGAATCCACGGAAAGTGAACAAGGTACTGAGGAAGATCGACTTCGACACTATAAGACAGCGAAGAGCAGTATATTGCCGACTATTTCACGAAGCCAGTATTATTGAAAGCCATCGCAAGGGCATCTCGTTCACTGACATGCTTTTCCTTTTGGCCCACCATAAGCTGATTGTGGACCGTGACGCACTGGAGTGAGTTCATTAATTTGTTCGTGATACTGTTACAATTCTGACCACAAGACAGGCTGAAAGATCTTGTCGTGAGGCAAGGGACGAACAAACTTGTCTCAGATTTAGTGAACTTCGACCGTGTTCGTTCCCTGCTGAAAATGATATCATTGCGACGAAGATATTTGGCCGAGCGAGAAATGATGCTCAGCGCACAGAGAGGTAAGCTGCTCTTCGGCGTCATCAACATCGTAGATGATGATCCAATGGGTATCTTAGACATTCCCGCTATTCAAGTGGACCATGCACCGTCCACTCCACCCCCATTAACCCGCGATATCACTTCACCTCGTAGTGACCGCGGCCGTTTAGACAACAGCCCTTCTAGCCCGACTCCTTCTCCCCGAACTCTTGGCCCTTCCCCAGAGTTCAATGCCTGGGATCATTCCATCCGAAGTAGTCTTCAGCGCTCCCGCAGAATAAGCGATGTCAGCATGCTTTCTGCCGATATGGGTCATGGTTACTGGTTCGTGCTGATCATCGCTCGTACTAAATAGTCTATTGATAGGTTTGACGCAGGAGGGATAATTCACTTGACATCGGTGATCAAGCAGACATCATGTCATCCATGCAGCGTTCTATATGGGGCGGTATGTCATTGATCTTTAGGCCTTACCGGTTGCCTGAGTTTCGCCCCCAGATCTCATGCAGCAAGCTGCAGAAGAGGATGCTTAACTTTATTTCAACTAAATGATGGACATCATGGAACATTTTGCGGACAGACTATATTGCATGTGTACTCCCAACAATCAAAACACTCGCTTGTATGGTATTGGATAGAAATAGATGCATATAATGGTAAAACAACATGGTGTGATATGCAAGCATACAGTATCTATGCCTGGCCCTGGAGTCTCCGAGGTTTCCACACCTTCTTCTCCTGAACAGTCTCGAATCCATCATCATTCTTCCTGGGTTCAGGCAGTGGGGCGTTACGAGATGTGAGAGGGGTAGGAGGGGCAGGAGATGCAGTCCGAGCAGGTGCGGCAGCCGGAGCTTTCGCTTGGCGATCTCTCCAGCCTCCGGCGGCACCACCAAATGCACCAGGTCGGTATGCGCTTGTGGTAGGGGCAGGGGCAGAGGGCAGAGGGCTTTCAACCCGTGGCGGTGTGGATACAGCAGCGGTAGCACGTGTGGGTGCAGGAGGCGCTCCTCCACGCCGCCAAGTTCCTTGGGGCTGCGCTGGTTGTGCTGCTGCTTGGTTACGCTGCTCTGCGCGGCGTTGAGCAGCATGGGCTTCAGCCTCAGCCTCGCGTTCGGCACGTTTCCTTGCCTCCTCTTGAATTTTGGCACGCTCCTCTTCCCGATTCCTGCGTGCTTCGGCGGCTTTCTCTTTCTCTTCCCGTTCCTTGGCCTCGGCCTCTTCCTCGGCTGCGTGGCGCTCTAGAGAAACATGAGAAAACGACGACTATATGCGATCAAGTACACTCACCAGCTTCTAATCGAGCCTCTTCTTCCTCCTGCTCTCTGCGGATTCTCTCAACCTCAAGACGCTGTTGCTCTTCCTCGTCTTTCATCTTCTGATGTGCAGCCCGCATCTTCTCCTTCTCCTCCTCGATTCTCTTGCGTGACTCCGCGAGCTTGGCTGTGTACTCTTCACCGCGCTGTGCGATGATGAACTCCTTCCTTTGTTGATAATCCTGCGTCATACGGCTCAAGCGTTTCTTAGACGCCATGTCCTCCTGGAATGCTTGGCGAGCACCCTCAATACGTGAGCGTTGAAGTGTTTCGAAGATTGTGCGGTCGGTGGCTTGCTGTTCCGCGTAATCCTCTGCAACCAGCGGACGCTCTTCCTTGCGGTACGCACGCTCGATGTGGTCGATTCGCTTGGCAGCGGTGCGCAAACGCTGGTTGAGCTCCTTCTTCTCGCGTTCGAGCTGCTCAACTTGCATACGCATGAGTGAATCGGTCGATAGATCTTCCATTTCCTGTGGACAGTCATATCAGTAACCCTGAAGTGGATAGTCTGAAAAAGGGATACGCACGTTCACCGACACTTTCAGGTTGCCCTTCTTGATCAGCGTTTGTGCGAGCTTCTTGGCTTCCTCTGCGCGAATAGAATCCACCTCCTTCTGTGCGCGTTCCCGCTCCTTCTTCGCCATCTCGAACTTGGCGCGTCGCACCTCTTCATCCTTCTCGCGCCGTGTCGTTTTCCGCACGACGGCTGGCCTCCTCCTTCTCCTTGCGAGCGGAGAGCTCAGAGAGGAGCTCGCGGCGGCGCGCAACGAGTGCACGACGGAGCGACAGCGCATGCCGCTCAGCGTTCGCAGCCGCAACAAGCTCCGCAAACTTGGCATGTTGCGCAGCTTCTTCTTCCTCAGGAGAAAGTTGGGGCGGAGGGTACAGGACCGCAAGAGAATTGTGCAGTGTCACCGCGAGGGTGCTCAGCCGTGTGCGCACAAGCTCTGCGGCGCTGGGCTGGATACTTGCTTCTGTGTTGGTGCTCGTAGACGGGATGGGGTCCTCGGAGCTGACTATGAAACCCTCGTCGATGAAGGTGATTGTGCCAGTGGCGTGGTCGACATATACGCTGCGCTCACCACGGCGTGCACAACCCATGAGGAACGCTTCGACCTGTTCTGGGCCGAGCCCCTCGAGGGGTGTGACGAGTTCGAGGAGCGAAGTGATGGTGAGGGTGGAATAAACTTGAGAAAGTTGTGCAAGCAGGCGGGAGAGCAGTGCACGTTCCAGGAGGGAACGGTAGCCGAAGTATGGTGTCTCTGGTGCACACAGTTCTGCGAGAAGCGGGGCGGTGGAGGAGCAAAGCGTCAGGGGGTCAAATGAAGCTTCGAGGAGTGTGTACAGAGACTTGATGGGGGCTGGGGAAAGATGGAGGACGTCACGGGAAAGCTGTGGATGGTTAAACATACGTTCAGTTCAAAGATGGCAAATATACATACGGCATCTTTGATCAGTCCGGCGCGAGTAGGTGCTCTGGTGAGACCAAGAAGAGCAGTGAGGCGCGATGTTTTACTCTTGCCATCTTCATCCTCAGCCTGCAGACCAACAGGGACGGCCAAGGCACTGACAAGTACCTGGCCGGCGAGTTTTGTCATCTCTTCTTCGCTCTTTCCCCCAATGCTAGTAACAATTGCGTGGTACCGACCCCATGCAGCGGCATGATAGAGAGCATTTCCGCTCATCAAGAAAATTTTAGTCAACTTTTCATAGTAGTTTGCCATCATTGCCGGACGGGGAGCCTTTTTTGCCATTGTGAGCAGATTGTGTACATCTTCGACACTGCGGAACGCCTCCTGCCAAAGCTCGAGTTCAACGGAAGTATTGAGCTGAGCGAACCGGGTGTCGAGATGATGTTGCAGTGTCTCCGCATCCGATAGGTTGATAGCGTGTGTTTGATGCGCATATTTTGCGACATTGGAAAGGTGCAGTCGGAGGGTTTCGCAAAGTCTCCGGAACTCAACTTTCCGTTGGTGCTTTAGGCAGAAACGGAAAGCTTGCTGCGCAACTTGCTGAAGAATTCATGTTAGATTATATGGAATCAGGGTCGTCCCGCATTACACCTGAGGCGATCATCATGAAGACCACGAGGTGCTGATACCTGCCTAAATCAGTAGCCTTCCCTTCAGGAAGCATATGAAGAAGGACCGAAAATTAGAGAGGGAATGGAACTGCTCTCCAAAGGCGTATGCGGGTAGCCAAGAGGAAAATGAGCTCACCTGATAGATAACTTCCAAACGAGCATTATTCTTGAGAGTCTCAAGTGATGTACGATAGCTCTCCCACAAGAATTTGAGCCAGGGTGTGACGAGTGCACGATCCGTGCGGTCCTTGCTCTGATCACCACTAACCGCGCCGAGGAGAATACTCTCAGGCGTTTCGCTCGCCTCAAGATCGTCGACATCGACAGGTCCGGTGACTTTGTCTGCTTTCTCCTGCGCCTCGTGGACTTTTGCATCTGAGAGCTGAATAAAACGGTTAATGACAACTTCGATGCTTCCAACGCTCGAATTTTGAGCGATGTTCTTGTATTGCATGAGGCCCTCTTTGGCAGTACGACCTTTACGCATATCGACGCAAAGCTCGACGAAGCGGATCACGATTGGCTCGAGCGTAGTGAGTGGTGTCGAGCGGAAGCGTTTTGAAGAGAACATCTCTACGAGCGACTGAAGAGCCGCATGAGACTGACCGACAGAGACGAGGCCCTCTGCTTGCTTGAGCACGGCCTCGGGTTTTGTGAACGGTGCCATGATTGGGCTGTGGGTTGTTAGGTGTGCATCAACGAGCAGTACGTCATACGCACTGTTCAAGTGAGTTTCGAGTGTAACTTTTCCCGCTCGAGTGTCTTGTACAGCTCTTTGAGTTCGCTGTGAGTCGGGGTAATAGGCCTACTTGATATCGGTACCGTTAATGACAAGGAAAAAAACTAAGTTCAGTGGCCCCGTGGGAAACACCATCCGTTTCGGACTTTCTTAAGACCAAGAACTGCAAGGTATCGGAATCCAACTTTTGTTTAACTTTCTGTGAACGTCCTAATTTTACAATGCTAATGAATACATCTATCTCATCCCCGGCTAGCTACTTTTCACTTCAAACCCACCGTTGAACAACAACACTGTTAGCTAGTCCAGCACCCTCGATTGTTTGAGTGTCATCTTCCAAGGTACGATTAGGGAATGTCGTTCCAATCGTGTACGAGCGTGACAGATTCTCGGGACGAGAACTATGAGAAAATATTGAGTGTCTCTGGCAAGTTTCCAAGGGCTAAACACAACGTACGCATTGATGAACGAGCGAAGATCACCAACGGTATGTGTGAGGTTCATCCTGCACGGCATACGCGTGCCATCTGCCAGACGAATCTGCACACTCGTAGTAGGCTGCCTCTGGTCGACCTCAAAGCGGGTGTTAATACTGTGCCTCTCGACACTGTCACTGGCACCAACAGCACTGCTGCTGCCAGACGGAAATGATCCTGGCATTAAAGGTGCTGCACCAGAGGTAGTAACAGCAGGAATTGGTGCACCAAGCCTCTGTCCAGATCCTGAAAAGTTTCCCCTCTTGGGGGGCACATATTCCTCGCTAAGCCGGGTTGCCACGTTGAGGTTGACACGTTGCCCAGGTGTGACGTCCATGAAGGATATGGGCGCAGTACTGTAAAGAATGAGAACGGAAATATCATGATGACAGAATTTAACATACCCTTGCTGGATGGATCTCAAAAGCTCTTGGTTACCGGGTTCGTCATATCGCATCAGTGGTCCATCCTCGAGGCTGAACCCGTCTCTCCAAAGGTGCAGGTGCCGGACAACGATGTCACCTTCGTCTTTATATATAGTACCGCCAGGTCAGTCATAGGTAACAACCACTAGAACAGCAAGCGATAGTAAAACTCACCATCTTCCGCAGTCGGATCCGGGACGTACGAGCTCTCCACTTCGTCACTTCCAAGTGTATGCCCGCCGCCACTGAAAGGTCCAGCTGCTCTGCGGGCATCAGGTGGAGGTGCCATCCCACCCCTTCGAAACACGGGAGTCTTAGTCAGGATTAAAAAAATGATGTAGGCACTGAACGACGTACTCCGCAGCCTGCCTCAAGATATCTCTCACGAGGCGCCCACCAGGACGAGCACCGGCAGAGTTAGGGTTCTGCACTGAAATGCCACTACCCAGGTGGTAAGCTCAAGTTCTATTAGGCAAGTATCAAGCTTCTACACACCTCCGCTCGCCACCTGCAAACCAGTTCTCACCCTCTTTGTTCTCATCGGCGTCGTCGTCGTCGTCCTGTGGTCCTCCTGGCATCCTGGGACCACCAGATGTGGGAAGATTCGAAAGACTTCCAAATCCACCTCTGTTAACATTTGGTGTTTAGATAATTGTCAAAGATAATGGTGCTGGAAGCGCACCGAGATGAGGATGAGGAGTTCCTGCCAGAGTCGTTAGTCCCACTCCAGTCTCCAACCCGACCCACACGAGGTGCAGATGGCCGGCCCCATCCAGCAGGTAGAGGCTCGCTGTTTTGGTTTCCTCCAAGAGATTGTCCTCCGCCTGACATCGTTCAAGTTAATGATGCGATCTATACGATCACGATGAGTCCAAATTTAATACTACGCGTCTCACTGCGGTGCGGCGTATTACATAAGAAAATAAATTCGGTGACTTCCTGCCAGTGGAAAGACTTGTTCCAGACGTCGGACGTGACCACTGGAGGATGCAAAGACTCGGGTCTGCATATAAGACGGCTGTTCCACCTTGACCCTGAACCTGTCACATGTGCTTGGGTGCCCGAGTTATCTGTGGTCACGACCGGATCATCAATGCATCACGCCCGTCTGGTCCGTTTCTATGTCATATCATATTGACCGCGCTGAACATTAGTAATAGCACGTCAACGTGTCCATGTCAGCACTGACACATTTCACTTGTAATATTCCCACTGCTTCTCCGAGGCGGCCATTTGAGCAGGTCGGCATAACCGTCCAGTATCTTCCTTCTATCAAGGTCTGACTACTGGAGAAGGCTAATTGGGTAGTACATAATTGATGGCCACCCTATGGTAGCCTGGACTAACTTATACTGTCGTGTTGCTGTCGTGTGGTGCTTCCGAAGAAGATGGGCTCGTCGATCGACGTTGACAACGGCAGATAAATTCAGCACCAGTTCCGTTTTTCAAACGAGCCTCGATATCTATTAGCTGGCGCGTTGTCGATAAAAAGTTCTACAAACACCCATCATATGGTGATCCAGGAGTCTAGGACTTACTCTGTCTCCTCCCTTCGAGTTCAACTTGGGCCGGCAGCACCCTCATCCCATACTACGCGATCCTGGCTTCTCCGAGTAGATAGCAAAATTATTCCGCAGCTTGTTCTCGCTTTTCCACTGGCGCTGATAACTCATGGACAATCTCCCAGTACACCCCTTAGTGTGTATCACCCCCTACTCCATAAACTGAGTCCTGGAACTCCCGTCCGTCTCTGCTCCCATCGCCCCAGGGTATTACCATACGACATGCCGTTCCTCTACCGACACAGTCATATTGCCACAGCTGCCTCCATCTACATCATCACCAAGGGTTCCTGTATTGTCATCCACGCAAGCCAGAAGCCTGCGGTACCAGCGCGGCTTCCCATTCCACGATCTACACTGGAGACGCTGTAGCGGAGACTTCGACATTCCAGCCGGTTATAGTGCACCTAGCCACACAACCGCACTAATTGTTCGCAGCTTCCTGCGACAAGCTAAGCTCCAGCGCTTAACGCAAGCGCCGGTACTTGCAGACTATGTGAAGCTGTCCATTTCCGCTACAACTCAGGGAGCTTCACGAACATCCTCAGTGTCAACACGTGTTCGTCATGGTCATAACTTGCAACCGCCTGGCTGGTTCTGTACCACCACTCTTCCCGATCCTTAATTTCATCCCTAAAGCTCTTAGGTTACATCGTACTCAAGTCAAGGGCATCAACCACTTCGAAACATAGCCGAAGGGTATCAAAAGAGGGTAGCATAGACAGCCCTCATGGTCAGAGCGCCCACCTTAACGGGCAGTCTCCTCCGGAAAAGGATCCGCTAAGGAGTAAGCTACAAATTCCTGGAATCTCGGTGCCCCATTTGACGACGATGAAGCGGGGAGGAATGTCGAACATGCTCATATTGTCTCAGTGAGGCGCAAAAGGTCGTAGTTGAGGAGGACGAGCCAAGGACAAGTGAAATGTGAGCGGCCAAATCAACCAAGCGATCACAGCTGACGATATTCCCCAGAGTGAATGTTATGAAGCAAGTACTGGATGTTCTCCAGATCTCAACAATTGCCCTCAAGGGTAGCAAGGACAACCGCTCTCGTTTCTGGGCGACATACAAAAGAGTCGCCGAGGAACACAACGACGAGTTCCTTGAGCGATACACAAGCGAAATGGACATTGTGTTAGTTTTTGTAAGTTTCGCATGTTCACATTTACCTTGTGTTGGAATTGATCTTCGATCAGTCTGGTCTTTTCTCCGCTGTTAGCTTATTTCACTCCAGACTCTCTGCGTGCGGTCCACTAATTTGCTGAGCGCTATCGTCGGCTATTATTCTGCGTCCTTCGTAACTGTCTGCGCTGGTTGCGTTGTTTCGTTCTGCGTTCTCAGACAAAGGTTGTGGACTCCGAAGCACAATCACTCGACCAGAACCTGGACATTGTACCCAAAAATCAGTGCCTTAAGCTCAGGCTGCTAGACACACCCGCCAGCTCTCTTGAAGCACCTAGCATCAAGTGGCTACTCGAGACATCCACGGATCCTGAAGTATTTCTCGCCGCTGCTAGCTTTGTTCCGCAGGTCGAATGGCCCCTGGATCTTGACGTTTCAGACAACTGCATCAGCTGTATGATATTTACACAAGCTGCTTGGTCATTCAGGACCGAACCGTACCGTCAGCGAAGGAGATGGCGTCCGCATGTACAGTGGCTCTTTGTCATCTATACTATGGACGTGCTTTTGAGGCATTTCCTACCCTGCGTGAATTCCTTGGCCAGAGAAGAGGACACTTTGACGTGTTTAATAGATGAGGACAGCTGAGGACAGCATTTTTGCCACGACTTCGAGAGATAAAACATACCAGTGGTCTTCTTCATAGTTGGGGGCTTGTCCCGACTCTGTCTCCGAGTGGCTGTCTCATGTTCTTCCATACCACTTTGTTACAAGGAGAGTGGATGAAAATGGATCAGCATTCGCCGTAACAGTGATATCAAGACTATCATTTCTATCCCCTCCGTCGCCTCAAATCATAGCAAACTATACTCTTCTTGCATGCGTCATGGTCGGCGTTCGGTTTGACAAGGACATCGTTCGGATTGATGAAAGTTGATTCGTCGATGCTTCTTCTGCTATGTTTAATGAACAGATCGTGTAGTGCTGCTCTGCATCAACTTGCTGAGTCTCTTTAGGCGCAGTTCCAGACAGTTCCGTGGGCATCCTGACAAAGACGGGACAACAGTTCGACGCCGAGTATCGGATCTCACCGACGTCATCTGTCGCATGCTCCAGGTCGGTCTATCTCATCCACCTTCACTCCAGATGATGTGGAACCTGGACATGTGCAGGAAGATTTATTCACGAGCGAGGTCATCGGAACAAAATGATCGGCAGCGCTGCGAAAAGTACAGCGCTTCAGGTTCGCCGTCGATGCCGATCAATCCCGATGGGACCCTGGCCCTGCCTGGTTGTGGCAGCATCAAATTTCGTGGCGAAGCCATTCCTACTCATCAGAGGACTTTGACTGGCTGGTGGACTACCTCGGCAACGTTTATTCCAACGACCACGAAATAGCAGGTGACATCCTTTTTCTCCTCGGTAGCATGAGAGTGAGCTGCAGCTCCGCTAAACAGCATATGTTCATCGAGAGCCTCATCGCATGCATGGACAGTAGCATGCCTCCTCGTTTACGTCACGCTGCTCACAGTTCCCGGGAAATTTTGGCCACCATCGATGCCGTTAGTGATGTGGACATAGTTCTCACCAAGTTCTCCTGACCGCAGTTTGTCCACGATCAGGCGCAACTCCCGCCAATGATGGTCCTGACTGCTTCTTCGATTATCACCGTGACTTGTGCTATCTCGAGCTGATTTTTGCTCTTGCGAGCAATTCCAATTGGCAATCCCCATTTGTTTGTGGAGCACCGTATAATCAATTTATTGGCATGATTCCAGTGTGCTGCAGATCGTCTGGCCCGCATGCCTTTTACCTCTCTAGTATCCTCCTCCGAACCGCACCTAAAACATCGTCACTCGCATCGCTCGATTCTATCACAGAGAAGCAGTGGTGGGGCGTGATACGCATGGCATGGATGGATGTTTCCTCTATAAATTAAGATAACACACGCTGTTTCGAGAAGTTCCTTCCTATCCTTACTGACGGCACAAAGAAGTACATGCAGATTGCTTCAAAATTTGATCTCAAGATGCTTATCGGAGGTGTGGATTATGTTGTCGAAAGACCGGAGTGGCAATGTCCAGAGCAGGGTGAGCCTGAGGGCAGTTGTTGCTGTGAAGGAGTTGAGAGGTGTAGCTAGCGACATGCTTCAGAGGTTCAATCCGGTGTGAGCAGGGCGTACCATACGATCACGAACTGCTTCGTGGTTGGACACGCCGGATTGTCATGACTTGGACGCTTTTATCTTATACCTTACTCTCGAAATCTGACACTTATCCACGTTTTCTCATCTGAACTCCTTGATTATTTCACGTACACCTTCATGGGTAGCTTCCAATTGAGTAGGAAATACGTCACTGGTCTCCTGATGGTGCTTATATGTACCAGGATTGCATCGATGAAGGGACGTTTGGTTGATCCAACAGTTGTAGACAGGCCTCGCACTCAATATGATCATGCATCTTGGTCCTTTGGAATATCCGCTGTTAGGAGGTCTTCAACATATGGCACAATGCTGCTGTACTGCCATCGCACCGTCAAACAATATTTGCGAGATGCAGCTACCCAAGGTTACCCCACTTCATTAAGTCGCCTAAGAATATTAGCTATCGCCGAGAAGTTGCAAATTACCTCACGTCCAAGTCATGGTCACGTGTTTCCAAAATCAAAGCTTTCAAACTACTTTAAATTGGACAACGCTGCGGTCAGGTTTGCCCTTTGACCGACACTACATCGAGCCTGTGTGCCGCTTGAGAGCCTCGATAGCATTGATGCGTGCGCCAACCCCACAATTGTCCCTCACATCTTCCGTACCTTCGAGCAGGAAACATGCGTTCAAGAAAAGAAAACTCAGCTATATTCAATCGTCCACGCGCCACGACACAGGCTCGTGTCCCTCGAAGGCAGACCAATCTACAACACCAAACGTACACAAAACCTCGACTTTGTCATGCTCTTCATGCCACCGTGTGTTATCTGCATCGATGAGGTCTGGTGCAGGTGCAGGGGCAGGCGTAACTTGTGCAAGGTGGGTGGACACCTTTTCCCTAATTGTTCATCTCTCAAACCTGATAAACTTTCAGGTGTGGATCAGCTGTATGTGCTGTATGTTCTCGCACATGCTCCTCGATGTTACGACAATCCTCGTTCCCGCCAACGCCGGCATTAACACGCTGTCCCTCTCTGTCAGGGTCGCCATCACCGTCGCCTTCCGGATCTCCCAAACGAGCCGCATTGAGCCTAAATATCTCTACCATGAACTGTAATATACTCCTCTCTCCATCTTCCGGCAAGCGGAAGAAGCCTTCAGACAAGGATGACGTCGATGTAGACCATCCTTCGAAATATCGAGGCACGCTTTTCGGCCCAGACGATGGAGCTCTTCTTGTTCCTGGATGTGGTCGACCTATCTGCAGAACGTGCTGCGTGGAGAGTGTTCAGAAGTAAGCTTTTGATGACTAATACTACGTTGAACAACGATTGAGGCTTTTCCCAATCGCAGCGATGGGACTCTTTGTGTAGACTGTTATGCCGTTGTTGGAAACGTGCTCTAGAACGAGGAACAATCTAATCATGAGGAGCCTCTCATGCTTTCCGGAGGACCTTTCGAGCCTACCGACATAATTTGCATTGTCAATGCTTTGCTTGCTTTCTTTGTTACTCAGATTATTACAAGCCACGGTGATTCATCATATTGTATACTATGCATTCACTACCCTATGTTCACAGCATTTATTACTTGATGGAGCACGGAGACATTTGGCGAAGCTTTGTGGTGTAGCACTGTTTAATTGCGAGTTTAATTGGTCTTACTTCATTATCCTGGAAACGGGCACGGTAGATTGGAGATGACGCATGAATGGAATGTTGGCGTGCGGTGGAACGCAGAGTCCGTGCATCCGAAGGATACATTGTCCTAACTAGAAGGGGCGAACAGCCTGGCGCCAAGGATGCGTTATGCTATCATCGGTAACGTTGATTACCGTGACGCACGAGATCACACAGATGGAAATACAGCGGTTCAGGGCGTTCGTTGACAGTTTCTGAGGACATGCTGCAAGAAGGAGTTCCGCAGCCACGTTTCTCGCATGCTGGACACAGCGATGAGTCTGTTGCGTTGATTTTCGCGAGGTGCTTGTTGAGGGGGAAGGCGACCTTGGCTGAGGCAACGTCATGATCAGCGGACCTGAAGATAGCCTGAAGTAGCTACTACATTCTGCGGCCGAGGGATAATGGAGCTCTAGTGCGTCCACGCCATGTCTGTCTCCCGGAGAATCACAGTTAAGATCTCTTTGTGTCCATGGTTCGATTTTTCGCCCGCGACAGTAGTAGAGCTTTCCGGAATCCAAATGCACGGCATGCACTCAGATTCTCAGGAGAAACTGTATTACAGTCGAGCTATGAGCAGCATTGCCTGGAGCACGGGCCGGTTATCTGTTTTTGTTGATTAATTAGTGGGGCCAGGGAATTGTGAATCAGACCATAGATGAATGAGGATAGTCGTCATGGAAATCCTTCTTTACAATGGAGCTTGTCATATGCAGTACTTTTCAAACGTATATGATATAAGACACCCTGGTGCAAACAGAAGACGAAGATGATGAGTGGTGATTATATATCATTGCTGACAGTAAATGACGATGCTCCGTGAAGACAGTCATGCACTTGCAGCCTTCGCAAGAGGCCGGTGATCAGCCAAATGTACCGCTTCAACTTGCTCTTCACTGATAGGTTCTAGTGCGCCAGTTGCTCGCCATGTCCTCTTGGCGTGCTTCAGCAGGTAGATCGCAGAAGTCGGAGTCATGCCTTCCATGCGTTTTGCGGCACCCTAGCGCGTGATCAATCAAGCACCGCACTACATCGTCAAAACAAAGAGCTCACCAAAGTCGTGGGCCTGATCCTCTGTAAGCGCTCCCTCACCTCCTCGCTCAATCCTTGCACTTTGGAGTAGTCCATATCAGGATCCAGTTGCAGGGACTCATCGGCATGGAATAATGCAAGGTCTGCCAGTTGTCGTGGGAGGTGAGGAGCGTAGGATGCTATTTCAGAGTTCATTCACATGTTGAAATAAAGAACGGCAAGAGAGTTCACCTTCGATGTCGATTCGTGCTCGAATATGAGGTTCCACAAAATCAAGACCTGGAACAGCTCCGGAACGTACGAGATCGGCGGCGGTTATACCTGGAATCATCAGCATGTCGTACGCACTATTGCGGAATTCCAGCGGGAGTTACATCATAGAGACGTAACCACGAACCTCCTCATGATGCCATCTCGTCGAATATCAAATCCGTATCTCCCCCAACCCTGAGCCAAGATAAATGAAATAATTCAGACAACGTCGAGACGGCCCTCACCTGCGGGCTGAGCACAACGTTTGTGAGGAGCTCAGTGCCTCGCTGTATAGCATCTCGGTCGCTCAAAAAGGCTAACCATCTATCAGGAGAGACAATTCCAGCAGAATGCCCTATATCAACAGACCATTAGTTCGTAAGAAAAATCAGAATGGGGTCTGCGGGGTGTACCAATCTCAGTCAGCCGCATGTCAGCGTTGTCACTCCTCAGCGTCATCCGGTATTCCGAACGAGAAGTGAACATCCGGTCTCCATAAATGACCAAAATTAGCCTCGCATCATAAGTGGATAAATCAGAAGTCACTCGTACATGGTTCCTCCGCTCCTTTGCCTATCAGATCATCTACCATCACTCCCAGGAATCCATCCGCTCGGGTGAGCAACATTGGGGGACGGCCTTGGGCTGAAAGACCTGCATTAATTCCTGCAAGGCAACCTTGCGCGGCAGCTTCTTCGTAACCCGTTGTGCCGTTTATCTGGCCAGCGAGGTAAAGACCCTGCAAGTTGCCTATTAGGCGACAATACAAGGTGCAGACACGAGAGTCACCTTGATGCGTTTTGTTTCCAATGTCGCTTGAGAGACCATGAGTTGGGCACGAGGTCACATTCGTGTGCAACTTACAGGTCAGCTCACGGGGATCGACATGATCATATTCAACACCATATGCCGGCCGCAGCATCTTGACTTGTTCAAGACCTGGTATTGTTCTCATCATTGGTTCTTGAAGCTCCTCGGGCATTGAACATGACAACCCGTTGGGATATATCAGGTCTACACAGAATATTAGGATGTGCAGTTTGCATTCGACGCTAGAGCACACCTGAATCATATCCCTCTGGCTCAAGCCAGATGGTATGACTGCCCTTGTGTCCAAAGCGGGTAATTTTGGCTTCTAGTGAGGGGCAGTATCGCGGACCTGTGATGCCAGGGTAGCAGAACAGTAGAGAACAACTAAGAGCTAGAAACCTTTCTTGGTCTCCTGTATATGTACACTGAGATGCATACTTTCCTTGATGAGCTGATGCGTTTCCAGTGTGGTGTGAGTTTGAAAACACGGAATTTGGTTGTTCTATAGCAAAGTCGTTTATCACATCTAGTTCATGAACATCGAAAACTTACAGCATGGTCTACTTCCCGATGAACAAATGAAAACGGCTGAGGTTTTTCATCTCCATCTTGCCGTTCCATCCGGCTGAAGTCAATGCTATGCTTATCTAGCCTTGCAGGCGTGCCAGTTTGCAGGCGTCCAAGTTTAAAACCTGCTGCGTTGAGGGATGCAGAAAGACCTGTCGAGGGTGCCTCTCCGATACGTCCTGCAGGTATACGACGCATCCCTACCATGGAATTAATCGTGGAGGTATAAAGAGTGAAAGACAATTCAACATACCAATGTGAATTTCACCGCTGAGAAAGGTCCCAGTGCAGATAACGACCCTGGAACACCTGATGATATCTCCTGTCTCTAGAAAAATAGACCAGTGAGGACTTTTATTATGTGCAGGCATAGCGCACGCACCTAGGCGGACGCCCGTCACGGTCCCCCACGTTGACGAGGAAGTGGATTCGCAGGGACTGTTGTCAAATACGAGGTCAAACACGCTTGCAGCACGCACGTCCAGGTTTGTGTAGCTAAAAATGATGTCTTGCATATGGCGCTTGTAGATTTTACGGTCCACCTGCGCTCTAGGGCCCTGTTTCTCAAATGTAGTCAGACAAGACGAGCATCATCCACCATTACTCACCCAAACAGCTGCACCCTTCGAAGCATTGAGCATGCGGAACTGTATCCCAGCTTTATCTGTATGTCAAGTCTCAGGTATTTGAAGTTACGCCCATCCGCAAGTAACGTACCTGCGATCCTTCCCATAAGGCCATCTAGAGCATCGACTTCCCTCACTAGTGTACCCTTTCCAACACCACCAATAGAGGGATTACATGAGAGCTCGCCCACAGTATCGATCCGCTGGGTTAGCAGTACTGTTCGTGCGCCTGTACGGGCAGCGCCTGTCGCCGCTTCGCAGCCTGCATGTCCTCCACCGATAATGCATACTGCAGAGAAGGTAAGCTGAAACATACAACCTGATAGCACACTACAAACCATCATAAGTATCTGGAATTGAGTTTGAGTTTGAAGTCGCCGTGTGTAGGGCCCGAATACGCGCTTCTCGAGAAGGACGCGAGGGCAGTAGTCTTGTAGATGTGTCAGGCGTACTGGTATGCAGCGATGTTAACGAGCTTCGTGTGCTAAGAAGCCGCCGTCGCCGCAGTAGAGTAGCCCAGCTTCTTCTCGATAGCATTATGGGTTGACGGTTTGCTGGGCAAGTGAAAATTTCGAGGATACAGAAAAAAATCTATAGATTCTATACGTAGATGGTATCCGACATCAGTCTTTGGAGGGGTAGCGTGCTATCATGTACAAGGGCTCGAGACTGAGTTTGAGAGAACCGCAACGCAAGTTGCTCTAAATTATTCCGCGCTATTTGGGTCAGCTATATCTCACGGGGGACTCCGACAACATATCCAAAAGAAGGATCTCTCTGAAAGTTTTATGTACAGCGAGATACAACTTGCGATGTGGGAACTTTAACTATCATAGACTGTCACCTTCCCGCATAGACAGTGATTGATTGTCGAAGTCTCATGATCATAGAACTTCAAGTATAGTCTGTAAGGTGAGCAGAGTGTGTGTCACGTTGAATCTATTAGCGCAGGCGTATATAAAGCCCGTATGAGGCCCAGCCGTCGTTGGGTGGACCCCGGACGGCAATTGGCACCACACATGGCAGACAAGTTGCATGTGGAGGTCGGCGAGCTCAAGGCTCCGCCGGGAATTACCGTGCGTCACTTCATAGTATTACTAATTTACCAATTTGTACTTCATGACCATGATGACTGGCCTCGCCAGGACCCCAGGTTGGCGGAGGCCCAAACTTGTCCGGATGGATTCTGGCTGATTTCGTCCGGATCCTGTCCTGGGTTCGCCCAGGAGCGCAAATTTTGTCCGGCCAGCGAGACATGGTGATGATGATATGCAAAAGTTGTTCCCAAGTACATCTATCATACCTGCATTGGCCAATGTCGCCAACGCTGATGGCGAGCAAGATAGTCCAAGAAAACCAATCAATCAATTCAAACTACTATTCAGGGAGCAGAAGCGAGCGTACGTGATGTTCACGAGTCTCGCCCGCCTACTACACAGTGCTACAAGGACTCCGACTTCGTGTTCTGGATCCCCAACTTCAGAGAGCTCATCACGAAATTTGAGGACGACACTCGGGATGGATTACTGAAACTCGTAAGCTACACGGTGCATACACACTGCACCTGTTTTTGAATTGCCAACCTCCAATCTAGATAAACTACCGCACGATCTTTGTTCCTGGTCCGTGAAATTATTCATATTACAAAAATCTCGTACCAATATTTATCTCTATTGGGCACTCATAATGGTCTAGCGTGTATAGACCGGCTCAAGACGGGACAGAAGGATGCCACTGAGAAATGGAAATAACGCCCAATGATGTTTCACATCATGAGGCTGTATAATTCGAAGAACAAGTGGTTTGGCTTCCTATGGTCATACGGTCGTACAGGCGCGTCCAATCCGCTGCTTTCTCATTTGAAGCCGTGGACCACATGTACAGTCACACACTCACTAGACTACGGACAGAATACCAATTAGGATGTATCACCTGGTTATAGATCGATGCAGTGCCGATGCATCAACTTCTTGATGCAACTAGAGTGCATGCTGTATCGGTTTTAATCAGTGGCGCACCACCCTTTCCGTATTTTGTTGTGTCCTTATCGCACGATAGCCCTGATACCAGCGGAAAGCGGGGCGTGATGCCGCAACCCGGGTGGGAGGTGAGTTGGCTGGTTACTGAGTTTCGACTTATTCTATGTCTCGTTTCTCAACTCCCCCCCCAGACAGAATGTGACTTGTTAACAAACGTTGGATGAATTACATCCGTGCCTGGACCAGCAAGGCGGAGAGACTGCAGCCGCTCATTGAGAAATATTGAGACAGCAGGCTTTGCGATCTTCGCACCGCCTGTATTAGATGGACGACTACAATATTTCTTTATTTCACATGACGATACTCAATTCGGTAAAGCGCAGCAGGAACAGACGCCCACCCCTATAACGCCTATTTCGGCAACAAAAGCGCTGGTTGGTGGTGTATCCAGCACGAGCACGATTATTGTGCTTCACAAAGTTCTCTGCCCTCCCCTGATCTCAAATGATCTCAGTTTGTCGCTGCTAATTAATTTGTATCGTTTTACCAGTTATTTTATGGGTTGGTAGAAAACTAATTAGATGATGAGTCGGTGATGTGGTGATCTAATCTTCACCGGGTTTCGATCACAGTTGCCTCTGTTGCACTTGTTTACAATCTCGGGAAACGATTGTATAGTGCTAAAGAACCATTCAGTGACAGATGTAGTGAGTATCCTACCTCTGATACCTGCCATACCTGTCCCAATAACTGAAATACTATCTGTAGGGGCGAGTACAATTCTCGATAAGCTTGTTCGTTCAATATAATGACTGCAACAGTTGTGAGTTTGTTTGGAGTTCATCTGAGGCTCATTACCAAAGGTTTTTTCAGGCAATATTTTGAGCGCACTAACTGTGATCGTAACTGCCATGTTAGATAGTGAGCTAACCAGCTGCAGTAGTTCAGTGGTATTCGCTTGACTGGAACATAATGCAAGTGGCTACGATCGATCCAGAAAGGATGGGTCACGGTATCAGTCATGTCCTAGATTCGTCATGCGAAGTCTAAACTCAATTACTCTTGCGTCCAGAGCGGCTGGTAACCATATGTTCATAGTGATCCCCGTTCTCAACTACAGAAATGATCTGCTCACAAGGTTATGGTAAGCGACATCCTTGAAACATATCTTTCTCACATCAATGTGATCATCTCAAAGATATTATTGGCGAGCCACATTTCCCTCCACGTTGAAGAAGGCGAACGTTCTACTGATTGTCACGGGCGTCAGGCATGGTCCCTTTACCGTGACTTCTCGTGAAGTTCTTGATCAGCAATGCGTGGCATCACTGATGATCTCAGAAAGAAAACTCTTGGGCTTAGCTAGCTTCACTTTGTTGGTTGCCAAAGCTTCACCGCCCAGTCTATTCGCGGGTCAGCCTACTCTGCACATCCTACACAGCCGCGATCGCGACAGTGGTTTATCGCCGATGCGGCATTAACATATAACGGTTACACGCTTTTTCAAGGAACATCTAGGGACGACCACGAGGTGAGCGGGATGATGGATTCGGGTATGATGGTACAATCTTTCATCTTTATTATAATGCGACCAGTCCATGTAAACCATGACACACATGCACATGTTGTCCCCTATTACTTACTAGGTGGTGATCCAGCAGCCCGAGCTGTGATAGACTCATATGGTATAAGCGGGTGCTCTGATCTTTGACAGTGACATAAGTGGAATCCTCCTGTCATCGGACACCACATACCGTTCGAACGTTGTAACGTCATGGTGCGCGTGATGTCTTGATCCTCATCTTTATACACGTGCCCTCATATGCTCTGATGGAAATCATGGACGTACTTTTAGGCCCCAGGGACACGAAGTGACGTAGACTGAGGCGGTTTATCGTTCATTCTTAATGGGAAAATGAAATTTACATCCTGAAACAGTCCTGAAACATGATGGGAACAACGGGAGGCAGCGCCGCCGCCGCCGCCAGATGTCTAGATTGTCTATGGTCTATATACCAGTACAAATGATCCGGTGGGTATGAGATGTGCAATAATGACAATATAAATGAATTTCTCCTCAAAAGAGCCCTATAAGTGTATTTGCCAGCAAATAGTGATCACATCAGTGTGAGTGCGCGTTCTTCATTCTTATCCATAAGCCACCCTATGAAAGGCAAGATGATGAAACTGAAACACCAAAGCGAAGATAAGATAACACACCTTGATGAAAAGTGTCATTGTAGCTTCGGGATAAATCGTCTCCACCCTCTGTCTGCCGCGACCCAACTTCCACTCCGCAGGTGGCAAGGAGGAAAGGGGTTGTGCATCCGTCGCGAGTGTAAAGGTGTCAAATTGCTGAAGCAGTCGCACAAGGAAGAATGATGCCTCATTGTATGCATAGTTCTGACCGATGCACTAAAAGAGTCCAGGAGCCAAGGGGTCAGTTTTTTTATCAAGTTGTAATCACGAAAGGAAATCCTACAATGCGTGGTCCTGCGCTAAATGGAGTGAACATCATCGGATTCGACGTGAACCGGGCCAATCTCTGAGGATCAATCCATCGCTCAGGATCAAACTCGTCAGCATCAGGCCCCCAAAGTTCTTTGTTGCGTTGCGTCAACAGCGATGAATACCAGATTGTCGTCGACTTCGGTAAATATAACGGTTGCTGAGATTCGGTGGGATAAGTACGATCTGGCGGAGGGAGCGTGCAAGGCTGGGGTCTTGTCTGTCGCGAATTCAACGGGACAGGCGGGTACAGGCGGAGAGTTTCGTCAAGAACCGCTTTGACTGACAAAAGAAGGTCGTTAAGCAAAATTCCACCACATGAAATAAAAACTCACCATATTTGAGTTTACGAATTTCTTCCTGGGTAGGGACGTTGTTGCCACACACGCTGAGTACCTCTTGTCGCATCTTGGCCGCGATGCTCGGATACAATGCCATGAAATAAGTCACGTAGGTCAAAAGGCACGCAGTCTGTCAAGAGGAACTGTCTCATCAGAAAATGAGCGCTGAAGTGAGAAGAGGCACACACGGTGTCTCTAGCGGCCAATAGGACATTGAGCAGCTGATCACGAATCATTCCAGCGTCTATAGATTGTCAACGAATGAGGCGCAGAATTCAGACAAGGAACGAGAAATAACACAGACCTTCGGTACTATCGGCTAGGTGTTCCAAGAAAGTCCTTTCTTCCATGGTACTCCGCATACCAGTTTCGCGGGCTAACGCCTTATGATCCAATGTTTGTTTTACTAATGGATCCAGCCATCGTTTGATGATATCCACGTGCGGAGCAGTTTTGTCATCGAAAAGCTCAAATACGGGCCAAATGAAACCAGTGCGACCTCTCATGGTGATTATGCGTTGGACTGCTTCAAAAGCTTGAGCAAATGTTCCCCACGAATCATCTGTAGTAGATCCTCTATCACTCTGGAAGCCTGAACTAGAAACAGGAAGCTTTTTGGACAAGGTGTCCAGGTTTTGCCCAAAAAGAAAGTCCGAGGCGGCGTCGATGGTGAACCTAGCAAAAAGGTCTTGGACATTACAGGGCTCATCGCGCGAGGCAAGATTTGATAATAGGGTTATCGTGCGGCCCGCGTATTTTTCAAATAATTCGAAATCAGATATGCGATTGCGGGTGAAAAAAGGTCGTGCGAGTGAACGGTGCTATAACGAGACCTATCAACCATCAACAATAGTGTCAGGTGGTTAGCTTGTCGTACATATTTCCATTTCTGCATAGTTGTGAGCAAATTGTGACCCAGGTAACAGAGCAGGTCTCGCTTCTCACCTCGTCATCCCGATTGAATATTCCATCGCCTAGAAAGTTTTCTCTGCCATAGTGTTAGGAAAGTTTTTTCGAGTAGAGAGTTGCTTACAATCGCTCTCGTTGGGCAGTGCCTCTCCAAAATTGGCCGAATCCCGTTGCTAGTACGCATTTAGAGTGCTCTTGATCCATGGTGATGATCTTTGATACGGTGAACGCGCTCGTCAGCACTTGCCAGTAGAGATTGTATCTAGATGAGACCACCTACATTGTCAACCCAAAGAAAGCGAGTGTTGAGGGTTGTGCACTGATATTCTTCGAACAAATCAAGGAACGGCTCGTAAATGTACTGAGAGGCGAGCCCCTTCTTAAGTTTGAGCATCACGTCAATGTTCCCTGGCCATTTCCCAACAACTCTGGGAATTGGTCTAGCACCAAGTTGGCGTGCTTCCCGTGCTTGAACGAAGTCAGAATACTGCACTCTGATCAATACCGCAAGCGGAATAGCCAGGAGATAGGCAGGTATCGACCACCATCCAAGCCGAAGGTTTAATGCCCTACAGCACAATGAAACAAGCACGGGGGGTGCAACTAGTGCTTGAAAGATGTCCTTCAAGATACGGAAGCGATAGTTGGCGTGGTCAGCGAGAGCCATGTCTAGTGCTCAGGCTAGGCTACTAGGGACGATTGAGGGGGTGAAAGTACAGTTGATGGTTCTAACTTGAGCCCTTTATGTGCATCTGGGAAACTGACAATGCTTCTCGCCAGTAACTTGAACAGATGAAGAGAAGATTAATATTGTTGTATAATCAATATGATTAACTCCACGCCGATGTGGCACATGTGAAATTTCTCGATCCGCACTGCGGATGGAATATTCCTAGGACCGCGCGCGTATGTCGTGTAATAATAGGTTGAATGCTCGGTAGACTTGTGACAGCGAAATCCGACTGACGGCCAGTAGAGGACCCCGAGTACCCCACGCTCGTCCCGACCTCCGTGTGGCTCAACTGAGATGAGCCATAACTGTTTCACAGCGCTTATTCAATGACCGACGCCGGAAATTTTCAAGTCGTGTGCGCATGGAGCTTAGACTACGGAACTTTAGCCTTCAGTGCACTCCGTAGGGACATGCTTTGATGGATCATAATGGTAAGAAATGTATAATGGAAACAGTACGGAGGTATAATATTAATCTACGACAAGTTCCTTCGTGCTTACCAGTAGGGAGGAAACGCGGCTCTCAAATCTGGGGTTGTTCGCATCACAAGATGGCCAGGTTCATCATATCCCAGGGGTCGGTGAAGTACAGCATCACCCACAACTATGAAACGAGAGCGAGATCCGAATAACGTCAATTCCCGTATCCGACTCGGATAAGTAGGATGCTGCACACCATAGATTCAGATTCAAGCAGGCACAGTAAACTGACGGCATATCGCAGCTTAGTGTAAACTGGGAAACGACGTCGTAGATGCTTTGATGACCTGCTGCGGAAGTACTAGAATAACAAGGCTGAGCACTATTTCAAAAGCCTACCGACTGTATTTAATCGAAACGTCGAGTAACACGCTGATGTCTTGCAAGCATCTGGCCATCTAGACACTGCAGTCAAATTGTGAGATTTGTGAAGTTAATAATACACTAGTAGCAATCAAGACTGTAAGGGCATACCTACGATCCCACGGACTCGGAGACGTCGGCCTTCCTTCAAGATCCTTGCCAGCGAGGGGAGCACATGCAAGTGTCACGTTTAGTTGAACTACCGATGAGTAGATCGGATTCCAGGGTAGCTTGGATGGGCGCTCCCTGCTAAGTACGGCATATATCAGGTCAGTCCGACAAGCGATGAGTATTGTGCTCTTCAAGAGTCACAAATTCGATCACGCAACAGTCCTGAGGTTAACGTTGAACATTCAATTGATAGGTGTGCATGGGGGTTGAAACATAAGTCGGAACTTGCCATACAAGGTAAGTGTATGGCACCGTGACCGAAGGCGTCAAACTGTTAGTACATGTTTGTGCTGCCGTGCTAGTACTAGAGATTGTCCATCATCATGTCGGAATCTCGCTGGATCCCACTCGAAAGCAACCCAGATGTAAGCTTTCCATGTTTCTGATATTCTCATTCTCATGCGACAACGAGCAGGTCTTTAACAGTGTAAGACAAAACCTCCTAGTGGCACAAAATGACTTACGTGATATGATGCTCTCGTACAGTGGGCTGCAACTGCCGGACTAGTAGCATCCCAGGCGTACTTCGAGGACATATATGGCCTTGATCCAGAAGTTCGCCTTCTCGATCCACTTATGTTCATAGGTTCACGACGATACAGCTTCTAGGAATGGTATCGGAAGGTGTAAAAGCGGTTACACTACTCTTCCCCTGTTCAGGGACCATTGCGACAAAACGCAAAGAGGAAGATGAAAAGATTGCAGCTCAAGGGCAGTATCCGATCGATCCCACTATTTTCTGGATGAAGCAGACGGTACGTTCGATCGACCGAATGTCTTTCGTACTCGTACTACCAATGAGGCCCACTAGATCGTAAACGCTTGCGGAACCATGGGCCTTCTGCATGCTTTAATAAACGTAACCCGCAACCTTTCCCTTTTATCTTTCTCTCACACTGATATTACTTCAGTCAAATGTCACTTTCGCTCCTGAAAGTCCATTGGCTAGATTTATTGACGAATGCAAAGGTGAAATATTTTTTTCCTATCAAGGCATCCGAAGTGTATTGATAGCAGAAATAGACAAAACACCGTTGGAACGTGTCAAAATTCTCGAGGAGACTTCTCTATTCGAACGGATCCATAGCTCCGCAGCCTCCACAGGACAAACCACGGTGCCAGAAGATCTGGACACGTATCTCCATTTTACTTGCTTCGTGAAGGCGCCCGATGCTACTGCGAGGGAAACGGAAAGCCAAGCCCGTAGGTGGCGCGTCATAGAGTTGGACGGAGCTCGCAATGGTCCGATCGATAGGGGCGAATGCACTAACTTGCTCCAGGTAGGCAGCTTTGATTGCTTTCATGATACTAGGTTGATCTCAGTTCCGGATCTGCAGGACGTGGCTAAAATCGTCAAAGACCACTATATCAAGGAAAGCAAGAGCGTCAACTTCAGTATGATGGCATTATGTTCTGGCACAAGATTAGATTAAGAATCACGGACGAAACCAGTGTGTACAACAGCAGAGCGACTACGTATTCAGTTATTTCAACTGGCGCTCATACATCGGAACTTAAGTAAGGAAACAGTTAGTAATTGAGGCAGTATCAGCCCGAGACCGAAGTTCACGACAGTCACGAGAAAAGTGCTTCCGATATGGCAGCAGGAATTTCCTTCTGCATTTTGGCGATGAATCTAGCAACGTGGAACGCATTGTCGAAGTCAGTGATATCTTGACCATTTCCAATTTCAGCAATCTGCTCTGCAGATGCTACGAACTGTGTGGTTAGATATCAGGCTGCGTATTAACGCGGATGAATGACCATGCGTACTCGTAACATCGGGCTTTCAGGAAATTTGTCTCCCTTGGCTTTCTTTTTCTCCCCTCGTAGGATGTCTCTGACTAGAAGTGGTTCCGCGGTTAACGGCCTTGCTAATCCTATGACTGCGTTATGTCAACCGCTGAGTAAAAACGTGCGACCGGTGAGAAGACACTTACTGTCCGCGGTCCCTCGCGAGGACAGCATCGGCCATGCCCTGCGATGTCTGAAATCCACCCGTGGCGACTACTTTCGAGAGGTTTAGATGGGATTTGAGGAGCTCTGCATATCCGACGAAATACCCTTCTCGGGTTTCTACAGTATACGGCTTATAATCGCCCGGCATCAACTCTGGACTGCCTGTGAAAAATAAATGTGTTACCTTGTCCCGAGAGCTGCGGGTGATTTGTTCATATACGCCCCCACTGACTTCAATGAAGTCCACTCCTGCAATTTCGAGTAGTTTGGCGACCATTATCGATTCCTCGATGCAGAACCCCTCAGGGACAGAATCCTGTGAGTTGAGTTTGACCGAGATGATGAAAGATGGGCTTTGGACCGCTTGTCTGATCGCAGCGATTATTTCAAGAAGAATCTGAGCTCTATTTACGAGCGATCCACCATATTCATCAGTTCGCATATTTGTCCTTTTGGCCTAAAAATTGTGACAGAAGGTAGCCGTGAGCGGCGTGGAGCTGAGTCTGATTAACCAATAAGCCGACCTGATGTTAGTAAAATAACATTACCTGGACACCATCGAATCCAGCCCTGTGCAGGACGGAGGCTGCATATGCAAATCGATTTACAATGTCCTTGATGCCATCTTTTGTTAGAGGCGTGGGTCGCCCGAAGAGAACGCCTCCAGTCGATGGTTGCTCGACGTCAGATGGTGCCTCTGGATATGGCTGTATGTTAATGGAAACCTGACGCCCTGGATGGTTAAGTTGCCCGATGATCAAGCTCCCTTGTGACTTGGCGGCTCGCGCCACCTCTATCCACTCCTGGAGATAAACCGAGGGGAGGTCTCTGTCGATGATAGTATTCCCTACACGGACATCAACCTCGCAATTATTTTCACAGAAAATCATGACTACCTGTAGCTTCGAGATGATCTTTCTTTATTTGTATGTTACCAGTGACAATGATCCCTTTGAGAAATTGATTAGAGTGTCATCAAGGATGGGATGAAAATTCACCGATATCTCCCTTTGCCCAGGTTTCGTACAGTCGTACGAGTTCCTCCGTTGGTTGTCCCCGACCACTGGGGTCAAAAGGCGAAAAAGTGGCCAAGCGTTCTGACATTGCGCTTTTCAAGAACCTATTTTTTGCTGTTCGTCCGCTAAACGGGAAAGTAACAGGCTGCCTGAGTAGTTCAACGGGGTTAAACATTGAAACCATGTATGTGGATGCAGTTGTTTGCTCGGGCTGTTGGACAAATGAATATTGGGCATATGGATGAAACGGTTGCATAGTTGAATTCAATATATTGCAATCTTGGTAGCCAAACTTCACAGTGAGTCTTTCACGGGGGTAATTTTGGACTGAAGAATCAGTCAGCCAAGCATATCACGCAGGGCTAGATACGACCTCGGCTGAGCTAACGTATGTATGATGAACATGTTTCCAATGTGAGAGAAGGTGAAACCTACTAAATATCCCGAGGACTCGGGAATTAACAGACGGCCAGGACAATTGACCGATGATATTAGCAAGCTTGACGTGTCCAAGTAAGGTTTATCTAGCGAGTCTGCGCCTCCTTGGCAAGTCAGCACACCTATTAGTGACTTTACTAGTAGCAGCAGCTTGTGTGGATATCGTAAATAACTCACTTATTCAAATATGGCTCCTAGGGGATAGCCACTGTGTTAAACTTGAAGGGTGTGCACGATTTTTCCTGCAGCAGGTCAGAGGAACATATGGCGTCGTGCTAACAATGTCAACGCAAATGACGATTCCGAGTGCGCAACCTCTGAGAATTCAGTTCGTAGTCGGAGTTGTCGAGTTGCAGGTGACGATGGCAGCGGCATGTATTACTGTTTTAGGGGTACTCGCCTAGCCAACGACATTAAATGAGCCTGTGTAGGACGGGGATTGTCATCCTCCGATGTATATATAAATATATATATTCCACAAGACTCGCCTTCTGGGGCCAATCTGGGGCCACCTTGCACCATAATAGGTTACACTGGTTGCGGAATCAGGGCCCAGAGTGATTGAACTTATTGGGAGTCGTGGCTAATAGTCGGAGGATGATTAGGCCCGACCGAATCCCTGACATATTGGTTCGAATTAATGATCAGTTGACGAGGCTTGCCTTCTTGAGGTCAAGTTCCGTCATCAGCCGACTTATTAGAACTGTAGTAACGGCGACTAATCATGATTTGGAGCCTGTACAGCTGCTCTCATTGTAGGAACTCTGCAGCGCGGTTGTTAGGGTGGAGCCTGTACAAAGCCCAACGATTATCATTTCCAACCCTTGTATTGATGAACAGTCACTTAACATCCAAAACCTTCTTCTGCGATCGTTACGATGAAGTTATTGCCAACGAGTGACTGCTCGCGAAGTTTAGGTCACATCTGAGACTCAGAGCATGCGGTGAAAAGAATAATGTTGGATGTTGGCAGTCCATAGTCCCAGGATTAGAAGTCAGAGAGCATTCCGCCAAACTTGAAGTTGTTCAGAATCATGTGCCAGCTGAAATTAGACATGACCGTGACGTCCTCGGAGAAGCAATCGGGAATTGCCAGATTATGTTGGTATTGGGTTGAATCTTATCGATTACTATCTCTGAGAGTCAAACGTTAATCATGTTTTCTTCATCGTCTTCCAAACCATCGACGCAGCAACTACTACAATCTGCGGATCTCATTTCCCAGGGCGCTGAAGCTGCAAGTCCTCTTAACTAATTTCTGCTTCGCCCCATGCTCACTTGAACCCCCGATCACCCTTTCTAATGCTCCACGCAGAAAGTCTACAAAGCATATCTACGTCAATTTTCAACATCAGGTCATGGCGTTGATCACGGCGCAGCTCTTGAGGTGGCAGAACCGGTTCTCTTGAAGTACCGGTTTCACAAGCACTACCGCCACCCGTCACTCGATACATCACTCACCCGGCAACGCATAGCCGGTGAAGCTCGCGCGTTGATGAGATGTATGCGGTATGTCCAATTTTTGCCGCCTTAGGGAGAAACGTGGAGATGAGCCGACGTGTACCTTGGCAGATCCGGCGTCACTGTACCCGGAATCAGGATGGTGGATGTGAACGAAGGTGTTCTGGGTATCGAGTGGATAGATGGCAAGAGTGTGCGTCAACTTCTACCCGGTGGGGCTGAACTCGAGGACATCAGCGAGCTTGAAGAGGTGGATGAAATCTATGAAAATGGCCCTGCAGACCCAATTGCTGATTATGGAGTTTCTCGAGGTAGGACTGTTCATATGCCGATTGGGTTATACTCAATTTCCGTAGATGCCCTGATGGATATGATAGGTGTTGAAATCGCAAAGATGCACTTGGCCGACATAATACATGGTGATCTGACGACCTCGAACATGATGTTGAGGAAACAAACAAGTGATTTGGTACATGATAGTACCAGAGGATGCGGTCGTCTTTTTAATGTCATTTTCAGGTTCTCATAGACTTTGGACTCGCCTATCATTCTACTCTCGTAGAAGATAAGGCTGTGGACCTTTATGTCCTGGAACGCGCCTTTGCCTCAACTCATCCTGACTCGGAGCCACTGTTTGCGGGTGTGCTGAGCGCGTATGAGAAACGCATGTGCAAACATTGGCTGCCAATTAAAAAGAGATTAGATGATGGTAAGCTGAGCTCAGTGCATGACTAGATCTGTGTGCTCATTCTTTGTCTAGTGCGACTAAGAGGGAGGAAACGGAGCATGGTTGGTTAGCATACATGCTAGACTGTTTCAAGAATGTGTAAGTGGGTTCAAATGAAGGCTAATTACCCTTTGATGTGTTAGATCGGACCCAGGTGATATTACCCAGCAGTCCTGTCAGGTTTGATTCATGTTTAACACGAGCACGTCTTTGGGGCTAAATACGGCCTCACGACATTCGGACCCTTCTCTGATCTCTCTGTTCACAGCAAACACGGCAAGTTACATTTCAATAAGCGCATTGTCTGGCCTGTTCTCGTCACATCCCTATGATCAAAATGTTGTTGGTGGGTCTCATCCCTCAACATCCCGACCCTTTCCCCGCCACCCTCCGACGCAAATTGAGAATGCTCTCTTCCTTATCCTCGACCTCAACGTTGGGCGTTTTTGCAACCGCGCCATGGCTTCTATTTCGAGAGCCTCGTCTTGGGCGAGGATTGAGTCGATGTATATGAGGTCGGATGGGTGCATTGACAGGTCTATACTGTCTTGGGAGCTTGTAGGGGATGTTTGATCCCGTCCACCGTGACTCCCCTCTGAATAGGACGACAGACAGCCTTGAAGAGGCTCATCTGTGCTCATTTTCAATCTTACAAGGGCCGCCAGCCTCTGCGCATCTGATTGAGGGGTCAGAGGTGCCGTGTCTCCATCCTCTACGAGCTCCTCGCAGTTTTGCATTGATGGCTCGTCAGTGGTGGCAAACTCCAGCTCACTGAACACTGCAGAGCTGGAGTCGTCCATCGCTGACGGTGCTATAGCCACTAGGCTATCAGAACGCTTGTGAGAGCGTTTCTTGAGCACGAGGGCTACGAGAGCGTTGACATGAGGAGTGTCTTGGTGGTCTGCGGAGGTCTGCAGAGCTTTCGAGAGAAGAGTGATGTCTAGTGCACATTGCATGATGCAATTTTATTGGGAGTGGAGGACTGGGTGTTTTGTCTCCACGTGGTCAGCTATTTCTTTTTGCTCTACTTGGGCTCTACCTTGATCTTTATATATGGTGGGTACATAGCAGTGGATATGCGTTTGTCCACCGTCCACACTCTATTTTAGTGTGAATTGTTTGATGTCGAACTCATTGTCGGACAAAGCAAGTGGAACTACTTTGGTGGCAAGTCTACCACAAGCACATGTGATGATTCTGATACCATGACACTACCTGCTTTTCACTTCCGTTGAATATCATAGACGTATGTACCACTGGCCGGCCGTCACATACTAGTGGTGCTTGGTATGATTCGAGACTTCAATCAGTTGGGTGGCAGTGGGTGGCGTGGCCGCTGACTTGTGACCTAGTGCTTCAACATTCGGACGACCGTGTGCGCTCAGTAACCTTCACTCGAATCAGATATTGCCTGATTTGGGTTGCTGCTTGCGCCACAACGCTTCTCTGACTCGAGGCCCGGGATGCTCTATGATACACCTAATCAGCAAGCGTTCTGCCTGTCAATGGTCTCCCATATCCATGCATAAGTATCAAGCAGACCAAATTTCAGAAGTAGATCGATTATGATTATGTGACATGCTAAGTCGCTCACACATAGACTTTGCGTCACAGGATCATTTGGCTCCGCCATCAGGCTATTACAGCTTGAATGAACTACTCGAAGTTACGCCCAATGTCTAATGTTCAACTATGAGTCTAATGTCATACTTCTGAATCGGCGCTCAGTATGACACAGACTAGGACCAAGTTGCCTAGTAAGTATTTTCATGCCAGATAATCAACTAGGCCGCCCTCACTCGCGTCGGAATTTGGCTATCAGAAACAGTGTGACGGACTCAACGACATGGACCAACTAGAGTCTCGGGTTTTGTTCCATAGAATATCTTGCTTCCGATCCAGCCAGGTACGGATCATGCTAAAATCTCGCCGAACCGAAAAACCTTCCTAGTCCTCCCTCCAACCTCTCCATTTTCATCGTCACAGGTATCCAAGTCGCTCCTTTTGAAATCCCACTCCTTAATATGCAATATTTCTCCTGACTCACCGTCTTTTGGTGGGGTTTGGTGGGCTCGCACTTACTCTCGCAGTTCCATTAGAAAGTAAGCAGGGGTCGGGTTCTGTGTCAGTCAACGTGTTGTTGTGTTGACGAATTTTGACTTCGGATGAGCAGATGGCCACCATGCCAACTCTGCCTTCGGTACGTGGTATCAATTGTCCTGCTAATATTGTTGCCGCTCACGAGACTCTTGCTCTAAAACGATAGCTCATGGCCTCAAAGGTAGAGTATTTTATACTTGTCAATTTATTCTTGACTGCACGGCGACTGCAGCGAACCATATGGCAAGGAGAAATAAGTCCAATCACGGGTGCGGTGGCGGCACCCTGGCGAATATCAGTGCTAGTGAGTACTATTCGCCTTCTGGAAGTTATATACCAAGCTCGTTTCTCAGTCCTAGAAAACCTCCTCAACAACGTCACCATTATTATGCTGCAGGATACCAACGAGAATTAGTTAAATCTTTCCATAGGTAAGGTATATGCAATATATATCGGCGGCATGTTCATGACGTTGTGTTTAGGAATTTTATGCTTGTCCACTGTTCCCGCTATACGACGCGACTGCCTTGGAGCTTCTTGCCTAGTCTTCTACCAGTTGTCTGCATGACCCTTTGTGATCTTTCCGTAGGATCCCCGATCGTGTATGTAAATATTATATTAGGCGTTACAACAGCGGCTCTTGGTGGATGGAACTCCGGAAGAGTCATACGTTTAGCCACACAACGAACGCTCTAGCGTTCAATAGCAATGCGGCATCACCAAAATAAGTCGAATATGAGACATAGTATCAGATCGGGCCCCTTCGTACAAAATATTCCCGTGATAATGAGATGACATCCAATCCTCTACACAAGACACAAGGGGCCACACGTCACACTGTAGAACCATGAGGCATGTTCAATCCACTATTATTGCGCAATATCGTTAACTTCTGCATTTCAGGAGGTAAAGTTGCACGGTCGCACCACTCCGCATGTATCAGCAATACATGCGATCATATTATTCTGGAGCACGAACAGTCATGATACTAATGCTAAACGCATGGCCATCGCAATGAATGATTATTGGCTATCTAGTCACAAGAAGCCCGTAGAACGGTAATTTACTTCCTGATGGGTATACTATGGAGCAGATGCAAGTATCGAGGACCAGAGGACATGTCGTGCAGAGATTTACTTGGTAAGAACGTTGACATCGAGGTTGTTGAGAACGTCCTCAACATCTGTATGGCTGCGTTAAGGCCAGCCCAAAAATTATGTGAATATCACTTACAGGCCTCGACGCCGATCAAATCATCCCGCTTTGTCAGAACATTGACATCAAGGTTGTTGAGTACGTCCTCAACATCTGTATGGCTACATTAAGGCCAGCCTGACAATTGTATGAATAGTACTTACAGGCCTCAACGCCGATCAAATCGTCGCGCTTAGTCAGAACATTGACATCGAGGTTGTTGAGGTCATTCTCAACATCTGTATGGCTAAGTTAAGGGGAGCCTAAAAATCATATGAATAGCACTTACAGGCCTCAACGCCGACCAAATCGTCCCGCTTGGTGAGGACATTGATATCTGCGTCGTTCAAGACGTCCTCGACAACTATGCAGGCCAGTCAGTTCATACTTCTCCAATGAAATTAAATACGTACCAGCAGAGACATCAAGAATACCACCGCGCGTGAGGACATTGATCGTTGCGTCGTCCGCCACGTAGTCCACAACTATGCAGGCGAGTCAGTTTGTATGGCTGCGTTCCGATGTTGGATACACACTAGCAGCAACGTCGATCAGATCGTCCCGCTTGGTGAGGACATTGATATCTGCGTCGTTCAAGACGTTGTCCACAACTATGAATAAGGGTCAGTCCACATTTCTATGTGCCGAAGTTGGATACACACTAGCAGCGACATCAATCAGATCGTCGCGACCCGACAGAGGAGCAGCGAAAGCACTGCTGCAGAGAACAGCAAGGGATGCGAAGAGAGAGAGCTGCATTGTGGATAGGAGGAGGGGGAAGGTAAACAGTTGGAATTGAGGGTAAAGAGCGAATGAAAAATGGAGGCCAATGGTGACTGTTTTTATACCTAGCATCGAGAATGTGTAAATTATTACCTGCGGTCCGAATAAAAAAACATCATGGCGACCACGGTTTACCATTTGTGACGCGAAAATATTGGAAGAACCTAAATTTCTTCGAACTAGAAGCATCCACGGTACGTGATTAGTACATACCACAAGGTACGATTCGCGTAATTTCGCCATTGTTCAAGCCTGTTCACCGTGTCGTATTGAGTAAGGCGTTCTAGATCTTTCACGTACTACGTACGCCATAGACATTTGCTAGCGACTGAACGCATCGTACGGTTTGTTTTTGCACTTGTTTCAATCGGCTTTGTTACGCACCTGTGAACATCGTGGGTTATCCACGGAGTGCCGCATCAAATCAAACATATCAGCTTCGAAGGATCTCGCCGAGGCCCTCGCCGACTGAGTCAGGGTATGCCGTCACCCAGATCCGGAGATCACTTGTTGACAGAGTGTTAGTTTCGGCTCGATGGCACCCATCAGGAACTATATACGGCATACCGTTCAAAGGCCGCATATGACATTTGTCACTTCAATCATTTTCCATGTTGAAACTGCCGGAACTCGGTCTATCAGTCGGTCGAGCGTCTATGCTCGGTTCAACTGATAAGATAGACGGCGAAAACATCTAGCCTGCCACCTACTCGAGTGCGGCCTTCGCCTGACAGTCCAGAGCTGTACGGGTAGACCCTTCAAAATGCTGTGGCATTGCGTTCGTATTAGCCATCCTTGATGTACAAGATGACCACAAAATTTCGGACTCAATGATCCGTGCGGTGTGAAAATGATTTTAATAGATCATGGAATGGGTGATGATCGATGCCATCGATGAGCTGTCACGGCTCATGTGCATGAGGAGCAATTGTGTGCTGGAAACGTCAATCATGAAACCTTATGGAGAATGATGAAGGATCAGATGGCAAGACCTACCACGGCACATACCGGAAGACCCTCGTGAAATGTCGCTCGAAGAGACAATTTACGTTTGAGTTATCAAAGCAGACAGTAAATGAAGACGCTAGTAGCGTCGTCGGGTGGCCTGGCCCCCGCACTCAGGCTCCTCTGCATGGATAGATCAAGTTAGACAAGTCTAACATGCGGCTCGGTCAGTTATCTCCAGTGTCGCTATCAGAAATTCACGTACAGGAGCCGTACGAAGCAACCTCAGGGAATTCAGGCCGTGGAAGATGAAGTATCTTTAGCAAAATCCAGTCACATCTACAAGATATTGCATGTTTCATGGTGCAGATGCCGCCGGCATATCATTGTCTAGGCGAAGATAGAGCGGGGTAGTAAACGATCGCTTTCTGATCTCTACGTACCGAACAGGCCATGGTCCAGGCCGCCGGACTTATGGAAGGTTTTGTTCTGAATGGTGGATGGAAGCTGATGGGCTCGCTGATTGCGGCACGTCTGCTCTGTTCTATCTCCGCCTCCCACGGTAGGGAGGATACACAGGATTAGGCAAGGGGTGACCGGATTTGCAACACTGCACAACAAACAAGCATCTCCAATGTTCAGCCCATTTGAAGAACCCGCATCGTTGGGTCGTGTGGAAGTACTTTGAGGCGAGATCATCCGTGTACCATGTACCACTGCGCCTGGAAATAGCCACATCTGAACAATTGCAATGGCGAAAAGAAGCATTGGTGTGCCACGTCGAATTCTGTCGAACACTATGGAAAACCTGCGCACAAAGGATGAGCCAATTAGTGACAGGCTGGGAAAACACTCAACATATACCAACATACCTTCAGTGTTGCACCGCGCTGGGAACCGTCGGTCTTACGGATACTGGAAAGAAGGAAGGTAGCATATCCTGTAGAAGTGGAATAGAGTGGACTACTTATATGCAAATTCCTGTGACTTCGTGGGCTAGACCCAACTAGAATATCTTTGTTAACCAAAAGTCCAGAACGTGTTCATCATGCAACACTTATGCGTATATGGCAAACGAATCAACGATACAGTTTTCGACAGTCCCGAGGTACTGGCAGGTATCAAAACTCTTTATTGGAAGGAACGGATGTCTTTCCTTCTGCTCAAGGTCTGGCTAGGGGATATGTCAGAACTGGGGTAGACGAAATTAAATGTTACGTACCTCGTCAGTAAATGTGCGAGTTAGAGCCGAACAACTTGTTAACCAGAACAGACTGACCGAACACACCAATATTATTTCACAGCTTGAAGTGCCAAACTATTTATTCAAAGGTAAACAGATGGGAGCTAAGATCTAGGAGTGGAGCACAAGAATTACCATCCAAGCACGAAGCATTGAAATGTGTGTTGTAATATACTCTGCAAGTATCGCAGCTACGAATAAGCTTCAGGCTGTTCTGGCTTACTATCTAGGAGACAAGCATACATTTTAGTTCGTTATCTAGGAACGGTCCAGCCGCTGACTCACCTCCGCACATTGTTTTGAATGTCTCCCCATCTCAAGTCCTGGACGCCTTCACCCTCACGTCCGACACGCCGTGGTCCCATGATGACACTGTCGTCGACACGCTCCAGTCGTAAGATTTCACGGCGGATGTAAGAGACAAGTGTGACCATAAGCTCTGGATAACCGATATATCTGGGGTAGGTGACAATTAGTGAGGAATAATATGAATACGAGATAATGGACGCTTTATAGCGCAAGTGCCACGGGTGGGTACTGCACTAGAGGTAACATTGTCGCATGCGCATTGAGGGGGCCAAAAGGAATAACACACATACCGATCATTTTCCGAAGGAGCAAAGTCATGCACACCGCTGTTGTCGTCCTTCAGCTCTTCCTTATCCACGTCCACCTTTCTCACGTCCTCGACAAGTCCACCGACTAGATTAACCGCTCTCCGATAACCGCTGCCGCTGCCCTCCTGGTCCAACCCAATCCCATTCGCACCCCGTGCACCTAGTAAATTCCTCCAAACTGCCGCAGCCATCTCAGCATCGCCCCTTACGAGGTCCAGATCTAAACTCATTCCCATCCCAGCCCATTGCTCTTTTAATATTTTCATCTGCCTGATGATCAATTTTTCTGGTGCACGAGAGCGTTTCTGGAGTTTTACGGCCTCTTGGTAAGCTTTGGTTGAAGGAAAAGTACTTTTGGCCGCAAGGGGAGTGGGCGTGGTATAAAAGGAGCTATGTGGGTAGTGTGAACCATCCTCAGCAGTACTAGATAAATTTGGTGATGAAGAACGAGGGGGTAAGACTCCTGGTTGGAGAACAACGCGCAAGCGTTCCTCAACGTCCTGAAAGAAGTGGTCAATGAGCCCTTGCACATGTTGTGTCCCGTGTGGTGCAGGGAGGGCACGGAGTCGGACAGTAAGTAGCCAGACGTGCAGGTTCGTGATTGTAAACCAGGACTGGAAAGTTGGCGGAAGAGCACATTCTTACGTAGGAATTAATTAAGAGCTACATGGAATCGCTGCGCATACCTTCTCTCCAGAATACGGACGCTTCGTCAGCGCGCGTAGCACATAGGGTGTTGTACAAGACCAGCGCACGCCGATTGGCAAACTGTTGCGGCGAGCCGTAGCCAAGAACGCGTGCTACAGAGAGGAATATTGAGAAAAGGACCGGAGATGACTTGACTTTCGTGGTCAACCATGATTGCTCCCGCTGTGATGCAGGCTCGAAAGATGGAGGAGTTGATGTCGGTGTCGGTTTCAGTTTCGGTGCAGCCGCTGCTGAGCGCGTCACCGAAGATGAAATTACGCGCACATTTCTATGCACTTTTACAGGGAAGTCTGCCCTGATTTTGCCATACGCCCTGGTTAGGTGGGCTGAACGAACAACTTGACGGACGAGAAGTTGTTGTGAAGACATGGAGACATTCCGAGCAAACTCGAGCTCCATGACAAAATGTTAGCTTATGTAAGCGACGATCTTTCACCACGCTGCAGCGTCTCCCCGACCTCTTCGACCAACGATAGTGGGATCACAACAACAAAGGGAGGTCAAGCATGTCGTTCCAAAAACAAGTGATATGTTCGTGCGCTAGAATGGTGACGCCGTGGTTTACCCATCGTATAGGACAATAACATTCATCGGCCTTGTCATCGTGATCGCCGAACACGATTCTTCTGACGTCCCACGCAGACCTTCTTGTGCCGGTACTAGTACTGACCTTTGGTAATCGTGTCGACGGTACGTACCAGCCACTTCTGAAAATGTCAATAACATAACTTTTAGTCAGACCAATTTAATAGAAGGAAGATAGGTAAGATATTACAGCAAGCCTTATCGATGTGGCACAACATAAATTCGCCCACAACCCCACGCGATGAGTCGCATCACATTCAATTCCCCTTGAAAACCCCATATTTATCTCCAAGTACAAGGGTCATCCTCATCATCCTTTGTTCCAAGTCCGTGCGTGTGGCCGTGGAGTTGGACCGATCACCGACGAATCTCTCAAGCCAACTCGGGAAAGACTTCGACGCGTCTGCCTGCCTGCAAACATCCTTCACATGATCATATACAAATACAACCCTTGTAAACTTATTATAATTCATCACGGCGTATGTTGTCCTCAACTGATGTTCCACTGTTGATTAATAACATGCTGACGTATTGATTCTGATTATTCTGATGGAAGGAGCGGTTCGCGACTTCGATTATGTCTGATCTGGCAGATACGTCGCGCACGGGATGAAACAGCAGAACATCAAGATGTCGCGTGTTTCATGGAAAAAACATGTAAGCAAGCCCACGAGATAACGGACTGATGCACTAGGCCAAGTGTGTTGGAAAAATTTGCACTCATGAACATATCATCACACAACGAAGATTGCGAGACTTCATTACGCGGCTATGGAATACGGGATCTAACGAGTGACAGTGGTAAACGAAGGGCGAGGGATGTGCGCGACGTTGGGTATGAGGGATTGAGTCATTTAGGCGACATCGACCTTCGCGTTGAGACAACTGAATTTGATTCATGAGGTGTTCATTTTGTGGACGTGACAGCACTTACCGGCAACAATGATAACTTAATCAGCGCGCTTGGCAACTATAGCACTGAGTTCCTCAAGAGCCCGATCAGCAAGATCGTTGACATTAGGAATGATGCCTGAGCGCTTCGACGTCGAACCGCTAATGAGGGCGTTGTAGACGGCTACAATGCAAAGTCAAAATCTGGAGGCGACAGAAATGGTACATGACATACCATTGGCAATTTGGGCCTCGGTGACATCAACGCGCTTGGTCAGGACATTGATATCGAGGTTGTTGAGGACATCTTCCACGACTGCGGTGACATCAACAAGACTACCACCGCGTTTGCCAGCGGTTGAGCGAGCCGCCTTGCCAGTGTTTGCCGCCATGGTAGAGACAACTACAACAGCAATTATCAGAATCGGGAATACAAAGTGTGCACAGTAATAACTCACGCGATGTGATTTGTTCAAGTGAGAAAGCCTCGGCGCGCTTGGATTTGCCAGGGCTGAGAATGTTGATGTCGAGGTTGTTCAATACATCAGTGACCTCTAAAAAAGTCATTTAACATTTGAAACAATAACTGAGAAAGAAATATCTACCGAGAGTAAGTCCGAGAATATCGCAACCGCCACGCTTAGATGGAGACAAGATGTTAATGGTATCATTGTTAAGCACGTTGGAGACGACTGTTCAGTTCCGATCAGGTTGTGGACCTCGACTTAAGACGAATAACTCACTAATGTCAACGTCAGCAACGCTGCATCCGCTGGCGTCACCTCGTCCGGAGAGTTCAAGCCTTCTGACGACCTCCTCGAAGGCTGAAATGTCATTCTGGTCAATATTGCTGGCAAGTTATGAAAATATTTCATGCTTACCGGCAGGACCACGAGTAAGTACATTCACATTGGCATTTTCGCCAACGTTATCAACAACTACAATATCGAAAACATAATGAAGAGGTGAAACGCATCGTGGAGATGGGACTTACTGGCAGCAACGTCAGCGACTTGACCAGGAAGGGGGGCAGCAAATGCAGGAACGAAAGCAGCGAAGGCAGCAAAGAGTGCGAAGGATTTGGACAGCATGGTAGCAGTGGGGGGCGATTGAAGGAAGTAGGGATAACGTGCGCGAAGGAGATACAAGACAAAAAGCTAAGAGAGTACTTAGCAGAATGATTTTCCAAAGACCGAGCGGCGCATGCGTTTTATACTGCAAGACGGGCTCATAACCGAGATTTGCTCTCAGGAATAAGGCCCCGAGCTATTAATATGCCTACATGCGGTGCTGTGAAGAAGCAATGGAAAAACCAAAAGAAGTTCTAGCCGTATCCCTCCACCAATCAGATTGCTTGTTCAAACGTAATTATACGTAAACCCAAGGGTCAGTTCGCTTTCCCGCTTTTTTTTCAACTTAAATCTAGGCCACGCATATACAAATCACATAAGATATGTGATGTTTCTCTCGAGAGGATTTTTTGCTCTTGATGAGTCTGCAGTTGAATCAAAAACCTTTCTTCCTATGCAAAAATGTTTCGCCATCGGCCTGGGCCTGAGTGACACCTTTGAAGGCAGCGACTGACTTGAGATTTTCCATGATCGCCGGGCCAAGCATTATGCATTATGACTTGTGTAATCTCCGGACCCTTCGGTTACATAATGTATCCACCCTAAGCGCGACGAGCAAGTACTGCGCACGGTACCTGTGAGCTAAAGCAAGTGCGACTGGACATGAATGAAGGGACAGAGCCTTCATGGTGAATGACTTGGAGAAAGCGAACAACGATTTAGTAATGCTAGCGACTCGAATTGGTCAAGTTGAGTGCGAGTAGTGGATCTTGAGGTGCCTGCAGTACGTACTTATCCCCGTTTCCTTGACGCCAAAATGATAATGAACTGTCGCAGATTTAACGCGGCTTTATGACGCCAACTTGACTTCTTAACGTTCAAATCAGTGATATGTCCATGTCAACTTGCACCGACGAACCTTGTGCACATATAATTTTAAGAGTCTACCTGCTCCTGAATTAATTCAAGCTGTGTTGTGTCGATATATCACAGCGGAGTATGCTAATTTTCTTCTTGTAAGCTGTCCTATTACTCAGCCACTCAGTTACTAATTGTTCAGAATAAATGACAAAACGTACGTGCCAAGTTATACTGAGAGCTAAATTCAGCGCGAGATGATGATCATTTTTAATTGAAATAAGATGCATGTGTCCAGCATCTAGGCATTGCAACAGTCCCCCGTAGTCAAATAAGTCGTTCCGTCGGGATCAGGGGTGTGGCGATAACGACGGTGCCACGGGGTTCACGAGATTTTGGCAGTAGACGATACAAGTAATTCCCATTGTCAATATCGACAGAGACAGATCACAAAACCTCCGGCCTCAACGCTTAGCTCACATTGCACATACCAAGAATATTTGTACACCCCATGTACTTGATGGGCCACAGTGTAAACAACTGTTTATTTCAAATTCATCATCGCTCGAAGATGTCCTTCTCTAGCTGAATTCGCGATTTCGAACGAGTACTGGAAAGGCTCCGGGCGACTTCGGATTTAAATTTAGTTAAATCTCGCGCGTACATCGAGGCCACTTACATCACCATAGCCGGTGGAAATTTCCGGCTTTACCTCAATCTTGTCTCCGTTTGAGTCTCTGGCATGGTCGATGCGCAGGACGGCGAGTACCGCAGCCGCTGCAGTCCACAGACTGTTCTCTACAAAGAAACGACCTGCCAAGGGCATAAGTATGTCATCCCCAACATTGATGAATCATTAGTTATCCTACCAGGACAAACGCGCCTGTACGAGTCGGTGAACAATTGAAAATGATACCAACTATAAAGTATTCACCTGCCATGACCAAAGGCAAAATGGTGGACGAAATTGTCCTTCAGCTTCCCATCAGCTGTGAGATGGCGAGTGGGATCGAAGCGCGATGCATCAGGAAATATGTCCTCGTCCCGAGACAGTGCCCTAAGTCATGCTCAGCTCAAGCATCTAGATGCACTGTATCTTACATACCATTGATTAACCATCACCACCGTACCTAATTGAACTATAGATAAGGCGATGTAACCACGACTCATATGACGAACCTTTGGGTATGAAGTACCCGCCGTAAGTATCATCAGTTGTTGTTGCGTGCGCCATTCCTGTGCAAAGAGTTAGCTACGCAATTGCGTAAACACCAAGGCACATGACTGAACCGACCTAGGGGTATGGGAGGATACCATCTTAGAACCTCACGGAGAACGGCATCAAGGTATGGCAACGATGGTCTATCATCAATGGATGGCATTTTATCGTGCATCACGACCTGATTGATTTCGGCACGAGCCCTGGCCTGGACGTCGGGATAGAGCATCATAGCCATCAAGAATACATGCAATGTAGATGTAGACTGCGGGAAATCAAGGTAAGGGAAGAAATGATAAAGATTCCCTAAACTAATGGCTCACCGTGTCTATGCCCCCTAGGACGCCATATCCGTGTCAAATAATGAATCCGGTGTCCTTAAAAAAACAATTACCTATGTACCCCATCAATGCAACGGCTTTCATCGTTTCTTCGTCAGCACCGTCGTCGGCTTGACTGAGGAAGTCAGCGACTAGTGATTGTGAAGCGGTGCCATTTGCCTACAGGCAAGCAGATTATGTAAATCGTTCATCGACGATGCGCAAACGTACCATCTGTGCCTTCACCTCGTTAAAGGGCTCGTTTAAAAGCTGTTGGCATAATTCTCTACAGCGTCCCATCAGGGCATAGGCTCCACGAAAGCACCAAACTGGCAGCTTTTTAACTGCAACCGACATGCCAAACGTTCAAATCGACGTCGTCGATAGCATTGGCGTACTCACGGAAAGGCAAGGCTGTGAACATGGCAGCCCTCTCGGGAGAAAGAAGATGTCTGGCAATATCTAAGAGTTCTTGCGTACGGGCAAGGAATGGGTCTTGGGTTCCGCGAACAGGGTGTCCATATGTCACGGCCATGATCAGCGATGCCGTGTATCTGGGACAATTGTGTGATTGTCAGCTGGATCAGATGTTACAATGTCACTGAATCAGGGACGTACGCTTGAATGGGTTTCTGCAGGTCACCGGTGGCCTTCAAGAGATCGAAGACTAGTTCATTCGCATGGCGAGAGTACATCCCGTGGTATGAAACAGATGCTTCGGCCCTGAGCACTTGATGGAAAATCTTGCGATGTTGTCTCAAAGTCTCGCCATACGGAAGGAGTACAGTATTGAAACCCAGTCCAGCCCTGTCTCGTCAACTGATCAAGAGTAGGCTGGATGATAATAAGACATACATTTCATTGGTGGGAATGACGGGGCGATCCGAGTAGATTCCAGACCGCTTGTCCAACAACTCCCGCGCGATCGATTCAGAGTTTATGATGATCATATCGATTCCAAGGATGCGAGAGTGAATGATTTTGCCTATGACAAGGGATAGAATTAAATCCAAGTGCTTCAAGAGACCTTGGTCCACCCACCATATATCTTCCCCCACGCAGTATATGTGAGCCAAGGTCGTTTGGTGTCCAATTGCAGTGCGTTACCCAGAAATGGTAAACGACGAGGGCCAGGCGGCAGAGGCAAAGGGTAGACGCGTCTGCGACTCAGGCGCAAAGCGGCAATCAGGGAAATAATACACGAGGTCGCTACAGCGAGAATATGAGCGGAATGCATGGGCAGGAAGTATTATTGGAACTGAGACGTTTGTTCGCCTTATAAAGGGGTCTTTGACATCCGAAAATGGTAACTTGGATATCTGCGCTTGCACAAATTGGGAGATTCTGAAACTCGCACCAGGCGCGATGAGCTGATCCATATTCGCTCAGAATGGTGGCAATAGGGTTTGAGTTGCTCACCTGTGAGACCACACTAGTACAAGTAGGCTTACCAATCAAGACATTTGCTTCGTTGTTTCAGTCGGGAATGGGCTTGTCGCCTCGCTAGTATCTGTCGAGAAATGTATCTGCCATAAACCTCAGAAGCCATGATTTTATAATTAGCAATCATAAGCTAAGCCGAACAAGCAATGCCACCACATCGAATTCCTTCAAATCAGGGCATCGATCTGAGACATCTTCGACGCCACAGTAACAAACGATTGGATTGTCATGAAGTCTTTGAAGATACCAGTTTGTCTGAACCATTATAAAATGATCGTACATGACGAAACACGGCACTGAACAAGGTCCCCCAGAATAAGTTTTGTCGCTGTCCAACGAACTCGAATAGTGTTGGTGCACTGTAAGATATGTCCAATCATTGAAGATATACGCACCAACAGTGTAGTGTCATAAGGGGTATAGTTGATTTAGCGAGGAACATTTAGGAAGTTGGATCATATGTGCTGGTGAGTAGAGATTGACCTGCCAGAGCGGCGCAGCAATAGAAGTGAATCATGTCCTACAGTCATGCAAATGTTTCAACATCTGTCGGTACGAAATTAACATGGGTGACCGATGCGGCTCTGTTGCGGGGAACTTGCATAGATGATCAGTATCATATTCTCATATTCAGCCGTATCGCTTACCCATCGTATCAGCTACGAAGGATTCAACACTTTTCGCACAACCTATCGTCACTCAAGACAACACACATCCCATGCCACTGAAGACCAGTGATAGACCACAGTGCTGTGGACCACCTGTCAAAATCGGCAATCAAAGCGAGATGAACAAAGACACATGCCACTAGGTTTGCACACTGACCCATTATAGGCACTGTGGACGGTCAAACGCGCCAAAGCCGTCCACAGTACTCGGGATATAAGATGCGCCTCGCAGTGTCTATGGAGGTCAACACAAATCGATCACTCCACTTTGCGAGTTTCTTCCTTGACTTCAGTCTTGCAATATTATGGAAAACATGTCCATCCAACCAGTCATGACGCGCTCCGGTAGCGCTACTTCGACGACCATCACCGACGCTCTGGCACCCTCCGCTACAAACAGACTCACCCCCGCCGAGCGAAAGGCCTTTGGTAAATCAGATCACAAGGCTGCCAAGATCCTCGGTATTACACTCACACGCAATCACGTGGACCAGAAGGGGAGACCTGCTCAAGTCCCATCCGGAAACCGAGAGGATCCCCAAGTTGGCGATACGCTGGCAGAGATGATGGCCCTCATAGGTGCAAAGCGTGCACGTGGTCACAATTCAAGCGCTGTGGACCATCTTTAAGCCACCTAAGGGCCTGGGGCTTGCTTCAGGTATGGGGATGGATTTAGTAGAGAAGAGCAAGAAGCGTGGAGTGGCTGGGGAGTATACGCAACGCGTGGTCTTGGGACCCTTGTGCTCAAACGGGCCACCCGTGGAGAAAGGCGAAGAATTGTCGACTACTATCAGCGACAACGGTGCATGCTCGTCGTTGGAACCCGGTGAGATTGAAGAGACCGAAACACCTCTTGCAGGCAAATATATATCAGGAAATAATGAAGAGGAAGATCTATTCCACGGTTCAAGAGGCTTTGTTTGGGACGTTCAAAATCCGTTTGCTACACCTCCCAATACCGTCCTTCAGCAATATGCCCAAGTAATGCGGCTTGGTGAAACGATTGGACCCTTGGATGTTCCGCCAGTGGTGCCACTCTGCTACACAACTAATTTTGAGCCATCACCCGCAGAGGAAATTCCGGCACTCCGACTCTATTCCGACGACTCGTTCGACGACATGCTTCGTCCAGCGGAACGAGCTTACCTGGACTTTTTGATTGCACAAGACGAAGCTGAGGAACAGCCAATGGAGAGGAGAAGGCAAAGAAGGGCGGCAGTGCGGTCCAAGAACAAAATGCTGGATGTATTGGGAGTGGAGGCGCGACAAGCCGTTGATGGGCAATACTAGCCTTCTGTTGAAGATGGATAATATGCCTATGATATTCAATCAATGTAACAGATATGTACTTGGAGCTTAGAAGGAGACGACAACGTTTACTGGTAGACTTGTCAGCGGTCGCTTAGTCAAGACCAGTCGGGACTCGGAATTGGTTTCTCGAAAGTGCGGTCCGGGTCCGGGTCCGGCTTGCACGCACACTTTCAAACATTTATAAATGTACTTTCACCATAGAAGATACAGTTGCAACAACCACTTGAGCTAACTGGAGTACTACGGATCAGAGTGACACAGTTAGGATGGGGAAACGACTCGGACCAAATATCTTGGAGGGCGCGCATCGCAGTGGATTCACACATTTACGAAATTTCCATACCCCAGTTGGTTAAAGTTCGTCAAACAAATAAGTAGTATGGATCTTGGGGAGGTTTTTGTGGCAAGAAGTCTTGCAAAGAAGGTTGCGCTAGGACTGCCGGACTTTCAGTTTCTTGGAAAGCTTCTGACCTGTTTCTCCCAGCAGTGACATCTTCTATAAATTGTACCCAACTCGGACGCCATACGAACCTGGTAAGTTGACTCACGCACCAACACATCCAACTTATATTCGTTACCGCATTAACGCCGCCCATAGGGCACTGCGTCTGAACAGTTTCCTTTCTTTGTAGCAGTATGCAGAAATTCTCTCTCTCAGAGTCTCTCCAAACAGCGAACGTCCCTACACCGTAAGTAAGTGATATACTTACTTGTAATCTGAGTCTAAAATATCGGTCTCTTCATTTTGCTACAAGAAGATTGTCCTACACTTCGATATCGGCAGCCGTCAGTCCGAATGGAAGCCATCTTTCTTTGGGATCCGGACAACTATAGCGTCATTTACGAAATAAAAATTAGCATATAAGTGACCTACTCCGCACTTACGATTTTAACGTTTCCTCACCCCTCAGATCTCCTGCAGAATTATCGTCTAAGAGCAGAATGCGCACTTCAGCTCTCCTTACACTCTTTTTCAGTTTCTTCTTCGTTATTGAGATGGCATTTTGTATGCCTTTATCAATGCCAGCTTGGGTTCAAGTTTATGCTCCTGATACTCGTGGTGAGCTTCTTTTCTGTTTCAAACATCCCTTGATTCATAGCTAACATGTTCATTTTTTCACTTACGATCTCGAAGATATTCTCGGTTCACAGAACAAGCGCATCATGGACCCTGTAACTGGCCCTATTGGAATGTCCCTCAGGAAGCTAGGCAGGCCAGCCTTGCGTGAAATGCAATTGCAGATCGACGACTATTGTTCTAAATTTCCGTGTCCCGCGCCAAGTGAGTGTAAAAAGTCTTTTGGCTTGTGTAGCGCTCATAAGCAATACCCAGGAGGGACATCCGAAATTTAATATTTATACCAGACAGCAAGAGTTGTCCTTGCGGCTTTGCAAGACCCTTTAATTGTATACCCTTCGGACTGTTGTACTGGCAAGCATACTGTGTTTCAGTCCATCTGTTGTCGTCCTAACATTTCAAATTATTTGCAAGTATATAACTTATTATGTATGTAACTCTGCAGAAGTTTGCTTCACTTACCTCGCATATATCGAAGTCACTCGTGGTATAGCACAGGTAGACCGTTATAGCTTCTTGCGCAGAAATTCTTTACTGCACGACTTATATTATACCTGTTTGATAATACCGGTCATTGGAAGGTCTTGCATGCACCTTGATGGAAACGAGCACTCGATTGTCTTCTTAATACCTACCAGCTTGAGTCCTGCGCCGTGTCATGAAAAATGTGGTAGTAAGGTATTTTGCGCATACAGACTGATCAAACACATTGCATTGTAAATAACGACAGAAGGCATACGTGGCGACACTAGTATTACATGCAAGTATGATAGCAGTCGGTAAGCTACTAGGCTAAGCACACCAGTGGAAATCTGGCATTCGACGACTCGTCGGATGAATCGAGCGTCTTTTACTGACTCAATACACTTATGCTAGCATTGTTAAGAAGGTTATCGACGTCTGAATGAAATACCGTCGAATATGCCAATAAAGACGGTACTGACCAATGTCAACGCTAACCAAGCCGTCATCATCGCGCTTTTGGCTGAAATTGACAGTATCTAGAACATCTCCTATGAAAGACTTAGCTAGGAGGGATGCCAAAATAGATAAATGCTTACTAGTGTCAACGTCGACTCTAACAATCAAGTCATTACGTTGATCCAAAGCATTCACGGTAGCGTTGTTAAGAATATTGTCGATTACTAGACCACATCATCAGTTAGAAAATGGGGAGTTCGATACTCGGTGAACTCACATACACTCACATCACGCTTTGTGGGTGAGGCAGCAGCATGAGCAAAAATGCTGAGAACACAAGCGAGTGTAATGATGGAGAGGAACATGACAGTGATGGCAGCAGCAAATAACGCAGAAAGTCAAACCCGAAAATTAGTGATGAACGCTCAATACTCATACACGAGCTATCCTTTATACAGAGTGTAGAAGCGAGCATCGGTGAGTAAGACATACCCGAAGATCAGAAGGGATGCATGGACAGTCACTAGTGCTCGAACGATCACCGACGTGGTTCACGTGAAGGATCCCCCCAAAGTCAAACAAGCTAAGGAGTTGCAACTCCTTACCTATGATAGAACTCTCGGATTGACATACACTCGCCGAAGTGCCCAAAGCGTACTGCAGCTGAAAAAAGTTCGGCTCCAGCAAGAAGACATGATATCGCAGCGAATGCAAGGATCCCACGTATATAGTAGTAAAATTGTCAGGTCAACGTCAAAAAGTATCCCACCGTGTCAACGGACTCACAAAAATACATCGATCTTTGCTTGATGTAAGACGAACAACCCTGCATAATCCGAACATGGGTGTGGTTATACCCGGTGATCGATAACTTGCTCCGATGCGGAGCTTACATGTAAGCCGCGGAATTCTGATGGAATAACGGCGCCAAGTTTATTTTTGGTAAAACCTAACCATCAAACTCATGAATGGATCTGACAATTACATGTCCCGGGCTGGGTCTTCACGAGCGGCAGTGTATTGCGCTCCAATGTCCCGCGCGTCTTCTGGGAATATATGAGCATGAAGCAAGATACGAGCAACGTTGCACAGGAAGAAAATTTTTCATGTAGCGTTCTCGCACACAATGAGAGTCCAGAGATCCAAAAACGCAAGGAAAAGTACTAGTAGTAAGAAATCACCGATGGCAGCTGTCCGACCATCCTCGATCAAACAGTTAGATGGAAGTCAAATTGTGGCATACAGCTACTGATGCATGATGCTGTGACTCACCGCAACATCCCCCCGCTCGAATAAGGGTGTTTTAGTCCATTTAATATTATCGTGTTTCAGGTCAACGCCTTGGAGAGCTACAACAGTTTATCCTGATGTTGGATCCGGACGCAACCCCTAAATCTAGAGGATGGACCAGTGGACGTCAAAGATTTCATGAAAGTTCAGGGGTCACTTCACTGACTCAGGGTATGCCTGTACTTCTTTATCTGCAGGGCAAGCATCGGAACCGTTACTAGTCTAGAACGGGTGTGAGTCAGTGGCATGCGACGGTCGACTCGGATTCAATGGCAGTCTCCAGGCCTTCAAGTTGATCTAATGGACTTCAGAATGAGGATTGAGTATTGCGGGAGACGTTCGCATTCTCTCCATGAAGCGTAGCTCCCGTTCTGCAAGTAGCAACGCAGTTGACAACTTGAATACCAGGCCCCGGCAATTTCTGGCGCTTAGGTAAGCGAATCCTTCCAGCAAGATTTGGCCATGCTCTCTGTCGAATGACAAATGAAAGTCTGTGATTCGGGGGTCCAGAAATAAGGTAACGTTACGAGTAAGTACGGTATTTAAGCCAATCAGTACTCGGAGGAAGACGAGGTGAAAAGACTAAGGAAAAGAACGGGTTGTAAAGTACACGGTCGAAGGCCTTGCAGAAGGCCTGAAGTAATAACAAATAAATGAGTGCTGCAAGGGTTTGGACAAGAGTGAGAAAGCTTAAGTCTGAAAGTGTATTGGACGCCTAATGGCGCTACTGTTACAACGAGCGAGCAAGGACCAACACTGTATCCCGTGACCGAAAACGCGAAAAGTTTATGACATGTGTGCAATGTGCATCTGTTTGATTCTAGTCCCGTGAGTGCATTTAAGCGGCATGTTGTATCCACGAATTGCAATCTATTTGCCACGAGCTAACTTCTGCTTAAGAGAAGTAAACACGCTGACAGTGCGAATGCGCATGAAATACGTGAACCAGAAAATCGCAATGGTCTACAGAAGGTACATCAGTATGAGATCTGAGCAACATCCGGCAGTAACTCACGTTAAACGCAACGAATCCGAAGATAATGCCCAGGTTGCGCCAATGATCACTGTATTTGATATTGAACCTCGAGTACATATACTGGTCAGTGGTCTTGTAGGGACAGTACTGGCAGCCTTCCGCAGCTCCGGAGTTTGTGAGGTAGCCACCAGCGAATTCAATGAACGGATCCATGTACTCGCCGCAGGTCAGACCTTTCGGCGGGTTGACGGAGACTAGTTCCGTGGAGGAGCAGAGAATAGCTTGACTGCCAATGGCTACGAGGATTAACATGAGCACGTTTATTCGGCGGGAAATCATTCACAAACCTTGACCAAGGAGGCTCTCGATGATGTACGTGAAAGGAGATGCCCTATACATCCATCTCCACCAATTCAGTTCAAAGAACGGCTGGATGACACCATCACTGGTGGATTGTTAGGCATGAACTGGCGTGGCTCAAAGTGTGTATCTCACAAGATCAGGATAAAGATAACGAGAGTTGTGAAGTATATAGATGCAACTGGAGCGGTTGGCGACATGGACGCGATACCATGTCCAAGCGTGGTATAGTAGAACGGAAAGGCGATGGAGAGAATGAGGAACGTGTAGCCTGCTCGGTCTGTGGGGTATCCAACGGTCCAGTACCAGCATAAAAAGAACATCGCCGAACTTGTCACGTTCCAAGGAAGCTCAGCGGCAACCTGAGACATGACGAGAGCAGTCCAATTATACATTCTAGTGGGACGTTCACGTATCTCGTACACTGTGCGAATGTCGATGTAGACGGCCATGAGCTGATGGACGAGGGGAACGCAGAGCACAAGGGAGAGAAAGATTGACTAAAGAGGAGTGAGAATGTGATTAAACGAAGAATCTAAATTGATATACTTACGAACAGCTTATTTTGAGTTCCCTGCAACGAGTCATTTGCGTGAAAGAATGTAAAACCCACAAGGAGACCGCCAGCGATATTAAGCAAAAACTTGGCGCGAATATACGCAGGATTGCGCCAGTATGCTTGGAAATTCCGGTGGGTGAGCGCAACAAACTGGTGCAACCACGAGGTGGCGAAGACAGAGTACCGAGCGCTAAGCTGCTGTGGGTGAGAACGACCCTGTTCATGCAAGTCGTTGATATGATCTTGAAGCTGCGCCGCTTCTGGTGAGCACTTCCAGACATTGTACCAATCAGTGGTAGAGACTGCAGTTGCTCCAGCACCTATTACATCAAGCATGTATTCCGCCCTTCAAATCCCTGGTAAGCACAAGACCCGTATGATTGTACCCTACTTACGGATTGTCGTCAGAGCCGCAGCGTGGTGCACCATTACGCTGAAAGTAGTTCAACATGGTCGACGAGTTCTCGCCAATGTCGCCAAAGTAGACTGTCTGTCCACCCTTGCGAAGGAGCAGCAATCTGTCAAAGACCTGGAAGAGTTCCGCCGAAGGTTGATGGATTCTGGTACAGCTCATAAACATCGAAAAACCCACATGTCAAAATGGCACTCACGTGCAGAGAATGGCCTGACCACGGTCAGCAAGCTCGCGAAGTACATGCACGATAGCCCAGGCAGATTGCGAATCGAGGCCGGACGTCGGCTCATCCAAGAAGAGTAGAAGTTTGGGCTGTTGGTCTCTCAGTACAAGTGTAGCTTGAAGGGTTTGCGTTCAAACCTTGGCAGCAAGCTCCACTGCAATGGTGGTGCGTTTACGATACTCAACCCCGAGAGAGCCAACAACAGCATCGGCATACTCCTCTAGACCACACATTTGAAGGCACTTGTCAACGCTGCAGTGGAAAGTTAGGTGTGGGCTAATCATGGGCAGAAATCGTACGCACTATGCTTCCTTCTCAGCGAGAGGAACTGATTGTGGTTGGCGAAGATTAGCAGAGAAAAGGAGCGCTTCACGGACAGTCGCCTCGGGAAGGTGGGTATCGAGTTGTTGACAGTAACCACTAAACATGACAGTCAGGTAAGATCGGAAAAATTAAGACGATACTTACGTCTGAGCCTGGAAGTCTATGGGGAGCGGCTGTCCGCCAAAGAATCGCTCACCAATTACCACACCGACACCGACACGTTGTGCAAGAACATTCAAGAGCGTTGTCTACAAGCATTCAAGTAAATGGCATGCACGACTGGTATTATAGGAAGGTATACCTTGCCAGCCCCAGATTCACCCATTAATGCGGTGAGTTTTCCGGGGACAACAAATCCCGTGACATCATCGAGAAGCCGTTTCATCCCTCCTTCAACGGGGACTTCATATTGCAGGTGCTGCCACGTGAAGAGGTCCTCAACCTTCTCAACCTTCTCGAGATTGTCGAAAGTCGAGGGATCAGCTATCTGGGAGAGGGATTTAGAATGAAACTCTGCATCAGCCTTTTCTTCGTCAAGGGCCTTAGTATTCCCATCGACAGCGCAAGATCCCTGCTTGAAGAGAATGACAGCACTGTCTGAGGCAAACGAGGTGTTGAATTCTGTGGCAACTAGGAGAACGACCAAGAACCCAAGGTAGAAGGCACAAAGGACACCAAAATTCTGCGGTGGTGTCATGAGCCATTCGTAAAGTACAGAGTGACTGCCCTACCCTCCAAAGTTGACTATACCAAAAGTCAAACGTCAATGCAACATAGATGTTGCCGTCAACGAGAAGCTGCCCGGGCTGCGACCCGACAGTTGTGCAGACCTGGTTTGCGAGTGAAACATTCTCGTACCCCAAACCTTGTGGAACAAGAGTAGAGCAAGCTCCGTCGAGCGTATGGAATTCGTTCACAACAAGTCCACCGAACGCCCACCACAATGGCTGAGACAGCAATATTGATATCGAGCGGAAGCATCATACAAGGGATCACGTACGTTTAACCACATGATCCACCGCAAGCCACTTGGAGCAGTTGGCCAAGGAACCGTGTACCCACCATAGAGTGACATCAAGAGAATGGAAATACCGCTAAGAGCTATTGCGCTAGGACGAGTTTTAAAGCTTGCAGCAATAGCTCTGAAGAATGTTTTCATGGTTTGTGACATTAAGAAGACAAAGAGGTAAAAAATGCTGTCGTGCACCACGGTGAGTGTCAAAGCGGGGAACAGACGGCTTAAAGAACTTACAGAAACTGTGAGGCAGAACGCTGCAACCCGACCAGGAAGTAGAGTGTTACAACGAACACAAGTTGGACGACTAATGTGACTGGAATATCGATTATAGTGTGCGCGAGACTCTGAATAAAAGGGTAATGTAACGCGGCTTTCTGGTGACGAAGCACAATAGGACGCTGGAAGAAAAGCGAAGGGATTTCTGCGACAGATGTAATAGCATTGAAGAAGAGGGAGCTAAAAGAGCAGTGAGGCACAAATTAAATTATATGAGGACAGGTGAAGATAATTACAAGAACAGAACACCTTCACGGGGGAAATAGGCCGAGGTGTCATTTGGAACGTTCAGAAAGACGGTACCCATAATTATCGCTTGAAAGATTTGGGAACTAACACTTAACGTTACTAAGGGTTGGTCAAACAAAAATGCCACCTACGCCAGTCGCATAAAGAACTCGAACTGATCACCAATAATG